TTGGTTGGCTGCTCGCCTGCCTGGCTGGCCTGCCGGCTGCTGTTGCTGATACCTCCTGACAACGACAGCAGCAGCAGCAGCAACAATTGCTCTTCGAACATATCAAATGCATGGAAAATAAATGTGCCCAATGCCCCGACACAAGAAGTCCCATTTATCAGCAGAGTCTGCAATAATTTATGTTATAACAACGATCCAATCCGATCCGATCGATCCGAATTGGCAGTGAGGCAATCATTCGCCGAACCGGGCCTAGCAGTGTGCCAACATAGCAAAATAGAGTCATAAAACGTCACTTATCACGTATTAGACGCGTTTGCATATACAAATAGCTGAGAAGAGTCTGCGGCAGCGATAGCCTCCTTTGGTTGGTTATTCAGCTGCTAAGCAGCAGAACTCATGCTGGCCAACTATAGTCTATCGCCATTTGTCGGTGAGAGCAGCAGCCGTGGCAGCATCTGAGCTTGCCTCAATTACCCACAAAGACTTAACGCCCATTTTGCCTGTTCGTTTCGCTCAAGCAAATTAGAGAAAGCAGCTTTTTATTATTCGCTGCCATATGACGCTTGCGATGCACAATTTCTTGTTGTTACCGTTGATGGTGGCTAATTAATGGGGTATGCCGAAAGATACCAGACAAAAAAAGTTAAAATATATTCCAAAAGAAACATACCCAACGACACACTTTTTATAAATCGGATAACTAACCTATAAGTTTGACAAGAACATTTCGATCGGGACAAGTGGGTATATTCTGTCCATTTTGTATGGTCGTCGGATAACATTTAGCGGTTTAGGTTTTCTGATGATTTTAGGGAAATTATTCAACGGAATTGATTCAAATTTGGTATTTAAGGTTTGTAATGGGTACTACAGCCTCTGACAAAAAAAGGTCCACGTCTTCGTATAACCACCATATAACGATTCTTCCCGATATTCGGTATTTTGATGATTTTAGCAACTTTATACACCTGAATTGTTTTACCGTTCGTACTCGAAGTTTGTAATGGATACTTCAACCTATGACAGACAATTGTCTATGCAGGCCCACGTCCACTTTGCATACCCTACATATAACGGCACGTCAGTTTTTTCGGTATTTTTATATATATATTATATTAGCGACATTATTCAACGGGGTTGGTTTAAATTTCGTATGTGAAGGTCTTCATATAGCCCCCATATATAGCGGTTTTCATTCAAACGATATTTTTCGGAAAAATTTTAAGTTTTTGCAGTTTCTTCCAGATGGTGGAGGATAAATACCCTGATGTTGATATCGTATACACTATATAGCCAGATTTCGGAAATGTAGCAGAAACTATAAAGAAATCTTGCTTGGTGAAAACATCCGACCTTTGGAAATCAATGCAAATATAAATTTGGAAATTATTTGCAATTTATGTCGAACAATTTCATTGATGACTTCTTTGCCAGCCCGGCCAATTGTCTTCTACGACACACTCTAATATACTTGCATTTTATCATCCGCATACAACACATGTATGTAGATCATTTGCAGCTTATAAAGATCATAAATGTAGACAAACTGCCTAACAGAGGAGCAGCAATCTGCGAAATCGATCAAATGTTAGATGGCGATCGATAGTTTGAAAATCATTCATTAGATTTGCCACCCATTATTTTCATCTATGCCACCCAAGTCAAAGGAATTTGCCACCATGAATTTGTGGCAACTTCTCAACACACACACACACACAAATGGTTGCACTCACACACTCATACACACACAGAAAACATGACACCCATCGAGTCAAGTATTAGGCGAAAATTTCCTCAATTATGTTATTGGTATTCGAGAAAACGTCTTACAATATTGCCACAACGATGATAACTTGCCACATGTTGCAAGTTAGCAGATTTGATTAGAAGACTGCATACAACAAGACCAACAACGAAAGCAACACAAAAATTATAGTCATGTTGAAATCATTGTGTAAATTTTGCCGGAGGGTATCTCGTGATCATTCCAACAACTGGTATTTGGAAAATGTTTGTCCAACCACACAAGACGATCAGGCGAATGTGTGTAAGAGAGAGAGAGAGAGAGAGAGAGAGAGTAATGGGAAAAGGGAAATATTTTGCTTGAATGATAAATAACTACACCCTCGTAATACATAAGGCTATCGGGCAAATGAAATAGTCCTAAACATGGGATATATAGGGTGAAATGAAAAAAAAAAAAACTGCAACCAACTTCAGACTGCTGTCATTTCTAAGCCACTCGTCCGACAGCTGTTAAAATTATTCCAGTGACAGCTCATTATATTGTTTACAAGCGTACAAAAGTATTTTGGTGAGAATTTTCCAGAAAAAAAATTATTCGCCATGGAATTCAAGCGTGATAGTGTGATTTCTTTATATTTGGCTGGAGAACCACAAGTGGCTTTCGATAGAGCACTCCAGCAGTTAAATGTGAACAAATCTTTTGTGTCTCGTATCATCGCCCGTTACCGTGATTCTGGTAGCGTAGCCCGACGTCAAGGATGTGGTCGGAAGAAAACAGCAACATCAGCAGAAATGGTTCGAAAAATCAAAGAAGCGACTTGATGGAAACACTCGTCGCAGTGGCCGAAAAATGGCTCGTGAGCTGAACATATCGCAATATTCCATTCGAAAGGTATTGGAAAATGAGCTCGGGGTAAAGCCATTGAAATTCCAAAAAGTACAAGAACTTACACCGCTAAAAAAGAAAACAGACTCAAAAAAGCTAAGGAGTTGCTTAGCTTGGCCGAAAGTGGTAAACTGCCGAATTTGGTTTTATCCGATGAGAAAACATTCCCTGTCCAGCAGTTTGTAAACAAACAAAATGATCGTGTTTACTTGTCAAAGAGGTCAGCTGAAAATGTGCACCTTCGGTTGGCCACCAGAACTCAAGTGCCGGCCATGGTGATGATGTGGGCCGGCATAACAGCCGATGGTCACTCTCAGTCAGAATAAATGCAAAATATATTATCCCGAAAATATTCTGTATTAAAGCCTTGGGCACGCAAACATTTTGTCGGCAGACCTTGGACATTCCAATAGAATGGTTACAAAATAAGGTCCCTCACTTTATTTCCGGCACACAATGGCCACCAAAATCTCCGGATATTAATCCGTTGGACTATTGTGTCTGGAGTATTTTGGAAAGCAAGGTTGGCACTAAAAAATACCAAAGTGTCGATCACCTCAAGCAGGCGCTTCGCCGGGAATGGGCAAAAATACCGCAGAGCAACATTTGGCCAGCGTGAGATGGTTTCATTGGCCGTTTGAGGGCCATAATTCGTGCCAAAGGTGACCAATTCGAATAAATCTGAACTAAATCTAAAAATTGATGCTATTTCCGAAATTTTTTGCTTTAATTCAATAAAATTTGAAAAAAATGTAAAAATTATGGCGTTTGGCTTTGTTGCAGTTTTTTCTCTCACACTGTATTTAAAATATGGATTTTGTTTATTTTTATTGGAATCCATTTTCCGACTTGACTTGACTTATCGATGATAATCGATGAGGTCCCCTCACCAGCAATACTCGAACGTACTCTTCTTTTTGACGTTAATAGTATAGTGCCGATCGCCAGAAGAACTTGTCATAACAATAATCTTTGATTCTAAACTTACTCTGTAGAATTAGAGAGCCTACAAGTCCTTTCGACTGTTTTGAAACATATAAAAGTAATGCTTTTTTTAATTGCGATACTTTTTTAATCATCCGCCAAATTCTTCGCCGAACATTCACCCCCATCTCGCTATCGCCCATCCCGGAAAGCTGTTCATATTCTAATAACATCAAAAGCCATTAAAAGACAAGCAAACAAAATTGCCAAAGTTCAAATTCTTTGAACTGCTTTATGTTCTCTGGCCAATAAACTTGTTGTAACTCTTGGTGTTGTTGGAGTTGTTGTTCATGTGGCTTTTAAATGTTTACACTCGCCAGTGATGGACAAACTTGAATCAGACTCCCATGAGCTTGCTTAATCCGCCTCGGCCATTAAACACATTTGCCGGATAAAAGGTATTTACTGTTAGAAATTAATTACGCTAATGCCAGAATCGTATGGAACCCCAACAACAACAACAACGGACCCATGGACAAAATGCATAATCGATCAATGGACTGCCGTTACCAGGAACTCAATGAGCAGCCAGCCATCAAACATTCACTTGGCTAGACACGCAATGATTTTATGCACTCATTTGTTGAATGGCTATCTGGCTGGCAGTTTGGCTGGTTGACTGACTGAGTGGCCGTCTTGAGGCCTGGGACATGCATACCTTCACTTTAATGCATAATTTTGTGTAAATGACCGCCTCCACAGCAGCACAGCCGCGGCGGCAGAATGACCAGGAATAAACCATGGAAACCTGGAAAAGGAGACGATCTGAATCTAGGAGCTAATTCTGGAAAATGCAAATTATATGACACGGCTGTTAAAGCGCCTGCGTACGCCGCATTGCACGGCTGTCAAGCTGACAATAGGCCAGGCTTGCTAGCCCTAACAATGCCGTGTTTCTTGTTTTTATTTTAAGCTAGAAAAACATAAACTTCATGAGAATGGCTAGGCTTCGAACAATGCCATGTTGTTGGGCATTCGGTAGGAAGGGACTGGCCATTTCATTGCTAAGTGTTCGTAATAAAGTTGTCCTTGTTGTGCGCATGCGCATGGATAGGTAGGTAATTTCCAGGCTATGCCATAAATATGCCCGCTGCCAATGACTATTGAGATGAGTTATGCTGACATCTGGCTGGCCGTTTAGATGGTCGGTTTTCTGCTTCACTGGCTGGCCAACCGGCCGCCTGACTGATTGAGTGAGTTGTTGCAGATTTAACTCCTCCACATTACTGAAAGTGCCAACTCACAAAGATCACCAACGCTGGTCTGAATTGCATATTCTTAGATTTGGTGTTCTGCTGTGTGTTGTTGTTGTTGTTGTTCTTTTATGTTTATGACTTGATTTTATTTATTTTCTTTTCTTTTGTCTCCTCCTTTTTCGCAGGAACTCCACACGAACTGGCCACAGAACATTGGCAACGCATGATACATGCCACCAAATGTCGGAAGCCAATGCCACGCGTTATACCCGTTTCGAACAATACCTCGAAACGCTACGAGCCTTATGCCACGATTTTGCACAGATGTGGAGAAGATACTGGCTGCTGCGGTTCCACGGCCAGTGTCTGCACGGTGAAGCGACAAGAAGTTGTCATGGTCTATGTATTTGTAAGTATTTCAATTCCATATTTGAGTTGATTGCTGTCCAAGTGGCCCGTGTGTCTATCTCTCGGCCGGGCCTTCATAAATTGTTTGACAAATTGTTTGAATATGAAATTCCGAAGGCGTTGTGATAAATATACCCATTTTATGAAAAATAACAACGGAAGAAAAACAGAATAGATCGATCCGACATGCACATGTGCCAGATGGGTTTATAAAAAAAAGAAAGATTTTCTTTGGGATTTGATCTGGAATAGATGGGTAAAGACTACGGAAAGGGTAATAACGTTTAATGAAAGAGAAGGGAGTTAAATAAAATAAAAGTCAAGTTTCCTCATCCCTCTCGTTTAAAAATCTAGAGAAACCTTATTCTAAAGAAAGTACAGGGTGAGGTAAAAAACTGCAACTAATTCAAACGCCATCATTTTAAAATTTTTCTTTTTTTAATTGCATTGACTGAAAGTAAAAAATGTCGGAAGTAGCATCAAATTTTAGAATAAATTTAGATTTGTTCGAATTGGTCACCTTTGGCACGAATTATGACCTTCAAACGGCCGTCACACGCTGCCCGCTGCGTTATTTTGGCCCATTCCCGGCGAAGCGCTTGCTTGATATGAACGACACTTTGTTATTTTTTAGTCCCAACCTTGCTTTCCAAAATACTCCGGATACAATGGTCCAACGGATTGGTATCCGGAGATTTTGGTGGCCATTGTGCGCTGGAAATGAAGCGAGGAACCTCGTTTGTAACCATTCTTGGGTGGCGCGTGATGGTGCTGGGTCCTGTTGGAATGCCCAAGATCTGCGGCAAAAAAAAAACAGCAGTGATCCACATGGCATTTTTCAAAATTCTAGCTATACTTCTTCGAAAATAGTACCATTGGTACCATTTTAATATCCCAGAAGTAAAGCAGCTAAGTTCGGCCGGGCCGTACTTATAATAACCTCCACCATATGGAAGGAACTTGAAAAATTTAAATAAAAAATCTTAAAACTACCATTTAAATGAAAACCGTTATATGGGTGCTATAGAAGATGTGAACCTGTGAATAGGCTTTAGTTCCCATTACGAAATACCGAATACGGGGAGGTACCTTTTTATGGGGGCTATATGAAAACGTGGACTGACATGGCCCGTTTACGAACTTAACCTACCGGAAAAAATAGGCATGTATGCAAAATTTTAGCCTTCTACCTCAATTCGTTCAAAAGATATCGCGATTACAACAGACGGACAGATAGACCGATGGACATCGCTTAGACATGTCCATCCAGACATGATCCAGAATATATTTACTTTGTAGGGTCTGTGATAAATATTTCGAGGAATTACAAACGGAATGGCAAAGCTAATATATACTTCCATAGGTGTAGGGTATAAGAATGCCTTCAGATGAACATTATTGTATTCGAATCCGTATCCTTACTTCGACAGTAACATTTCCTTAAAGAAATTTCAAGACTCAAGCTTCTGCAGTCATTTTGCAGTTTTTATACCAGTAGTGGAATTCTCTAAGTCATTTTTGAGTTACCGAATCGCACTACAGAGGTCACTTCTTAGCGTATGGTACAGTAGACTAATTTTTAAAATTCCAGATATAACCATACAATATTTCATACTTATCAGTACCTCTTCACCTCACCTGTCTTGTTTCGCTCTAATTGCAACCTACATGCGAAACTTCAATATCCTAGATTTTAAAGACAGAATTGCAGTCTTTTCTACTTTATAGCTCCAAAGCCTTATCTCACGCCTATGCAGCGATAGTAAGCAATCTCTCAAGTATCTTTAACATTTCGAATTTTGCAGTTTCTTTTAGAATCTCAACCAAACTAACTTATTACACCAGCCTCGTAAACATGCATTCACTGTTTTATTGGAAAAAATAACATATTCATACGAATCGATAGGACTAAATACGATCAGATCGTTGGTGTCCGACATGATGCCGCTTTTTTAGTGGCTTCGTCTCTGAATCTTAATAATTATTTAAATGACTCTCATCTTCAACCACTTGGCATGCCTTTTTTATTTATTTTCTGTTTCCAGTCCTATGACTTTAATTATCGCAAAGAAATCGAGGCGTTACCAATGCAGAACCACACCGAGTGTCATTGTGTCAATCGCGCCAGTTTGCAGTATGAATCGATGCCACGTGGTAAAAGATCTGGTTCATGGCAGCATCATCATCCTCGATCGTCACAATTGCAAAAACCTCCGCATCATCACCAGCACAAGAGCCATCTACAAGCGAGCGCAGCGGCCGCGGCATCGCCAATGTCTCGATCAGATATAACATCGCCAGGGCAGCCGCAGTACCATCACTATTCAGAGAATATGCTTAGTTGTCATTGTCCTCGACATTTTAGTGCCTTGGAAGAGGATGTTGAACGCTACGCTCATCTGCCTCGACCACACACGGTTGTGACGCGCAAATGCCGCTGTGATTGCTTGGCGAATAATCCCACATGTCTGCGGTTTAAGCATGGCGAAGAAGGATTCGCCCTGGAAGATCGCAAGTAAGTAACGTTGGCTGTTTATTTTTAGTCTGAACTAGAACTCAAAACTCGATTTCGATTTAATCCATTGCTAACTGTGTATGGGTGTTTGTGTGTTTCTTTCCCTTTTTACAGATGCATCGGTGAGCATGATTGCAAGCCTCCCGTATGTGCCTTTGGCGAATACAATGCTCAGTCGGGAAGATGTCCCACTTATCGGTCACATGGCAAGCCCAAATTTTGAGAAACCGACGAATTTCCATTTTACTTTACGTTTTCACCTAAGCTAAGTTTCCAAATTAGTCATATTCATCGATTGAATTTAGGTTTAGTTTTAATTGTCGATATTGTGGATGTGTGAGTTTTTTTTTGTGTTTTTAATTTTAATTATTATAATTATGTTTTTTTGTTTTTAGTTATAGTCACTTTATTTTTATTTTATTTTTGTAAAGACTATCTGTTTTCCTTGCCATAAAAGAATATTCCCTGCTTCCAAATGAAACTTATTACATTTAAAAAAAAACGTTGGAAATCAAAAGCAGATCATATAATCGAATGCAATTTGAGTTCATAAAGGAGAGAGGCAAGTGTGAGGCCACCTTCCCCCATTCCTCTCCTCTCTTGTGCACATCAAAAAATGCCATATTTAACGTCCTACAACATAATATCGCTTGTTTACTAAAAAAAAGATACATAACTCAAACATAGGGACCTTTGGAGTTAAAACAATTTTCATTTTTTCTACATATCTTAATTTATTTTTTTGTTGTTGCAAAATGGTTAGACTTAACATTAACATTATTGTTATTTAAAAAACAGGGGGAGGGCAGAGAAAACCTAGGTTTCGGAAAGAGCCACCAATCCTCATCAGTTACCCTGCTTTTTGTGTGGGCATATTCTCTCGTTCAGGTAAACAAAAGCATAACAAGTGGAGGGAGATGAAATTTTTTTATAAGTGCGGAGAAATGCCAAAAGAATGCAAACAGAAAGAGTTTAATTTAATTCTTTGGAACCTCTTCTATTGAGCTTACTATTTCGTCACTTGGGTTAACAAAGCTTTTTGTCATATCAGTTACTGTGGTTTCCGTTGGAATTGCAATTTTCGAATTTCGAAAAAATGAAATTTGTGCTGAATTTCGCAGATTCTTTTCGAAATTAGAAAAAAAAAATTCTGAAAAAAAATTTTTTCGAAGAAATCTGAGAGAATTACAATTTTCGAATTTCGAAAAATTTAAAGTTGTGCTGAATTGTACTCGGTTTGTGCCCATTTGTGTCGTTAAAACTTTTAAGATATCTTTCGATGACAAGTGATATGGTATGATTGATAAGTGAGCACAACTCAGCACAATTTACCTCATCTCAATATTTGAATTTTTACAACAATTACAGCGATTTTTCTGAAAAAGTACCGTTTTTTTATTCGAAATTTTCATCTTGAAAACGGTTAAAGATATTGAGAAAAAATAAACGGCGCAAATTAGCACAAATCAAACAGAACTCAGCACAACTCTCAATTTTTCGAAATTCGAAAATTGCATTTCTTGCATTTTAAAATAACTCCTGGGGAGAATATCCCTAGATAAAAAGCAGGAAAACTAATGAGAATTGGTGACTCTTTCCGAAACCTAGGTATTCCCTCCCTTACCCCCTGGTAAACATTACCATCTTTCACCCTACAACACATAATGGTAAGGGTATTATGTCTATGCGCATTTGTTTGTAAAATGGAGAAGGAAGCGAGATAGACCCATAGTTACCCATAGGATCTTCATAGAATCATTCGATGTATTTTTGTGAACAAAATGCAGGTCGTATTTATTATCCAATTCAGATGAAATTTTTCAAGCAATAATTTTTTGGCCCAAGGACTATCTCTGTTCATCTTCAACCGAGTTAGGGTTAATTGTGCAGCAAATGGCTAATATCAGCCAAAATAAACTGAATTTTGGCAATTCCGAAAGAATTCATCATAGAAATAAGTTCTTCAAATTTGTTGAAAATTTGTTCACATATAGCTATAGCTCCCCCTCCCCCATATAACGGTACCTTGGTATCGGTATTTTGATGATTTTAGCGACATTATTCACCGTAATTGTTTCAAATTTGTTATTTGAGATTCGTAATGGGATACTACAGCCTATGACAGTAAATTGTCTGTGCAGGTCCACGTCTTCGTATAGCCCCCATATAACAGTACCTCCCAAAATTCGGTATTTTGATGATATTAGCGTCATTATTTCAAATTACGTATTTAGAGCTCGTAATGAGAACTACAGTCTGTGACAGAAAATTACCCATGCAGGTCCAGGTCTTCGTATAGGCCCCATATCCCCTCCTTATATTCGGTATTTTGACGAGTTTAGGTACAATACCTACCGAAATTGTTTGAGATATCGTATTTGACGTTAGTAATGGATGCTATAGCCTGTGACAGAAAATTGTGTATGCTGGTCCAGGTCTTCGCTCAGCTCTGATATAACGGTACCTCCCTATATACGATATTTTGATGATTTTAGCTACATTATTCACCGGTAATGGCTAATGACAAACAATGCCTATGTTGGTCCACGTCGTATAAACCCAATATAACGGCTATATTCGGTATTTTTAAAATTTTGACAGAATTTTTTAAGGATTTTATTTTTTGAAAATTTCTAAATTCGTTCCAAATGGTGGAGGGCATTCAAAGTTCGGCCCGGCCGAACTTACTGCTTTTTAACTTGTTTTTTTTTTTAATTTTATTAAATGAAAGCAAAAAAGTGTGGGAAATAGCATCAAATTTTAGAATAAATTTAGATTTGCTCGAATTGGTCAACTTTGGCACGAATAATGGCCTTCATACGGTCAATGAAACCGTCACACTCTGCCCGAATGTTGCTCTGCGGTATTTTGGCCCATTCCCGGCGAAGCGCTTGCTTGAGGTGATCGACACTTTGGCATTTTTTAGTGCCAACCTTGCTTATATCCAAAAATTTCCAGGCACAATAGTCTAACGGATTGGTATCAGGAGATTTTAGCACTGGAAATGGAGCGAGGAACCTCATTTTCGCGATAATATTCGGCATTTATTCTGATGCCACGGTCGATTAATACGAGCGGAGAGCGACCATCGGCTGTTATGGTGGCCCACACCATCACTATGGCTGGCGCTTGAGTTCTGGTGGCCAACCGAAGGTGAACATTTTGGATATAGCTCCCATATATATCTTGAGTTTTATTGTTCACCAAATGGCTACTATCAGCCCAAATGTACTGAACGGCACTTCCAATGGAATTCAGCGTAAAAGCAAGTACTTCACATTTTGGTGAAAATCGGTGCAGATAAAGCTATAGCTCCTATATAAATGAGTAATATGCACTGATATAGTCGGCACCACCTGACTTTTGACCTTTACTTGCTGATGTTCATAAAAAAAAAACAATGGGATAAAGCCAACTAGCTCGCAACAACAAAATACTATGGTATCCCGAGCAAACCTTAAGTTTACTTAATTTTTTAATATCTGAAGTTATATTGAGTTTATAAGCATTTAAAATCATTAAACCATGTTTGCTTATGCACAGAAATTTAGCGCTGATATTTGGCGGCCTCTTTGCAAATTATTATATTATTTTTTTGTTTTATAATCTTTTAAATTCGTGAAGTCAAATTTTTAAAATGCATTTTTCTCCGAACTTTATTTATTGAAGATTCTTTGAGTAAATAAGCGATATACAAACATATATATATTAAAGATTGATATGCGCTTTATTTTCACACAATATAAGTATGTAGTAGATTCAAAGGAATTTCGGTTCTTCTAATCTCAACCAGCATACTTCGAGTCTCAAAAAAAACAAGATTTTCTCTTTGATTTTCTAAAATATAGATGCAAACACAAATAAATTAATAAATATATTTTTACACATCATTTTTGTATATACATATATAAGTCGATTACATATTCACATTAAAAAGTATTTTACTAACATTCGAAATATTTAAACGGAAAAACAACATTCAGTATGTACTTAATTCTATTTTTAATAATTTATATACATAATTTGTAATTGATGAGAACTTCTTCGAATATACATATACATACAAACATATATATATACATACATAATAAATAAATAAATAAATACTATATATAAGTTAAGTATAAAATACAAGAGGATACAGAAAAAGAAGGATATTTTTGAAAATAAATTCCTTATTTTAAACATTACTAAGCTTGCGTGTGTATGTGTGTAAATTGCAATCGTAGCATATACATGCATACAAACATATATTTTTATTTGTCTTGATTTTAAAGATTTTTTGTTGTTTTTTTACAAATAAATAATTATGATTTTTTTTACATAAAATGCTACATAATAAAGCTAGTCATATGACGACAATTACCGGTAATATTTGATTTTGAGCTTAACCTTGGAGGTAAGTTTTTATGATTCGAGCTTCTTTTCCAACCAATTGCATAATTTGACTACAATTAACAATATTACAATGACAATTAAATAAATATCTAATGAATAATATTCAAAAAAGTTCAAATCCCTCAGAGGACTGTGTAAATGTCTTGCACCGCCGTATCGCATGACATATTCCAGCCAAAAGATGACGCTTTCTTCGCTGCTTTGGGGCCTGTCGCGATATAATCGAGAGAATGCCAATGCATTTCTATGATACCGATCAGTCTTTAGAAGTTCGTTGAGCGTATCCACCAATTGGGCTGAGGTGAGATTATAAATGTCCAATGCCATGCCCAACTGTTTGGTTTGTATTCTGGCCACGTTGGCTCTCTGATCGCCAAAGAAAGCAAAACCCAAAATGGGTTTAGCATGGCTATACACTTCCGAAACACTGCCCTTGCCGCCATGCGTTATAAAAAGCTTTGTATTATTCCAGGCTAATATTGCATTTTGAGGCCACCAAGCACGACATTTAATGTTTGGGGAGAGTTTTTCCAAGTCCTCACAGTCTCGGTCATAAGTCCATATAACTGTATAGTTGATGAATAATTTAAACGCCTCAACGAAAACTCTTGGCATATTTCTATCCAACATTGACCACTTAACTCGGGAACCAAAACTCAGATAGATAATGTCCTTTCCCTCATTTAGGATGGTTTCGAGATCACTGTCACAGTGTTCAGTGGAAGTTTTGTTGGCATATAGTTTTGAATATTGCAGACCACCAATTTCAATAATCCCCGGTACCTGTGGACCAATGGGACCCTCACTCAACGAATGGTGATTGACAAACGTCAGGGAGACATTTTTTCGTATTTCCCAAAATGTAGGGTATTCGGGTTGGGGGAAGTGTTCACTGAAATTAAAAAAGAATATAAATATTCATCAAAAGCAGAACTGAAAACTAAAGTAACTAAAATTCTTCTCAAAGAAAAAATAATCTTGTTCGGCCGTTACGAATTTTTACACATCATATAGCTAAGTGGACTGACTTAAAAAAAACAAGGAACTTTGTTGAGTTTAAGCAAACTTGGATTGAAGAGAAAACTTTTTATATACCATCGAGGACTAACAACGACTACCAATATCAAATTTGATTTTTTTTAACTACAGGCTGAGATGAAAAAACTGCAACCAACTTTAGACTGCTGCCATTTCGAAGCCACTCGTCCGACAGCTGTTAAAATTATTTCAATCACAGCTCATTATACTGTTTACAAGCGTACAAAAACATGGTGAGAATTTTCCAGAAAAAAGAGTTATTCGTGATGGAATTCAAGCGTGATATTGTAATTTCTTTATATTTGCTAAAAAAAACACCAGTGGCTATCGTTAGAGCACTCCAGCATTCAAATGTGAATAAATCTTTTGTGTCTCACACCATCGCTCGTTACCGTGATACTGGTAACGTAGCCAGACGTCAAGGAAGTGGACGGAAGAAAACAGCAACATCAGCAGAAATGGTTCGAAAAGTATGGAAGTGACTTGATCGAAACCCACGTCGCAGTGACCGAAAAGTGGCTCGCGAGCTGAACATATCGCAATATTTCATTCGGCAAATATTAAAAAAGGAGCTCGGGGTAAAGCCATTGAATTTCAAAAAAGTGCAAGAAGATACATCGCAACAGGAAGAAAATAGACTCAAAATAATCCAAAAATTACAAAAAATGTGGCAGGATGTCCATCCATTTTGATTACTTCGTGATGTAAACTTTCAAACCCCCGATGCACCCTCACAATCTTTTGAGTGTTTTGAGTGGCAACCGTATGCCACTATCAACTATCCCTCACTTTTTATAGGGAATATCTAATGAAGGCTGTCCGTTATACCATCCAAGGCAATAGTATATTGGCTCGGAGCTGATTTTGATGAAAAATATCGATAGAGTCTATACAAATAGCAACACAAGCACACACGAGTTTACATTCATTTTATACGTTATCCTTTCATCCTAGTACTCACTCATACACTTCCTTCATTTTGTGCAAAGCAATGCTTTCGACGAACTTCTCGAACCATCCAAATGCAACACCCCTCCAACCTCTGTATTGATGTCGATCGTAGGGTTGAGGCACATATCGTCTGTATTCCGGATTACCAATTAATTTATGAATAAATCCAATTGGCTGCCCAGTCCAAATCACCACCGAGGGACACTTAAAATGAGCAGCCACACCCAATTGGTAGTCATTGAAGAGGTAACCCAATAGCATAAGATCGAAATGATGGTCTCTCGGATCCTTCATAAATTTACGCCACGCTGGATCGTTCATAAACTCTGAGGTGTCATCGATACGCTTCATCATGGATTCAATCTGTTCCAAGGCATTCGAATTTGGCAAATGCCTCGATCTCGTGTACTCCGATGATAACTTTATCCATTTTAGATTTTCAGGAGCTGAGGAGAATTCTTGCACTTCCAGAGTGGTTATAACGGTTACATTGTGTCCCCTGTCCAGTAGCAAATTTACAATTGATGTGTAGAGCAGCAAATGGGAACGGTGGCTATTGATGAACAGGGCCAATATGTTGGATGCGTTGGTCAGCTTGAAACTCCAGCTGCTAATTAAGGCCACTGCCAGAACGAACGAAGTGAACGGTGACCCAAACATTTTTCGAATGCCATTTGGAAAAAAATTAACCGTTTGCCAGCTATGTTTTGCATGGAAAAGACTTATCTGACGTTGAAAGGCAATTAACAATCAATCACTTCATTAGGTTGATAAAGAAAACGCCGCGACATGCGTTGGTGGTCAGTGTAGCGCCAGCGATTTTTTTATCTATTCGACCCTTTTCTGTTGGGGGCTGACGACAGTTGTCTATCACTTGGTAGTCATTAAAATGCAATTATATTTAAAAAGTTTTACAAAACTATTGTATTATTAAATAATCCAGATTTTTGAAATAATAAATATATGGAAATAAATTCTGATTTGTGGCTAAAATATGGGAATAATGTTGGTGGGGCACATCGCGCTTTTTAGTTCAAATATTATATCGCAATTGCAAAATCCAAGGTTTCGTGGGGGTTATTTCTAGGTTCGGATTTCTTACATTCGTAATTAGCAATATGTATAGCGAACTATATGTTCAAAGTGGACCATGTGTTGGGAGAATGAAACGAATAGCAATTCTTGTTTCCTGTTCCGCATTGACATGGCAGTGATAAAAAAAAAAAAAATTCTTGAAGAAAAGGACCAATATTGTTTGTCCAAATTCTAGTGTTAACACAAATACCAACATATAAATAGACTAACTGTATGAAATAACCAGCCCAACACCAGGTGTCCTAACAAGGCTTTCAAATAAAATTGTACCGAAGATATGTTACGAACACATATTATATAGACTATGCAACAACAGCCGCTGGTTTCTCCATTCGCGATCGTTTTTTGAATTGGGCACTCCACAAATGTCATTAAAGCGTCAACCCCAATAACGTTCCTTGTTGTGTCCTTGAAAAGCATGAACATTTTCCAGAACCTAATCGAGAAATCGTCTTGACTTATGAGGCCCATTTACACCTCGCAAGCTCAATCGGAAATACGAGAGGATTCGTTGAGAAGCCTCTCCATACTCAACGTGTGAAAGTTTGGGGCATTTTATGGTCATGCGTAGTCATTGTTTCGATTCAAGATCCCAAAAATTATTCGTTATGGAATTCAAGCGTGATAGTGTGATTTCTTTATATTTGGCTGGAAAACCACATGTAGCTATCGTTAGAACACTCCAGCATTTAAATGTGAATAAATCTTTTCTTGCCTCGTACCATCGCTCGTTACCGTGATACGAGTAGCGTAGCCCGACGTCAAGGAAGTGGACGGAAGGGAACAGCAACATCAGCAGAAATGGTTCGAAAAGTATAGAAGCGACTTGATCGAAACCCGCGTCGCAGTGACCGAGAAAAGGCCCGTGAGCTGAACATATCGCAATATTCCATTCGACTAATATTGAAAAATAAGCTCAGCGTAAAGCCATTGAAATTCCAAAAAGTGCAAGAACTTACATCGCAACAGAAAGAAAATAGACTCAAGAGAGCTTCATTGGCCCTTTGAAGGCCATAATTTGTGCGAAAGGTAACCAATTCGAACAAATCCAAACTTTTTCTAAAATTTGATGCTATATTTTTGACTTTCATTCAATAAAATTTAAAAAAAAATGTAAAAATTATAGCGTTTGACTTTGTTGCAGTTTTTTATCTCACCCTGTATACATTTTTTTTGACCTTTTGTGGATAAGGTACCATTTCTCATTTCATTTGATTATGGTATCAATATTAAAATAAGTAAAAGTTATATAAATCATATAAAAGGCACCAAAAAAAACGTTCTGATATATCCCATCTTCACCCTAAGTTTTATACTGACTGAAATATTGGGATGTGCGAAGTTGTGTGAAAATCGGACAAGTTTTTTTATTTTATTGGGATAATTATTACTTTCAATGTCAAACCATTTTAGGGGAGGTACAAAGATAATTGCTCTCAGATGTAATTTTGAGAATAATCTTATAGCTGTGACCACACATAAATCTTTCGAAAATAATCCAATATTTCATTCCTTTTGATGTTAAGAAACTCTTATGCAATACCCCTATAATGAGACACCCCACACATATTCAACGCAAACATTTATTAAACAATTAACCTCAATTAAAATTATGTACTCAAACTCAACAACAATGCTGTGCCCCGTTTAATCCAGTAATCGGCAGTTTCTGATCCAGATTTCAAGTCAACAGCTATTACAAACGAACCGGCCCGTTCCGGATAATAGTAGGCGGGACACGAGTAGATTCCTTTGGTTCTCCTCTTCGTTTGTTCGACTGGCTTGAAATGTATGACCGGCATGGGGTAGACCAGTTCCATGGGTAAAGGATCGGTTAAACACTGACCCTTACGCAGCCAACCGGCACCCTCCAAAAACAAGCCACGGACATAGACACCACCACCCTCGCGCACTATACGAGCTGCTGCAGCGTCTTCCTCTACGAAAACAAAAAATTCCCAACCCAATTCATCGATGGGCGTACGACTCGAGCGAGCTGACGTTTGCAGAACTGCTGTTATGAATCCCGTGGGAAAGGTGTAGGCTGCCAACCAAAACAACGTTGGCGGTTTCAGAACCTTGGCCCACTGGGCGAAATGTTCAATGCGAAAGACCAAATCTCGGGACCACGAAGCCAATGGCTTTGTGGACTGATAACCTATTAAGAAAGAAGGATGAGCCCACAGCGCACAGAGAAAACACTTAGTCCCTTACTTTTTAACCACACCAAAGGCACCCGACCCTCGTACACCGCCTGATATATGTCTTCCAAATCGGTGCTCATCACCACCAACCCCTTTATGCCCATTTGCAAATCCCTGAGATGGATTTTGATATTCCGCAAAAGGACATTGTAACGTTCCATCTCCTGCAGCAGTACCACCTCCAATGGTGTGCGCTTCAGGCCAATTAGTTTTGCGGTTTGCTCGTAATTCAGTTCATCCGGAGTACTTGAAGCGATGTCGTGGGCCAAACGCAACACCTTTTGCTCTTTACTCTCACCCACCGATGCTGAGGATTGGACTTGCATTGAGATGAGGGTTTCGAACAGCAGACGCGTCTCTCCAATCAGGGAAGCAATATCAGCATTGGGATGTTGTCCAAAGGCCTCAGGCCTATCAAATGTAGGAAATTGCTGTATTTGATCCAGATACGACTGAACATCACCATCCGGTGGTATAAAATAATTGGGCAAAGAGGATAATCTAAAAGGGTGTTGTGGATGCGGAACACAGAAGGAAATCTCATAGAAATTCGCACTTACCTATGCTTGGACACATTTATTGTGTCGTCGCAATAGAACTGATTGATGTAGGTGGTCAATAGCCTGCGATCCCAATCGTCTGTGACATGACCACCATAATTGACGCCAGCAATTAGATATTTCAAAGCTCCCCACGGAGTGTTCTCATATTCATTCAAATACAACAGCAACAAGACCTCGGAAACCTCAAAATCCGAATCATTAAAACTATAAATGACATTCCAGCCCAGCTGCAGGAACTTCTTGCGTTCCAGGAGTATTGTGTGAAAGAAACAAAGCGAAAACAGAAGTCTCTTGTACTTCGATGCGTCATTGGCCATTTCGAAGTTGTCTTCATTGACATTATTGTATAGCCGTTTCATGTTGGCCTTAATGCCTCTGGGTGGCTCTGTGGTCATTTTAATGCTGGACTGTAGTATGGAGATGGGGAATTCGGGATGTGGACTCGAACTTAGCCACAAACGAAAGCGTTTATGCAGTTTCATAGACTGCATGGTGGCAATAATTTTATCCAGTGTCGGCATCCAGCTCAGGGACAGGTGGCAATTGGCCAGAAATACCCAGTTACCATCCCTGATGCCGTCCATTATCAATTTGGTTGCCACTGGCGCTTGTCCCTGACCCAAGCTCAGCGAAAACATGCGGGCGGACATTTTCACCTGTTCGGCCAATGTGAGCAGTGATTGGGCGGGATCCACTCCCGGAGATAAGACAAATATTAGAGGCGTCTGTGCTATGGACTCTTCAAATGTAACCTTCAAATCCAATACTGGGGGTTCCACGAACCGTGTTCCCAAGGAATTGACGATAAATTGGGTCAGACAAAATTGTATGCGATCGGGCCGAAGACATCTTACCACGCAAATTTTCTGAAAGTCTGTAAGTTTGTCGTTCCATTCACCGACCAGATCTTCCACTTCGGGATTTGTCGTGGCATACCAAACTGAGAAGGCGAACAAATAATTACGAAAGTTGCAAAGAATAGTTAAACTGAAATATAAACATTAGGGTGTCCATAATCGAAATCGAGTGAACTATTCTGTTCAGGTTAGTGGGGCTGGTAGACGAGTTAAAAACGGCTATTTGGCTCGACATGGATGCCACTTTTGTTCTATTTTTTATACCCTCAGCCATATGGCTAGAGAAGGTATATATCATTTGATATGGACAAAAACGTGTCTCATCGAAATAATGGTTTGGGCCATTTGATACCATTTGGTACCTCCCCCCCACAAAGAGCCAAATTTTATAATAAGTTATACTTCTAACTAGTAGGACATTTTAAGAAAATATAATAATAATAATCCTCTCTTTAAACCCCCTTTCGCTCTACATATTTAGCGGAGTAAAACCTAATAGCATGGGTGCCAGCTTCTGAATCCCTGCTACCTGATTATAAAGGATTAGCATCTAATATTGGTATTTTAAAATAGTTTTGCTGTTTCGCATTTTCTGGAATTTTCTCAGATTTAATTTAACACCTCTCGTCCTCTCTCTCCTTTTCTGTGTATTCCTAGTCTTACCATTACAAGTTATGCAAATACCGCATATATTTTGCCATTGCAATAACAACTCACCCTGCCACAGTTTGGCACTCTGCTCGAAAGAATCGATAATGCCATGGAAACCAGCCACTTTGTCCAATTCCGTTACATTGTCCCACGCCTGTTCACTGATCCAATCTAAAATTGAATACAAAATTATGACAGGACCACATTCCCTTGCAATAATGCATAACATACGTGGAGCAGGATTCGGTGGCTGACCTTGTTTGTCCAAAACAATGCCACCCTTCAGAATGAATTCATATTCCGCTTCGACCAACCTCCCGGCATTGGCCAAAATTTGGGCGGTCATGTGAATTGAGAACAAGAGTTTGTGTTTCTCGAAGAGGCCACGGCAGGTGTTTTTGTACACCGCATAGGTGTGATAGTCATTGATATTCATAATACGTTCGAAGACGATCTGATGCTTGGGACTGCGCTCGATGGACTGCGTGAAGAGCAGTATATAGGCCGACAGGGAGAAGACGTACATTGGATCTATCTTCGACATGTCCATGAGGACGAAGAACAAAATTGAGGCTCGCTCGGCAGCAGGTTGATACTCTTGACGCGCCGTGTCTATTTCAATCTCAGTCACTTCGGCCGTGCTCAGGGACTCCTTGACCAGTGTTGAGGTTTGCCGAGACTTCTGCAATGTGGCAAACAGCTCGTCGTCTTCCAGCAGCGATCCCCTACTCTCATTAAGCAATCTCAAAATTTCATTGTCCAAATCTATTAGAGTTCTCTTGTTGCGGGCTATAGTCACCACCAGTTCGTCCTTTTGCTCCTCCAAGGCCGGCTTCTCCTTGCGCACTATGATACCCAGTAGCTGGGTCTGCAAACCATCCTGCTTCAGGGCGAAATTGACAATTGTAGTTTTCGACGATATCTCCGGAGGGTAATGGGGATTGGTCATTTTTGTTGTTATGTACAGTCGGAAATTGTCATTGAAGGTAGAAAATTTGTCATTGAATTTGATTAGCTTCTGACCACCCTGCAGGGTATAGCTCTTGCGCAATATGGGATTAAGGGACTGATCAATGCTTTCACCCACATTCTGCAGTAGAACTGGATTGCCATTCTGCAGTGCCAACTCCAGAGTTTTCAAATAATCCAATTGCCCGCAATCGATTAGTTTCAAATCATTCTTCTCTTCGTAATTTTTTATCCAAGAGTTGGCTTGCATTTGCGGATCAATAATTAGAGGCCAACGACTGCCCCGAGTCACAATGACACCATTCTCGGTGCTAAAATCATCAGCAGGCAAGCCCTGAATATTCCACTCACGAATAGTAACTGCATCGGAGAGAAAACCCGTGATCTTCAGGTCTTCGGTGGCTGGTATTAACTTTTCCTTGATGAGCAGAGCCCATCGTTCCAAAAGAATCTCACGATATTTGGTGTCGAATGGACCCAAGTAGGACATAAAGGCGGTGGATATAAGACAATCCCCGGGCAGCTTTTCGAATTGTTTATCCAGCTGGGCGACTGTTTCAATCCAGCGCTCCCGTTCACCCGACAGAGATTCCACCAAGATGATGGCTCTCTCCAGTTGTTTTCTCAGGCGTTCCTCCTTCAAACGAAGCTCATTCAGAAGATCTGTTTTCTCTTTCAACTTCCTATAGAGTTCGGCCAGTTGTGCGTTTAACTCCTCCAGTTTCTTTCTGGCTGCAGCTAGCTGTGCTTGCTTCTCTGCCAACGAACGCATCGCATTATCCAACTTCTCCTGCTTGGGCGCCACTATGCGATAAACTTTACCATAGTTTTCAATTGCTATTATCCACTGCATTAAAGACTTGCAAGCTAAAGACACCACGGCGACCTTGTCCGGTTCCAACTCGGGATTTTTTGTATACAAGGCAATGCGTTTCAAGGTTTTATCCGATATATTGTCGCGATCAAAGTTTTTGAGATCATTGAGAAACGTTGCTTCGCCCAACACCTTCTTCGCATTCTCCCATGTAGGTTCTTTGCCAATTAATATCAGAACAGCTTCCATTACCTTTTCGATCTTCATGGGTGGACGTCCGTATGACTTGACCTCAGCCACATCTTTTTTGTTGAGAGCATCTAGAGCCTTGACAGCGGCATCCACCATTGGCATAACAACATCTAGATCAGCCTTGGCGGTGGCTGCCAAATCTAAGCAGATCACCTCATCACGTCGAATGATAACTGCCTCGGCATCCACTTTCTCTTTTTGCTCTGTCGCCTCCGTCTTTTGCTCCTCAATAATGGCGATGAACTCTTCGCACTCCACCGCCAACATTTTCACCTGTTCCGAACTCACTTTCAGCTCTTCGGACATCACAGTCACCTTTTCCTGAGTTTCGGCTATTTTCGAAAGGCCATTGCGTAACTTGTTGGCACTGGATGATATTTCAAAGCGCTTGCTTTGCAGAAGCTCCTTGAAACCGCTTACCAGCTGCAAATAATTTAAAGACGTCACGTAGTTTTGCCGTTTCACCTCTAAGAGCATCATCTGAGAGATTTCCGTGACGCTGGAGTGTATGACTGAAAAGGCATAGGCCACATCCCTTTGCAGTGTCTCCTCGGTGCTCATTACTAAATTGTCACGATGTTTTTCATCTTCTCTGCCGGGCACTGGCACGTTAATTTTGAATTCTGATAGGAACTTGGCTGCGACTTCCAACAATGCTTCCTGAGGCCATAATCTAAACCAATTCGGTGTGGTGTTGTTAATCAGGGCCGGATATTGGCGAATATAGGATCGAAAAGCCTCCCCGATGGGACTCATGGCCAGGGCAATATGCATGTTGTCCCGTACATTTTGCATGAAGAAATTGTACAAGGCTTCCGTGGTTAGTTGGATTCCCGCCTTCTTTGCCGGCCTTTCCAATTCAGTCTTTAGTTCCTCAAATTCATCCGCCTTGAAGAGATTTATTTCGCCGGTGCTCAGCATATTATTGAGGATTTCTAAGAAGGTATCTTCGACCACCTGCTCGCCGCTGAAGATGAAAACTGTTGCCCTCTGTTTCACCCCAGTCACTTTGTATAGGTTCTTCAGGTCCTCCTTAAATTCCTGTGTCTTGTACTTTTTAGTCACCTCAATTTGAAATACACCCATCTCCAGAATAAAGGCTGCCAACTTGACCAATACCTGTCTACCGGAACCACCAATGCCAATGTTTAAAACATGGCCCCGGGGTTGTGATATGACCCGGACAATCCGGCAGACATGTTCGATAGCCTCTTTGAAGAAGACCAAATTCATGCGAGCCATGCCAGGGAAATTGTTGTACTCCATCAACTGGTCATTGATGTATGAACGCAAGTTGTCTGCGTTCAGGTCCTCGTAGAAGCCTTGCATACTCATAAACTCACCGAAAATCGGCACAACTTTATTGGGGCACAAACTGTGAAAGGTGACCTCCATGTGTTTTCCCAGGACATCATTAATCTCGTTGACAAACCAATCGTAGTCGTTGTCATCCACCAGCCGATCACAGAACACCCGAAAACACTCGTGTATCCACAGCCTCAGAAATTGGGCCTTCTTCACCAGCACCTCGGAATTGGCTCGTAGCAAACCCTGGAATACCTTGGATATATCACGCAGATTGAACAGATAATGAGACCTGTTCGGAGTGGGTAGCATTTTTGAGACCACATCGTTGTAGAGGTGGATGGTGGCCGCAGAGATGCGATGCCACAGTTCGCGCACCTCATTGGCGAATGGTTGCAACTTCTGACGTATCATCGTTCCGAAAATACGCATTATCACAGCCTCGGTGGGAAAGGTCATGTTCAAAAGGAAAAATCGACTCATGGTGCGCGACGATATCACTTGGCGACCACCGCCAGGAGGACCCATGGCTGCCATTAGCAGAGTGTTGGTGACATAGATCTTCTGCTGGTTTCTTCGATTGAACCAGTATTTGTAGTCAATCCATTGCCGTATCAACTCCAATGGAGGCTGTGATCCGTACACATCCTTAGCGGGCATATTAAAGTCATCCATAAAGCAGATCATTTTCTTGCCACCAATCGGAACGAAATGCGTCTTTGTTCTTTTCTCGGTGCGATTTTCAATGGATTCCTGTAAACCGGCAGCGGTGGTCTGTAAATAAGAGGATAGGGGTCTTTTGGTTCTTTTATTTAAAATTTTTGTTATCCGTAGCACTGACTAAGACCTTATATACAGACAATTCAAGGACTACAAAAAATCTTAATCCGAAATGTAACCAAATGTGGGGGAGGGGGAACTTGCCCCATTATTTAGGTTACTTTGCGGTATAAACTTTTCAAAAACAGATACCTGTGTCTCCTATTTTTAGCTCTACTTTCATAATCTGCTGCATTTTTGGTGTAATTAATAAAGTGAATTTTGTCGCACAGTGTAATTTTGTGTTATAAGGCCCAACAAGTGAAATGAAAAATTTTATAAGGAAATCGTTTTCATTTCAAATTTTCATAGAACAAGCGTCTAACCCCAGAGGTATTGGATAACAGCGCATGCGCAAATCCACATGCGCATTTAATAATCTCCCAACTTTTGTTGATTAGTTCAACGAACAACGCTGCACTTACCTGGGCCGATATATTGATGGAGAGGACAGTAAATTTTGTCTTGTCACAGGACTCCATTACACTGACGGCCGTTGAGGTTTTGCCCGTGCCAACATTGCCAACCATCAGTACCGGATGATTGTCTTGCAAAAGTTTTGAAACCAAATACTCATAACGAACTGTGTCCACGGTGGGAACAATGATTTTGTAAAACGGTTCCCTAGCAGAAGAAGAATATCAAGAAAGGCACATTTTAACAACACCCACTCCCTCCCCCACCCCTCTACTTACTCTTCGTTAAATCTCCATGTGTCGGACAGTTTGCTATCCCAGGGCAGAAAACACCTCTGCACTGGATCAACGTAATAATCATAAATGGTGTCCTTGATGGGGAAACAGCTGTCCAACTCTCTTATGTAGGCATCTTGCCGCAAGCGTCCCCGTTCATCGACAGTGCCGCAGACGGACCAAACCAAACAGAACATGAACCATAATTTACACATGGTCTCCAGCAACTCTTCGTTGCCCACAACAATGCCATTTTGTTTGGTGGCGAATCCTTCGAGGAGGTGACACATCGACATCACCACATTCAGTTCGTTGGTCTTGACAATTTCCTTGCACTCGGAGTTCTTGAATGTCAGAACTTTGTCCAAGAACTCATCGAAGTACTGGCGGATATACTTGACATATTCGGGGGGTTTCTGTCGCTGTAGCCATGACTCGACAAAGGGTCTCCACCCCCAATCACGATAATCATTGTAGACCATACCACAGCGGGACACTGTGGCAGGTGAGGCCACTGCCAGGTCGGCCACCTCGAACAGCAACGACACCTGGGCCGGCATGGTTATGCGCTCACTGTTGACCAGCGTCAGTATCTTGTTGTCATCCATTACGGAATTCATATTTTCTATCCACACAGCATCAACGGGACCATCGAATAGCAGCCACTTCTGAGTTGGATCTTCGTCGGCGCATATGATGCGCATTATCGAACTTAGAACACCATCCAACCATTCTCCCGTCGCCAAGTTGTACTCTCCATAGAGTTCGGCTAAATTGAGAGCCTTGGGATTGACAGGATGTACCGCCACTGCCGGCCAACCGGTTTTCTTTTGGGAATTCATACGTCCGAAGGCACCCTGCAAGCATTTCCAAGTAACCGACTTCGCCGTGTTAGTATCGCCAATAATCATCGTAGAGTGTCTCGAATTCTTGGTCTCATACAACTCGATTACCTTCTTCACAGCACTTGGTATGACTTGCAGTCCGTTTGCCAGCAGCTCATCCTCAATGGCTGTTTGGAAATCGCTGTAGTCTATCAGGGGCACTTCCACTCCGGGGAATATATCCGACATTATGCCATTGAAGAGTGGCAAATCATTGGCCGTCAAGCGGGCCACATTCATATCGCGCATGGCCAAGTAGACCACCTCCTCTTCGCTGGCATGAGGCAATTGACGTCTCTTGCGTCCCGCATAGCGCAGCAGAGCTACCATTGAACGCAAACCGAAATCATAGTGGTATTGCTTGGACAGCTGCTGCTTGGCCAATTCGTACAGAGTGTAGACCTTGCGGGCCAAACTTCGGGTGTTGGTGAAACCGTCAGAATACAGGGTGTTCTCGGCTATAATTACATTGTCGGGCACCATCATAGAAATCGGTCGAAACATGGACTTCAAATTGTCAGGCAACTCAGTACGGCCGGCATAGCCCGGATTCATGGTGATAAAGAGTCCCACAGTCGGAACCAGTTTTATCTTTTGACCCTCGAAGACGAATTCACTCAGTTTGGCAGACAGTGCCGACAAAATCGACATAATTTGTTGGGCCACCACTGACAGCACTTCGATGTTTATGCGATTGAACTCATCGAAACAGCCCCAGGAACCGGTCTGAGCCAAACCGGAAAAATTCTTGCCAATGCTTTTGAAATCTAAGCCCTCCGAACAATTGGTGACAATGACCCACATACCCAGGGCCTTCCCCAAATCTTTTACCGTCTCCGTTTTACCAGTGCCTGCAGGTCCCTTGGGACTGCCGCCACGATACAAATGCAAAGCCGTTGTCAGCGTAATGTAGCATCGATCGGTGAGAGGAGTTATCACCAATCGGCCTGAATTGCCAATGTACTCATATCCGTACCAGTGCTCAGTGTTCGTCTGTCGTATGACGCACGATTCCGACTCACGATGCCAATAGAAACGCAGCTGGGAGAACCACTCAAAGTGCGACACATCCTTGCAATTGGTTTTGTACATCCTCTCAATGACATCTCGTCCATGTATTTCGACCGTGATCAGAGTGTTCACCTTGAGGCGCATTATCCTATTCAAATCTTTGCGAGACATCTCCGAGAGTTTGCCCAGATTTTTACTCTGCTTGCGCTTCAGCTTGCGCAGGGGTTTCTTTTGATCGACCATTTTACAGTGGACCAGGCTGCGCGTACACTCCGTGGTCCATTGGATTAGACATGTAGTATTAACCAGTTGGCCCGGCCACAACGACAGCCACTTCTCCCGATTCGATGCGAGCTTTCGCAGCGAGGCTCTGGTCAGCTTCAACTGTTCCCGCATTACAGCAAACATATAATCCTGAACCATTGTCAGCCATTTCTCAGAGGGACCATCTATGTAAATGACATGGAGGAATTCCACATACTCTCCGTCGTCTGAATACATGCCCAGAGCTTGCCAGCGATTCATGGCCTTGCCAACTCGTCTCAACTCCAGCTTAACCAGGTTATCGAATAGCTTTTTCAAATGGATTTGCACCAAATCCGGCCGCTTGTTGTTGCCCAGAATTTCCAAAAGATCGTCATTGGAAATGAAATAGAAACGGGGAAATAGTTGCCTCTTCCGTTCCAGATATATTTCCAATGCCCTCTGTATAGCCTCCAAACGTTCGTCCATTTTCTGAAAACGGTTGAGCAAAAAGGGAGGAGCCTTCAAATGGGTAGCTCTTAAAGCTGTCTTGGCCTCAAACATTTTCGACGACAGCAGTGAAAATTCATCGGTTATGGCAGCGAACCGGGTCGCCTCACTTGGTAGTTGTTTACGTATGTCTTCCCCCGAAAATATGTTCTCCAGATACAACCACTGGCGTTGCACCTGCAATGCTTTTTCCAAAGTCTCCGAGATGTAGGATAAGGTTTTCTCCCAATAATCCACCACCGCGGCGAAAGGTTCAACAAACCTGGTGGATTTCATGGCTGAAATCTGGACCATATGTTCCTCCAGCAGTTGGCTGCACTCATCCACGCTCTTGATTTTGTAGATGCCATCTCGGTATGGCGTCATTTCAAAGGCTTGTTTCCGCCAAATGCTGGCAATATTTTTAATTCCATTTTCGATTTGCAACTCCATGGTGGCGGCATTCGATATGTCTTGAATATCCTCGGAATAGGCTTGAAAATCCAATGCGATAATTAATTCCAATGTGAATTTCTCCGAATTTTCATCGAAGTCCCTGGAAAAACAGATGATGAAAAAAGCCATCCCTTAGGGTAGAATATTTAACCTACACTTGCATCAGCTCCCTAACGCGATCCCAATGCCTGGGGCGCATACAAGGATTTTTCAGAGCCGTTATCAAGGGCAGTGTCCTGCGAAAACTATCCAAATTCTTGGTGGTCGTAATCAGCATATCCCAATTACGTGGATAGTACTTCTTGTTCAGGGCGCTAAATTCCTTGTACAGACCCAAGGCTGTGTCCTCCATGAGGTCAATGTTAATTTTCCAAAAATTGCCCACACGCCACTCATTCCAAGCATTCTGCCATTCCAAGATGAGTTCCCAAATGTTTTGCACAATTTTCACTTCCCCATCTAATTTTTTCAGGTCCATATTTTCCGGCTGATTGATGCGAAAAATCGCCAAATCATTGATAAGACTTTCTTCGAATTTGAAACAAGCGGCCACTTTATCGGATATAATTTTCAGATATTTCAATGCTATTTTGGGATTTCTAAAGGCGAAGGGAGGGAAGGGAAATTAGGAAGATGAAGGGGAGGGGGCATGTGATGGAGAAGGTATTACGTTTGTGAGGAGGTGGGTAATTTAAGCATAAAGTCAGCCAGAAACTCCTTCATGATGGCACGGAATTTATCTGCTTGTTGCAGCAGATTCGCCTTGAATTCCTCTTTGGTGTTGTCCAACATTTCTCCGGCCTCTCCCAGTTTCTTGAGATATGTTTCCCACGTGGGCTGCAGATTAACCACCAATAACCGGGTATTTTCCACAATGTCGATTTGATATTTGTCTAAAACTTTGAAAAGTTCCAAAATTTCGGGGAATTCGTCCTGTTTTAAGGGTGCTTCCGTTCGCAGGCGATTAAATAGTTCAGTTGCTTCACGGGCCTCTTTCAATGTTCGTGGTACCACACTAATTCGTTTCTCATTGCGTTTGACATAGCGATAGACACCTGTAATTCAGCAAGAACAATAACAAAAATGACAGCATTATTTTTCAGATGTCTATATAGCTCCATATTTTCCTATGGCCCCCACGTAACGGTACCCTCTTGTATTCGGCATTCTGGTAATTTTTTTTTAACAAGGTTGTTTAAAATCCGGTACTTAAGGTTCGTTATTGGTTTTAATTCCTGTACCACTGATATTGGTTCACGTTTTGCTATAGCATAGCGAACACGATACGTGGATTTTAAAGGAATATTTTTTAAAGACGAAGAGACTATAATACGTGGATTTTTAAAGGAATATTTTTTAAAGACGAAGAGACTATAATACGTGGATTTTTAAAGGAATATTTTTTAAAGACGAAGAGACTATAATACGTGGATTTTTAAAGGAATATTTTTCAAGCGCCCACAGAAGGACCAACAGAACGTTGAACGTGGATTTTTAAAGGAATATTTTTCAAGGACCAAGAGATTAGATTTTTTTTCAAGCAACTGCAATCCATCGAACTTGGGATTTTAAAGGACCAACAGATTTTTAAAAGAATATTTTTTCAGGACCAACAGGCCACCAAACTTGGATTTTTAAAGAAAATAATTTGTCAAGCACCAAATCAAACTTTGATTTTTAAAGGAATATTTTTTCAAGGTCCATCAGACCACGGAATGGGGATTATTAAAGGAATATTTTTCAAGGCCAACAGATCATCAAACTTCGTTTTTAAAGGATTTTTTATTTCAAGTGCGCACAGATCACCAAACATGGATTTTTAAAGGAATATTATTTTCAAAGGATTTTTTTTAAAGGACCAACAGAACGCGGAACGTGAATTTTTAAAGGAATATTTTTCAAGGACCAACAAACCACCAAACCTGGATTTGTAAAAGAAAAGGACCAACTTCGATTTTTAAAGGATTATTTTCAAGGACCAACGTAAATAAATAGTTTTTCAAGGACTAATAGACCGCCAGATTTGTGCTATTGGACTCTATGCTGCTGAAAATTATTTCAATCAAATTTTCAAAGAAATTACTTTGACCAAAACATAAAAAGCTACTGGACCGGTACTTAGGTTCACTTCATAGGTAAACATTTATTACGTTCCAGCGTTAACTTCCACTCATGGGTACTTTTATACCAAAACGACCCTATTTTTGATTTGACTGGTTTCAAAGTTCTAACTACTAAACATAATTTTGTAAATTAATTTAGATATGCATTCTCACTCACTTTTAATCCGCGAAGTTGCTCGTTTCGTAAGCAACTTCACATTCAATAGCTGCCAGCGTTCTATGTAATCCATGATGGTGTTTTTCAAGGCCGTTTGATTTACCATTATAAAGTAGACATTGACAATGGCATCTTTCATGGCGATCAACTCCGCCTGGGAGCTGTACGATTCAATGCTGTCCTCAAAAATGTCGGCGGTTTGGTCGGTATCCTCAATACGCTTTACAAACGCCGCTTCGCTGCACTCCCAAATGTCGCTGCAACCTGTCCAATTGTGCACAAATTTATCGATTTCCTCTTTGCTGTAATCAACTTCGATGCTAATTTTCTCTTGGATATCGGCTATGATAGCATCCTCCATCATTAGCTTAGCAAAGGGTTGTCGACAAAGCTCACGGGGCATTTCCAATTTCTGGGCTATTCTCGGTATAGCTTCTAAGCTGCTGTGAATTCGACTTAGCATGCCCATCATTAATGTTTCAATGGTCGCCATGGTGGGACTGAGACTTAGCTTTTGGTCTTGAATATCTATGGAAATAATAATTATGGGAGCGGGATTTATGTCGCCCTCCGAGCGTAAAGCAAAATACACATTGTTCAAAGAGTTGCGAGCACAAATTAGCAAAGCCTCCGCCAGCATATCTTCGAAACGATGTACATACTTATACCATTCTGCCGTCATCTGAAAAAGGAAATGCAGATAAATATTCATCTATCTTTATCAAAAATCTCAAGGCGAACACGAAACCAACTCCCCACTCACATCTTCAATGACATTTTGAAATTCCTTAAAGACCGCATAAAGCAAATCGATTATCGTGTTGAAGAGATTCAAAATTTGATTGGTTGCTCGTCGATTGTAAGCATTGACATTTGCCTCGAACGAAGACAACTCCACGGCTCCGGGTAGGGTGAACTTAACCAAAGGTGTATCGCATATTTGCTCGCATATCTTGGCAATGTGACGGTTGGCGCGTTTATAGATATCTAAAGACTCCTGCAAGCGATTGGTGTGCTTGGCACAATCGGCTATATAGGCATCACTTAACTCGCCGCCCCATGTCAGTTTGAATAGGCCCGGAGCTATTTTGCGATCACATGACTGTATGAGGGCCCTGAAGAGTTTTCGCTCCTCCTCGGATAGGGCCGATAAGATGCGATTGTAATCGAGACACACAGCTATGACACTGTTGTAGACAAACTGCAGGGTGGCATATTTCTCATAGAGCTTTTTAATCGTTCCGGGAATCTGGAAACCCATTTGCTCAAAATGTTGGGCCTGTTGGCAAATACTCAACACGGAACGATCCATATTGCACTCCAAGAGTCCCTTCTTGGCTTTACTGCGCACAAGCAGGGTACGATCCAAACGGCTCAGCAGATTGCCACTGCCACAGCTTCGGACCCATTCTTCAAATGACTTTTTCATTTCTTTTTCGAAATCCCTCTTCAAGTTGTCGAATTTTGCCAAAGTGGAAGCTGCTTCAGGAACCGCTGGTAACCACTCGGAATTCTTGAGACGATCCCTTAACCACTGCAAACGTTCCATATTTATGCGATAACTCACCGCTCTCGAGGCGTAGTAATTAAGCCAAGATTCATGAAGCTTAACCCGATCCATTAGAGCCCGAACGGTGCTCTCCATTTCCTTGACAAACATTGTCCAAACTTCGCTGACCATGCCGAGATAGGTTTTACGAATGGAACTCCTGTAGGAGTAAAAGAGTACTGCATGTAATACCTCCAGGGCCTCCTCAATGTTGCAAACTCTTTGGAATGCACTCGCCATCAGACGTTGCACGGTCTCCTCTAGGCTCTGGACTGTTTTGCGATATTTTAGCACTTCCTCGTACCAAATATTCTTGTGGACGTTAAGAATCAAATCTTTCGAATCGCTTTTCAGCAGCTCCAAGGTCTGACGAAACTCAGTTTCCATTCTCTCCGCGGTCTGTTCAAACTCTCCACCATTTGTTCCCCCAAAACGGGGTTTGGGTATCTCGTCGCTCTCATCCAAACGGGCAAAGACAATCATTGACTCACAAATATCGATTAAATCATGCAGTCGCTCTATGAAGGCATCGACATGGTTGAAAATCATCGCATTGTCCAGATCCCATCCGGCGTTAGGTTGTTTCTGAGCCAAGTCCTTGGACATGCGTTCGTATATCAGTTTGTACGACAAACAGCAGTCCACGGACATGTTGCACATCCGAATGCCAAATCGGGAATTGCCCTGCAGTATTTTGTCCACATCCGTCTTCGATACACAGAAGCGGATAATTTGATTGCTAACATCGCGGAAGAGATTCGTTATCAGGTCCTTGCGATTATAGAAGGGAGAGTTGAGCCAAATGTAGCGAATAAAGTTCACAATACGTGGCAAAACGCCAGGCACCGTTGCAGGACTGTCACACTTGTCAATGCGTGAGCAGGGCTCGATCAGCAAATGCAGATATTTGATGTTGGACTTGGCCTCCGTCATTTCCAAACGACACTCCGCTATGAGTTCATCGATTTGCTTGATATAGACGGAGTGGGAAGTGCGCAGTACGTTAATGATATTCTGGACATCCAATTGATCCAATTGCGTGTTGATGCCATGTAACACTTCGTCTGAAACCAGAATTGACCATTAAATTACCATTGCATCATTCCCGTTAGAAATACTCACATCGGTAAAGCCAAAATTCATATTCCTCCTCGGGAACTACTAGATCGTGCGGCACCACCAGCACCTTGTCCGACAATAACGAACGTATCTGGGTTGTCCAAAAAACCACAATCGATTCCATATTCTTCACAAATTCTCTGTCGTGAGCCACATTCTCCCGGGCCATCTGCTGCACCACATATGGCACATACAGAATTGTCAGTCCGGCCATTTTCGAATTGAGATTGGTGAGGTAACCCAATAACTTGTCCATAGCTTGGGCGAATCGTGATTTCACATTTTCATTCCAGTCCGAATAGTTGCGAAAGACCGGGGCATAGACCAATTGCAGGACCCTTAGCAAACAGCCATCAACATCTTCGTGGACAGTGCCAAAGTTGACTTCATCATGGAATCCTTCCACAGAGAAAATGTGATTTGGTGTACGACTGAAATAGCTTAGATCTGAGACAGGCGTAAGGGGAAAGCCCAGACAGGCAGTCAACTTATTGCCATCGTAGAAGAGCGTCACCAGCACCTCATTGACCTCCAACAGCCAACGTCTCAAAACATCCAATGTCTCTTCCCTCCAATCTCGATGATCCAAAGCGAAAAGCATGCACATGCGTTGCATATAATCGACCAGTTTGATCAACTCTTCGTCCGTGTATGTCGGCCGGGGTATTTCCGGAGTTTGTGGTAACTGCTCCTTTACGTTTTCATCTGTGGCGGAGAGTTAATAAGGAGTATTCAAAAAATGACATTATTATATGATTTAATTTTTGTGTTTTGAATTGTTAAGGTTAAGATTCTTACTGATATGAAATTTGCCAATGAAATGTCTTTTTTCATTGCAAATTTCAGATCATTGAGCTCATCTCTTAAGTGAAATAAACAAATAAAATGTTAATATATATACACATTACTAATTCACAAATTAATAAAAGGTAATAATGGGTGGGGAAAGTTTGCGAAGAATTCAGAATTGTATAAATGTCTCGAACTTACCTTCCTCGCCAGACGAGCAATAACTGCTTAGCTGATCCCATTGATCCCCAGCGCCGTTATTTTGATCCGTCATTTTTTCTTCTAATTTAAATTGGAGTCGCTTCTTGCGTTCTTGTTCTTTTGAAAATTATTTTTTTTGTATTGAAAATAACCACATGAAAATGTGTGACAATTATTATTTGACTCAAGTTTTTTCTTTATTTTTGACGGTTAGTACAAGGCCTATTTTTTTTATTGCCATAGCATATTGAGAGATTGTTAACATTTTGTTTTGACATAAAACAAGTTGTCATAGAAATATATATTTTTTTCATTTATTAGCAACAGGCTAAAATTTTAAAAATAATGAAGTCTAACAGTGCAATGAAACTGGTGACATCTATTGTTGTTTTAATATAAAGATAGCGAAGGCGTGTTCAATAAGCACTACATTACAACGGGTATGCCATCTAGTATTAGATAGTAAGGTATTGATAATTTTGTACAGTTTAAAAACTGTACAAGCAAATATCATATCAAAGACATAAAGTAAAAAAGACCTCACATTTTAGTGTTGCTATGTTTAAGTAGGTGGCGCTAGTTGTATAAAAAATTGTCACCCTATCCTCATATATTTCATAGAAATCGAAGCACTTCGTTATATTTATTTCAGATGTAGATAAGGTGCGTATCTATATATATACAATTGCAAAAATATTTAAATATAAGATTGATATAGATATACACATAATGTTTGGCCGATGAAAGAAAACGTGTATCTTTTTCTGCGTTATTCTTTAAAAACAAATTTACATTACTACTCTGCCTGGGACACCCAAGAAAGAGGTTTGAGTTTGAAAACCTTCAAACTGCTGTTATTTCTAAGCCACTCTTCCGACAGCTGTTAAGATTATTCCAGTGAGAGCTCATTTATTTTTTACAAGGGTACAAAAGCATTTTGGCGCGAATTTTTCAGAAAAAATATGTTATTCGTGATGGAATTCAAGCGGGATAGAAAATTGTGTATGCAGGGCCAGTTCTTGGCATAGCCCCGATATAAGGGTACCTCCTTGTAATCAGTATTTTAATGATTTTAGCTAGACTAGCCACCGTATTTTTTTCATGTTTCGTATTTGAATATTGTAATGCTTACGACAAATAATGCCTATGCAGGTTTTCGTATAGACCCCAATATAACTGCTACATTTTTAAGATCGTAAGAGAATTTTTAACGGATTTTATTTATTTTTTTTGACAATTTCCAAATTCATTCCAAATTATGAAGGATATTCAAAGTTTTTTACTTTTTATAATTCGGATTTCATAACAACGTATCGTTACTTTTTTGTGAAATATAAACTGAGTGTAAGGTATTATCTATAATTAAAGATTTGTATTTGCACACAATGAATAACATACAAATATAAATTCGAAATAAAAATTGTCATAAATAAATATTTTGTAAATATGAATTAGTTTTTAAAATAAATTACTTCTTAAAAAATTAATGTAGGGCAATTTCATCTCTCCGGTTTTCATCAGTCAAATATTGGCACGCATTTCCACAGTTCTGATCCATTTCGAGGTCACAGCAACAAATACATGGTTCAACATCTGATCCAACATTGGCCATATCAGAATCGATGGAAACTGCTTCTTCGAGGGTTACGCACCTCACTTTGGGAGGGCACTTGACAACGACTAATGCATTACCATCATCGTCAAAAGATGATTCCAGTTCGCAGTAGCTATGAAATCGACTTTTAAACATAAAATATTTAGTGAGGCAGCAAATTAATAACTGAAAAGAGAACGAAAACAATTGTGGGTAATGGAAACGTTTCCATATTTAGAATACACTCAACATTTAAATGGAACAGTTGCAATTACTTAAATCTGCCGTGTCGTTTTTGTTTGTTTTTGCAAAAATTTTATTTTCTTAAAAAAAAAAGTTAAATTTAAAAAAAATTGATCGAAATTAATTTAATAATATCAGCTTATTAATCTAAAATGAGCATACAGAAATTAATTTCGATGGAAATTTTTTCGATTTCGAATTTGAGAGTTTTGCCCAAGTTGACGGAGTTTGGGCAAACTCTAATTTTCCAAATATTCTAAAAGCTTTTGTTATTGTCTGAACTGTGTTTTCCAAGTGTAAGAATATTTACAATATTTGTCCAATTATAAGAATAACATAGCTTAGCCAACTAGAGTTTCAAAAAAAAAAAAAAAAAAAAAAAACAAGTAAAAAAGCAACTAAATTCGGCCGGGCCGAACTTTTAATACCCTCCACCATTTGGTAGGAACTTGAAAAATTTCAAAAAACTTCCGTAAACTACCCCTTGGATGAAAAATGATATATGGAGACTATACGAAACTGCTTATAAAATTTTTTGTCAAAGGCTGTAGTACTAATTACGAACTTCAAATGCCAAATTTATAACAATACCGATGACTAATGTCGCTAAAATCATCAAAATACCGAATATCGGGATGTACAGTTGTATGGGGATATACGAAAACGTGAATCTACATACGATTTTTTTGTCATAGGCTGTAGTACCTATTACGAACTTTAAATACGAAATTTGTTACAATTTCGGTGAATAATGTCGCACAAATCGTAAAAGTACCGAGATTGGCAGGTATCGTCATATGGCGACTATACGAAGACTTGGACCTTCATACAAAAATGTTTGTCGTAGGTTGTAGTACCCATTACGAACTTCAAATACGAAATTTGAAATAATTCCTGTAGTGTCGCTGAAATCATCAAAACACCGAATATCGGGAGGTACCGTTATTTGGGGGCAATACGAAAACGTGAACCTGCGTACAAAAATTTTTGTCATAGGCTGTAGTACCTATTACGAACATAAAATATGAAATTTGAAATGACTCCGATAAATACTGTCGCTAAACTCATGAAAATACAGAATAACAGAGGTACCGTTATATGGAGGCTATACGAAAACGTCGACCGACATGGCCCATTTACGAACTTAACCTGCTTCCTGGTAAACTATGCATGTAAGCATAATTTTATCAGATCGTCTTAGAATTTTACGCTGTTCCAGATTATAAATATTTCGAGGAATTACAAAAGGAATGACAAAGTTAATATACCCTCCATAGGATGGTGGAGGGAATAACAAGAAAAGCCACAATTGAGAATTTCATTGACATTTTTAAGCCGTACAATAGTATTTGGTTAAACAATGCCATTTGTTGTGAGAAGCTAGAGAATTTATAGAAAACCGATACCCACCAAATTGGTTCAAATTTTATAATAATACCAAAATTTAAAGAATATTGAAATATAGTAACTGCGCAATAATGTGGGAGTTAAAAATTAAGGGAAAAATAATTTTAACTCACATCTATTAGTACAGCTGCTGATACCAAAACCATCAGGATATGCATTGCATACCACAAATATTCCTTGAAGAGCGGTAGACAAGGTTTTGTGTTGATTTCTGTGAAATTCAAATGCGACATGCTAGATATACTACCGTCATCGGTATCATCACTGCGAGGAAGATAGTTCTGATAGCACGACAAGCTGTTATGTTTACAGCAAGCATATGGAGCCAAAATTCGCAATCTAAAAACACAAATATTAACATAAATATGAGGCTGTAATATAAGACCAAATAGTATGCCAACCCAATATCATCACCACCATCAACGTCTTCAATTGATAAACTTGGATTTTCATATGAGATCGACAATTCCGTTGATTCGTGATTGCCTTGTGGCTCCTTTCGTACACAGTCAGTTATTATTCTGGATTCTTTAGAATTGTGTTTGAAACGGCCTCCATTATATAGCCTAGAATCTTTCGATAGTTTAACGGTCGTCTTAGGCATCCATGTGGCATGCATCCAATCATCATATCCCTCGACACCACAACACTCATTATTATACTGTATCTCATCCCAAAGAAACTTCCAGGCTGGACTTGTGTAATACACCTCCATGCCGTGGAACAGCATCAGCGATACATTCGCACCCAGAATTTCTGGCATATCAAGCAGACACCACATTGTCACACAGCCACCAACAATAATAATACAACAAAACACCGACCACACCATCAAAAGGAATTGAATGCTGCGCGAGTATCTTCGCGTCCATATAGTTCTCCACATCGAAAGACTACATAGGTATGTTGCAATCAGTTGGAAGCCCATTATATACAAATTGACTAATGTTGAGAACAATAAACGTTTCTCCGTGGGCGCCATAAATGACCCCAACACATTTTGATACGCCGCCGTTATCGTTACAATGGCAATGCCAAGCTTGATCTCTAGTACTAATAAAATATTGACAATTAAGCGAAAATGTCGAAAGGGTTCACGCATTTGTCCATTGTTTTCTTTTCGAAATTCGGTTTATATGATTTTTAAGGAATATAACGAATATTTATGATGTCAAAAGTACTTGTGTAATAGGTGAGGTCGAACATGGGATGGTTGATAACTTTTCTACAAAAATATACCTCGACGTAAATTCTGTTTCTTCCCTCAAGCAATCTTATTGCAAAAAATTATGGTCCACAAAATGCAAATTTTTATTAATATTTTGAATTTGTTTAAACAGTTCAAAACAAAATCCATGGTGGAAATACCAGGTAGCAACATAGGCGAAAATTACAACAAAGCAACTTTTTTGGAAACTTGATATATCAAAGTTGTAGTCAGGGCAAATTGATTTGAAGTACAAAATTTGGGGCAAATTATTTTTCCAATCAAAATATTGAATTAAAAATTTTCAAAATTGTTGTTTTTTCTATTACAAAAGCAAATATTCAAAACTTCCAACATCGATTGAAAGTAATGCTGAAGCCGCTGCATCTTGGTTTGATTATAGCACGTTCAATACAACATTTTTGAAAATCACAGAGACTGGAAATGGAGTGATCGTAGTCTCCAGCGGGCCAACGAAGGACATTTGAGGTAATATAAGTCCAATCGTTGTTATCTCTTCATCTCATCCTTACACAGCATGCAGTCTTGGTAACGTTGGCAAAGTTGATTTCATATTCAACAGCGATAATGTCTTTACAAGAAAATATCCGGAAAATTAGTTTTGATGCTTTAAAATTAGGTTTTGTGGTGGTTCTGGGGTATATATACCAGAAGGATTTCGCAGATATATATGAAGAGATCTTGTGTTAGCGAAAATGTATGTATGTGTGAAATCTGAAGAGAGGTGGTTGCTTCTTTCTTTTTCTTTGAGCGTTTTTTTTTTTTTTTTCAAATTTTGAACCCTTTTTATAACACATCTTGTGTTGATAGAAATATTGCGATTTGCCAAGTCTGAATGGAATTGGATGTAAATTTCACGTTATATGAGCTTCATTGATATTCAAAATGTTGACCCCTTATTTCGATGAGGCACGTTTTGGCAGTATCATATGGTCATATGGGTATAATAAAGTCATTAATAATAGTGCTCGATTGATTTGTGGTAACATTACTTGGCCTTGGTGCATTTTTTACTTCATATTGTGTCAACAATTTTCATTGGTAAATTAAAATCACTTTTAAGAGACCTGACCAAACTCAATACAAATGTTTCGATCTCGTACATATATATATATATATATATATATATATATATATATATATATATATATATATATATATATATATATATATATATATATATATATATATATATATATATATATATATATATATATATATATATATAGATAGGTGTCTCTTGTCGGATATATTCTGTGCCGTTAAAATATTTTTTAAGATACTATTTTATTATTTAATGCACCATGTCAGTTTAAAGTGCCCTGGAGACGTTCAAATTTGTTCATCAAGCAAGTGCGTATGTATTAGTGTGTGACTTCGTGTTTTGCTCGCAAACGTTCAAACAAGTTTGTCAAACATTCATTTTGTAATTGTTTTCGTTGAGTGCAGTCATGTCGTCGTCGGAAGATGAGTGGCTTTTTGTGACAGCAGTTGTGTTAAAAAAAAAAAATTTTGAAATGAAAAAGAAAATATGGATGAAAAAGCAGCTTTTGAAGGAGCTGCGAATGAGTAGTGTTGATGACTACAGAATTTTTTTGAGGATATTTATTTTCAATATATTTATTTTTTTAACATCTTCAACAGTACCATCGGGGTACTGTTCCTTATAAAAATCAAGGAGTATATTATATTGTTTTTTCCCTATTACTGTACGAGTCTGTCCGTACATTCCACAATGCATCAAGGCATTGGTACATTTCAATAAATTGTATTGTAAATGTTTTTCGTCCGCACACTTACTATTCATGTTTACTCCTCAACGTTACAACACAAATGGCCTTTTTTGTTTGACAAACACTAATGGAGACGTACAAATAGATTTGCGCAAATAAAAATATCAAAATATTTTGATTTTCGATCAAGCAGAGCCGACAACAAATGTGTGTAGCCGACGAAAGCCGATTAGACTCACATGGACACACACATATAAGCTGCTTGACGAAAAAATTGAACGTCTCCAGGGCACTTAACAAAATCTAGACTAATTCAGGTGATTTTCTTTAAGCTACTGCACAACTGTCTTTTATTGAACCCCATTATGGCCAATGTTGGCATCAAATATTCTTCAAATTATATTCTATTTATATATGCCTTTAATTAATTACAAAACACATTAAAAATTATAATTTTTTATATATAGCTTTTATTGCAATTTTTAGAAAAATGTGATAATGTTTTTTTTCTGTATGTTAATTCATATATGTATGTATATATATTTTTAAATAGAATATATTTATTATTAGTTTTATAATTTAGTTGCATATATCTTATACACTTCATTTTGTATAAGGAAACTTAATACGTAATGTTAGGTTAGTTTTATTTTTATTTTTCATTAAATGATATACAATAATAACAATAAGAAATATAATATTAATTACAAATACAAATAATAAAAGCAATAATAAGGATTGATAGTTTACTATTTTAAATATGTTTTTATTTTATAGGTACAAGAGTAAGAATAACACAAATTAGCAAAATGTGATGGATATTAATTAACAAACAAAAATAAGTATACAATGGAAAAATAAACTCTTATAACATAAATAATAATATATATATTTTTTTCTTTCTTCATCAGACAACACAAAACATTTAAAAGTCGAAAACTAATTGAAAAATACAGCAAGATTTTTGTTTTTTTTTTTTTTTTTTTTAATTTCAAATGCTTAAAGCATAAAATAACAACTTAAAACAGCAAAAAAAAATAATAATAAATCAAAATTGAAAATATTTATGGAGGGAGAGTTGTTTTAATTTATACAAAACCTTGTTAGAGGTCATTATTTTAGTTTAGTTTTCTTTGTCTTCTTTGCATTTACATTTAGTAACATGTTTTCGATTTCCGTTTTTTTGTTTTTAATTTTAAGAGAACAAATTTTATATATAAATTTTGTTTAATGGTTTAGCACCGGCATAGGACACTTGCTGCTTCGTTTTTTAGGTTTATTTAAAATTTTTTTGTACATCCTTATGCAATACAAATAGTAGAGGGAAGCTAACTTTATTATGTTTTTATTAAAATATCACTAGTGTTTTGTTTTTTAAGCAAAAATATGTGGGAATGTTTTATTTGTTTGTAAAACTACAACGGGGCATTTGAAGATTTAAAGAATTATTAAAATCTCATAGAGCATTGGCAATGAATACAGGGAGAGATTTGGTATTCATGTGCTCGATATTTCAATAACTTTTAAATTCAAAACGAAATCCTTTATAGTTGGAATTTTTGTGGCGTTTTCCGTCAGGGAAAAAATACACAAAACCTATGAGAACATTAATATTTGGGAGACTGTTCAAGGTATTGTTTTTATTTTCCACAGAAGTGTAGCCAAGGCGGGTCATGTGGTGTTTCTTAGTTCGAAGAGCTGGAGAGAATTTTGAAAGATTTGTCTTAACTAAATTGCTTGCTTCCCACAAAGAAAGAGTACTACTCTTTGTATTGCAAAGGATATTTTTTGTTTAGTTAACATATCACATATTTTATTTTGAATCCACAAATGTTCCACGATAGGTGTTTTCAAAATAAAATTGAATATATTTTTTCGTAATTTATCAAATTTTTTTATATGTTTTTCCTGTTTTTATGTCGTTTTATGTGCGTTTCGTACATTAAATTTTAATTTCTTATAAAATATATTAACTTTTAAAGTATGTTTTTGTTTTAAATTTGTTCGTCATTGTAAATTTTTGTTAAGGAAATAGAGGAGGGGACTTAATTTTGTTCCTGCAAAAATGTACAAATTATTGAATTCCTCTCAAATACACATTCATTGTTTGTTAAGGAAATAGAGGAGGGGACTTAATTTTGTTCCTGCAAAAATGTACAAATTATTGAATTCCTCTCAAATACACATTCATTCACGCAATATTACATAATACCGTATTTTGTTTATAAACATTTCATACAACTAATTACAATTTAATTTCATCATTTTATGTAAATACAATATAATTTTTGTTTTCTTTAAATGTTCAACATTGTTTTTTATCTTTGTAGCTTACTTTTAAATGAGTTTCTTAATTATGTATTTTCTTTTAGGAAGATAGGCAAGGATAAGAGGATATTGGTTGTTAGTTACTAGTCATATCTTATGTTGGTGGCGGTCCATGAGGATAGGAGAGCATTGGCTCCAGACTACGGGCAAATGTGTTTGAGAACATGCAGGTATAATCCTCACCGTGGGGCACAAGTGTGGCAACACCCAACAACAGTAACATGAGCGCTTGTATGGGCAGCGAGGCACGAGCAACACGTCCTAGGAATCTGGCGCCTCTGGCAAGTACGGTGGTATTTATGACATCTCCATCGGCAGCATCGCCATCGGCTTGGCTATAGAAGTTTAAGAAGATATGAGTAAAGAATACCATCAGTTAATAACATTTAGAAAACAATAGCTCATAAACAATAACCATAAAAATAGCATTCTTAAGAAGAAACATATGCAGGGAATTGATTTTCACATATTTTGAAAATTTTCATGTGAATATTGTTGTAATATCAGAAATTAGAGATCATATCGCAAATATTTTATATTTGCAGTTTCTAAAAAAATTAAACTGCAAATTAAAAAATATATATATTTTAAATCTGTGCCTTTCTGCATATATTTCTCCCAATAAACAAGCTTTTCTTCTATACACTCGACTTAAAGAATGGGTGAATTACAGCGTGCATTTCTTAAACAATAATTTACTACAAAGGGTTTTTTCTCATAGAGGGGTACTTTTTACGTTAAATAGATAATAAATAAAAAATGAAAATAAAAATACTATTCTACAACTACAAAGACAACAATATTTACTTTGCATTTTCAGTGTTTGGTGCGGCAGCCTGCATAGAAGAGGAAGAAGGTAATGTCGTTACAGATTGATCCAAAAGCTGTTTAAGAAAAAAAATCATAAAAAGAAAAAAAAAAACATAAAATTAAAAACAAATTCAAAAATTATACAAACAAATACGAATACAAAAGAAACAAAACAATATTATTTTCATCAACAGTTCAATTTGTTGAACAAAATATGGTTACCAATTTCACTCTTGTTATTATTCTTGTATTTATATGCAAACCCTATTTTTCACAGTGCTTTAAATTATAGTCAATAAAATTCCTTCACTGTTGTTTTAAGTAAAATTAAAAAGAAATGATCAAATAATAACTCTTAAATTCAATGACTTACCTCACTTGAGAGCATGTGCAACGATACACCCAAGTTGTCACCATCAACACCGAGAACAGCACCCAATTTCACAATATAAATGCCGGACAAGCGGCGCAACGACTGCAGCCTCAGTCTCAGGTCGGTCAATCTGGAAAGGGTTCTTTAATTTAGTGTATGAGTTATAAAGCTCCCAAGGGTTAAGGATAATGAGGGGTTAGCATGGGCGGACGAAAAAATTTCGAGTTCAAACAAAAAAATTGCAAATCAAATGAAAAAAACATCGCCGAAAGGTTTGATTGGTTGGTGGGTTGAAGGTGGAGAACGGGGCGAACAAACGTAACGAGTAATGAAGAATATTAATACGATTTTAATTTCGATATAATAAAAAGCATTCCAAAGGGAGTTATTCGTGGAAATGCAGTATATAAATTTTAAATGTATTCTGTTAATATTGTTTTCGGGCGAGAAAGCAGTGGAAAGAAAGATCGTGTAATCATATCAATCATATTTATATGCGTATATGTATCCAAAGATTTTATGCTAATTCAAAATGGAAGAAATTGTGAAAAACATATGTGATAAATGACCTCAATGATGGATAGAAAAAAAAAGCAAAAGAAACTATAGAATATAACATATTTAATAAAAGATCTCTAAAATAAACTCGATTGAACCGCAAACGTGCAAGGCTCTCTATTTGTCTACTGTGTGTCTGTAATCGTTTATACAAAATACCATAGTTTTAAAAGTGGCTAGGCCTATTTCGAATTTGTACATGGAAAATTGGATATCTACAACTGAGATTTATATCAACATTTTGTATTTTTTTCTTCATGGGGATTGAAACACTGTCAATTGGTGTTCTAACCGATTTCCCCTTTAAGATGCATAAAGAGGGCAAGGATGTGGGGATTAACGGATTGTATAACACAATAACATTATAAAGAAAACAATCACTTGTTACTCAGACATATTACGACACAATTTCGTATTGAAGAAGAAGAATAAACCTAAAATTACAAAAATAAAATTCAAAAAAAAAAATTAGAAGGTAATATCTCGAAATTCTCTCAGTTATCCCATTTTTAGTTATGATATACAAATTACTTTCAAACTACAATTTCAACAGCTACAACTACCGTTACGGAGAGGGGTACAAAATGAAATGGATTGCAATGAGCAAAAGCCATTACTGAACCACAGACACGCATATCCGTTTAAGTTCAGCTTTGGACATTCGCCTTAAAGAAATCACATTTCGATACCGCCTGCTCTTGAGTCTCTTTTTCATGAGTATATACTCTACAAAGTTCTACACACACATACACATAAGTAGAACAAATACAAACATTTACAATTTCTATGCTGAATCCCATTTAGAAAATTTTCATCGTGCCGCCCTACGGCTCCGGCATATAGATAACTTACCTTGCATACGTATGTGTAGACTCCTGCTCAGAACCTTCGACAGATTTGAGCAATTGATCGGCGGCGTCTTGCAAACTAACCACTCTTGGTTCGCAACGTTCCAATTCGCCACGCAAGTCCTTGAACTTTTCAAATTTAGCTTGCAGTATGGCACGATCTTCGGTTAGATCGACAGGCTCGGAGGCCTTGATATTGGCTTCGGTTTGTTGCAACCAAGCGCAGAGTTCATCGATGATGGAATGGAATTCACTATTACCCATCAATGCTGTTTGTAGCTGACCCTGCCATTTGGTGGCGTTGATACACACATTGTTCCAACGTTCGTTGTCCTGCTGCAGGCGATCTCTCAACTGCCGGGCTTTGTCCGTGTCCAAAGTGTGTGTGGCCAAATGGTCACCCACCACGTTAAGGGAATTCACAATCGATTTGTGGCTTTCCAGATCAAGCAGAAATTCGCGATGGTCTTGGACAACATCTTCCAGCAATTCAATGTTAGACGGTGGCGCAGATTGGGCCTTTTGAGTGCCTTCAGCGAATTGCAGCCATTGTTCGAGACGCCAGAGATCATTGTCGATTTGTTGCCAGTTACGTTGTGTGCAGAGCGGACATGTTAGTCGCCCGATCTCGCTATAGAACGAAAGAAACATAAATTAATATGACGTTGTAGAAATGAATGTAAATATGTGTTTAATGTTATAAGTCCACTACCCTAAAACCAGAACACAAACAAATAAGGCAGACATTTAAGGCGGTGAATAAACGACATATTTTTCTAAAAGTGGTTCGTTCACAAATACAGACAAGAAACGCGGTTATAGAACAAGGAAGACTTTTTGTATTTTTGAGCGAATCAGACTATGTGAAAGCTAGGATTCTTCTTTGTTTTATCGATCGATTTCTTGCTCTGTGAACGCCTTAAGTCTAGTGCCACTTGGACGAATGATTGGATGAGTGGTTATAGGTGGTGAGCGCTTAAAAATATCGGGAAACTTACTGTGTACATTGGTACTTATAAGCAAGTGGCAATTTGCTGCATTTTTATTTGAGGCCGTAAAGCAGTTGTAAAGGCATAGATGATGGCAAATAGATGGTGTTTTTTTTTTGTACAACAGAAAGACAAAAGGTGAACGCATTGTTGTTGTTGGTGGTGGTGGTGGTGGTTGTGTTTGTTGTGTAATAATGATTTGTTATTAACAAAAGCGTGTAGTTTGGGAATGAGAGCATTATTGATGTTGTAGATAGAAGAGAACATAAAGAAGTTCAAGTTAGGCGTTTTTAATTCAAATACCAAAACCATTTCTAAATACAAATAAAATTATTAAAGGATAGTGAGGACATACCTTGAATTTTGATCGTTTTGCTGTCGCGCCTTCCATTGAGACTGTAAAGTTGCGTAACGTAACATCAACTCTGCCACTGTTTCGGTTTGGGCGTCTTCTTTGCTGGCATTGCATTCGCTCAACAGCAGTTGACTCAAGTGTTTCACCAATTCGGTTGAGGACTGTGCATTGCTGAGGAGTTTGGACATCTTCTGGGGGCCTGGTTTTCGGGTGCGATCGCATATTGTCTTCTGCAGATCGTTGAGATTAGTTTGACATTCGGCTATGGCTGTTTCCAATTCCATAATGTAGGCATCTTTGGCGGTAATTGAGGTTTCCCGGGCCATAGGGGCTTTACGCAATTTACGTTTGGATAGAGTATCCACTTGGACACCGGCATCCGATTCTCCAACCCTAGTAGCCGTAATGGCAGCTTCGGCAGCCGCCGCACCTAAGGAGGCAGCCTTCGAAACCCATTCTGTTTTGATGGTAGTTATCTTAGTCTGAACTTCACGCCATAATGTCGTCAGTTGAGTTAGCAAAGTAACAATTGTCGTCAGATCTTCTTGCTTCTTCAGTTTGCCCTTGGCTTCCGCGGCCAATTTATCAGCATTTTGAATTTGAACTTCGACCTTTTGCAGTTTACGTTCAAAGCTGTCGATTCTACGCAATGCCTCTTTGGCTTCTTCAGGGGTCGTGGGTGTGGATTCTACCAACTTTGCAATATCACCATGAATTAGACTCAAACTATGAACTGCCTCGTCTTGGGCCTTTTTAAAGTCACGATACAGGGCCAATTCTTTGTTAATGGTGTCGGTTATGCCATGGCATCTGCTACTCAATTGCTTCCATTTAGTCAGCATTACTTTGGTTGGCATTGTCAACTTTTGAATGTTCTCGGGATCTACACCCGAACTGGAGGTCAATTTTGCATAGATCTGTTCCAAAAGCTTTAGGTTGGGCTCCTGGCTTTCCAATTGCTTGAGTTTTTGCTCGACAGCCTGTTGTCTTTCCTCCACCTGTTCCTTGGACAGTTTGCTTAAATCACGTTCCAAGGCGCTTATTTCAGTCTCCTGCGTCTGCAGCCAAGCCTTGTGTTCGGTGGTCAGTTTTATTAGTTGTTGCAACATGTTCCACACGGTGAGAATACGTTGTTTTCTCTCGGCCGATTGGCTACAAACATGTTTCCAGCGGGTTTCCAAGTTTTGGGCGGCTAAGGCAAGATTTGCTGTATTGAGATGTGCCCTCCAGGTGTCGGCATCGTTAAGTAACATCTCCACGAGATTCAAAACTTCACCAACATTACTGCTCTTTTGTTCCACGGAGCGTTGGATTTTCTCGTGCTCTTTTAATTTGGCCTCAATTACGGGAGGAGTGTAAGAATCGAAGGTCAATGGTTTACCCAACTCCGATTCAACTTCGAACATCCATGATCGCAGGAGGGCAATGCGTTCCTCTAGACGTTGCAAGGTCATTTTGAGGTCGTTGATTTTGCTTGTACGCTGTTTACACAGATACTTGATGCGATCCCATCTGTCAATTAGAGTGTCAGATTTCTCTTGCACTTCGGAGCGTACGGCTTCGCCATGTTGCGTCTGATCGGCGTATAAAGCCATTATTTCACGAGCCGACGACAAAAGCCATTCACGATCCCTCTCACGGAGTGTGAGTTCCGTATTAATTTGTTTTTCCAATTGTTTGGCAAATTCTTCTGGATTGGCTACGGCAGAAATGTCAGAGGTACGTTCCAGACGTTCTTCCAATTTGTCCAACCATTTAGATAGCCGTTCGTAGCGATTCTTAAAGTTGGCCAGAAGCATGAGGCGTTCTTCGATGGTATTGATAAGTGTCGAGAGTTCGTAGTCAATATCTGAATGTTGCTGCCACAAAATCCAAATTGATTGGCGTATGGATTTCATGTCATGGGGGCTAATGCACTCCTTCAGTTCTTCTTGCAGTACATTGAGGCCTTCCAACGTTGGCGTCAACTGTGACAGGGCAACTCGTTGATTCCTCAATTGGCCGAGGCATTCTTGAATAGCTTCTTGGGAGATTGGCAGGTTAGCTTCAGTCTTGGATACCAGCTGTTGAGCGGCGCCCAACTGATTTTGTACATTGGCCACCTTCTGCTCATATTGTTTCTCCAAATCCTTGATTTTAGTCAAGAATCCAGACCAGGTCTCCAAGGCAGCCTTGAGGTTGTTGACCCTCTGTACTACAGAGGCCTGTTCCATGCGCACCGACGTGGCCAATGCATCATCACAGAATTTCGTAAGTTCCTGTTGTTCATTTTTCAGTTTGGCACACAACTCTTCGCCGACTGGCATTTGGTTGATGAGGATTTCCATGCGCTGTTGCAAACGATTGAGACGTTTCAGGTGGATATATCTCAGTTGGAGAGCACTGCGTTCCTTCTCACGCTCCTTCAACCACTCGAGTAGGACTTGTAAGTCTCGTCTATAACTGTTCCAAACATCCATGCGGCGTTCCAATTCTACATTGCGCTGTGTAATACGCGACAGCGTCTCATTGTGCATGTTGGTCAGCTGTTTGAACTGTTCACTGACCTCGGGCTCTTGCTCCTGCTCAGCCTCAGTGTGGGAAGCCAAAACATTTTGTTGCGACACCAATAGATTCTGATGGATTTCACAAAGATGCTGCTGCTCCTTCAGGGCAGTGTAGTCTTCGGGTATGGCACACGATAGGAAGGATTGAACGTGTTGCAAATACTGACGCCACAAACGGAATGCCTCGGTTGAGTTCTGAGAACGTACCAACTTGGTGGACAAACGATGATATTCCTGGAAGGTGTCTTGGAAAACTTGTTGCCACAATTCCAGGACCTCAATAATCGAGGTCTCATCTCGCTGTTGACCATTCTCCACCAAGGGCAACGTGTTTTCCACTTCACGTTCCCTCAACTGTTTCAACTGTTCTTCGGTACGGGCCAAGGTTTGCAAATGGTTTCTGAGAATATTCAGTTGGTCCTCACTCTCTTTGGGGGTGCGGGATTCTTGACTGATATCCTATAAATGGAGATAGTGCGGAAAACAAACGGAAATTAGTAAAATTTGAATTTGAATCTTTTTCTGCTTGCTTCTACTTCGGACAAATGGGTTAGCGTGTGTCTATGCAACAAATGCGTTTTGCATACTAATCACTTGGCACTTGATATTGCAGCGCGTGGCATTTTTTCGAATCAGTTACCACCGCTACTGCTGGTACTACTACTACTGTCTGCATTTCTGATAATGACCTCATCCATAATTTTGCGCAAAAATCAATACTAGAACAAACAACAACAACAGCAAAGCACATACCATACCTCCCCACCCCAACCTGTGGGGAATGAGCAAATGTGGTTTGGCCATGTGCGTGTTAGACGCCAAAGCTCAAGTGAGCAAGGCAGGCTAATGGAAGAAGGTATGTGTTTTATTTGATGTCCTCTATTAGGAGTGTATGCTATATACGTTTTCATAATGAGCGCTGACCACGCAGCAACCTATAAACAAGGCCAACGCCGTTAGGGGCTTGGTTATGTATTTCAAATATTTCGTAATGGCCAGTAGTCGTCCAGAAAGTACCAGAGTGGAGTCATTTGCCAAATACTGTCATTCTTTAAGGATTAATGTAGTGCAGATATAAATATTGTAGTGCTACTATTTATTGTTATTGTTTTTTAGAAACATCTACCAACGGATTTTTAAAAATAGGTGGTTGTGAGAATTTTCATGAAACTTAATCCATTGTGTTGTTGTGTTTGTTGTTTCAATACAATTCTAATAGAAGATAGTAATTATCTAAAATTTCGCAAGGGTTTGAAAACTACCAATCGAAATGAATGCTTTACGAATCTTTAATACACCATTATCCTAAACCTAACTACTAATTATTAACAAGTTGTTTTGGTTCTGTTTTTCGATACCAGTGTACCAGTGTTAAGCAAATCACTGACTAAACTTCACAACAATTAGCTTGATTTTAACGATGCTCACAGCGACTAGTTTTCAACACTCAACTAATTGTGTATTTGTTAATTGTTCACCCAAAACGTCGTTAGCTTTTTTCTTTTCATTTCAGGCCTATTTGTTGGTAATTATGACACAGACAACATGATAAATGGAATAGAATGCTGAAACAAACATACCTGTCGCACATTGTCAAAATATTCCTTGGCATCGGAGCAGTTCTTTTCGATTTCTTTGCGTTCGCGTTCCTGGGCCTCGGCAACATTTGCCAATGTTGTAATGGCCTCCTTGCAGTTCTCTAGACGCTGGCCAAGTTCTTCCAATTCACCATGCATAAAGTTGGAGGCATCCAAGCCAATATCGGCAGCTATTTTTGAAACCATATCGCGCAACTCTAACAGCTTGTCATCCTGGTTGTTCAAATTGTCTTGACAGGCCTGAAATAGAAATGGGTAGAGTTGGGTGAAAATAAATTCAAATAAAATGAATAATGAAAGAGAGATAAAAGCAAAAGTGTGCCTTGTGTTTAAATTTAGCAATGCAATTGCATTTCAGAAGGGCGTGTGGTAGGCCAACAGCTTTCTTTTCCTCCTCAAAAGAAGCTATAAATACTTCATTTCACAGACAGTGAAGAAAGTGACCGATATTCAGGCATCGCCACTGCCGGCATCTATAGGTGGGTTCTCTTGCTTTATTTACATGTCATTCACTTGACTTACAGTTGTTCCATTCTTGTTTTGCTGACCGGTGTCATTTCACTAATATTTAATTCAAAAATTATCGATTTTATTTTACGCTAGTCTCTGAGCGGACGAGGCAACTGACCACCACCTTCCATAAGTCAGTCACCTACCTAACCAAAACTGACAAGGGAGCAGGGGGTTGGTTGTGTGACTGGAGTAGTATGTTGTTTGGTTTCCGTTCGTCATACATGACATTTTGTAGATATTTACTTGTGTCAATAGAAATGTTCGTATGTCTACATGTCTAGTATTTCTGTATACTGTAGATATCAATGACCATTAGTCTATAATATATTAATGTGTGTTTTATTTTCACTATTTCTTCTGTGCTTTTATTATTAATTCGTGAAAATATTTTCGATTACATGCTGTAGGATTACATGTACACAGGAAAAGAGAAAATAAAACGAAAAACTGATTTTAAATAAATGAAGCAGTTCATTCTATGCCTATGCAACCTCTATACCAAATTATGATTTTCAAAATCCAATTTAAGTAAAATATAACTACTCCTGATCAGATCATTAGAACAATAATCAAAATCCGCAACAAAGAAATTATATTTTCAAAAAACCCGTTACGAACCCATTGTAAATCCTTCCACATTTTTGCCTCTCACTGTAGCCTGCATTATTGATCAATCGAATTAACGTAGGAAATAATCAACAAAACAACAATCGCTGGGCCAAAAATATCTGACACAATTTCGAAAATTGTTATTTCGTTTTTTTTTTCGATTAATTACAGCAATTACAAAAAGACAGATAAGAAAACGATTAGCAGCGAGCCAAAAATGTCTGCTATACATTGGGATTTACGACTGGCTGCAGATTCACGGCAATTAGAATTTGTAGAAAAACGTTTTGATTTCCCATATAAATACGGAAGCAGACTAGAATTTCAACATCGCCATCCCTAACATTATTTTCACTTTCAGAAGAATTAGATTTGAAACGGTTTTTATCTTAGTTAGTGAAATCATTTTCACTTCTTTGCAAAATAAACAAAACAATGAGTTGTGAATAAATAATGTAAAAGATAAGCTTGTTGTGGCGGAATATTTTTTACGGTTAACATTATAATTTTTTCTCAACTACTACTCTTTCTTATTGTACAGGCTGGCTGATAAGAATTCTGCTGAACTCAAACAAAAAAAAAAAACATAAAGAATGAAATATGCAGCCCAATGTACATACTTTTAACTCCCAGTCATAGAAACCCTCCCACCCACACCCTCTTCGTGGTGCGTAAAGTTTGTGGGTTCTTTTCAGCTTTTTCTTGTGGTTAACTAAAAGTTTTTTTTTTTTTTTTTTTTTTTTGTGGAACTTACCTTGGCATGTTGCATTGATTCCATGGGTTGTTTGAAGGTCTTCACCGTATCCATTTGTTGTTCAATATATTCCTTGACTTGAGCTGAGGCGTTGTGGTATTTGTGCCAGAGTTCTACAGCACGCTGGTAACGTGTACACAGACTCTGCAGATTATCGGATGTATCATTCCAGGCTACGACAGCTTCTTGGACGGCTGATTCGATTTGCTCAACTATCTGAACATCACAAGTTTCGATTAGAGGTTTTGCCGATGTCTGTAAATCATCTAACAAAGTCTCGCGATTTTGTAAATCACCAGCGAGTCCCTGGACATGGAGAAATGGAAAATAATTTTTGAGTTTTACTTAAATTTTCACTTCAAATTTTTCATATACGACACTTTCAATTCATTTGGTATATTTGTGTATTTCAATATTCAACGTTCATAGTTTTCAATTTGAGTTTGAAAAAACTTTCGTTTCATTTCATAGTAGCAAGCGATTAACGTAAACCGACCACGACGACCGTGCACGTCTTCCGAGTCCGCGAGTTTTGTATTAACTAAACGACTTAGGGTTTTACCAGTCAGTCGGTCGGTCCATCAACTTTCGTAAAAACGAACACTTATTTTGGTCTGTCACACTCGTTCTCTGCCAACGGTTTTGGCGCTTTTTGCCCGCGGCAGTTGTAAACGAATTATGTGGCCGGTGGTTTTGTTATCAAAATCCCCACAACTGGTGAATGAGTAAAACGAAATTGTGACAATGTTCTGGTTGTTGTATTCGTCTCCGTCGTTGCCGTTACCGCGAGTGGAAAATCTTTACTAATTTATTATGAATAATTATTATGAAGAAATTTAAAGCAAGTGCGTTTTGGTGTTACTTCATCTACCGCTGACAACTAATTACTTCATGTTTTTATTTGGTCATAGTTACTTATAGGTCTTCCCGTCAGCTCTGCCCAGTCGACTGCCCATAACGGCCAATGACCAAACTAAAGTGAATGGCCATTCTGACTACCTAAGACACATTGTTTTTTCATTGTTGCTGTTTTCAGTGTGCCGCCCAAGACATGGCAAAGCAATGCAGGCATGCACGCATATCATGCGAATAGACATAATGTCTGTCCCCGAGACAGAGAAAAACTCAACTGGATTAGTTTTATTTTTTAGTTAATCCTGCGAAAATACCAATTGTAAAGATATAGTTGAGTGTTTGTTTTTATTTTAATATTTTCGAGTTGGACCGACTTATCGTCAATGTTCAATGTGTTTGTTTTCCAAAATGTTCAATGGGCACAGTGGGTGGAAACCGGAAACAGGGACGAGAGTGAATTTCTACTAAAACTTGTTTTTTTCCTAAAATGTCATCTTTGGAAAATGTTTAGCTCAACATTGAGAAGTATAGTTAAGGTAAGAGTCGGTTGTTATGGTCTTAGCATATGGTCCCAAAATTATATTTTGCGAAGTTCGGAAACTTCACATTTCAAACAGAAAGTGGTTTATATAGGGTCTACGTTTACGAAGAGCCACACCTTATGTTATAGTTATGTTGAAAGTAAATTTTGTCCGGGGTTTGTTGTAACGCTTTGTGGGGAGGGGCCTGATATTCGATATTTTTCATTTTCACCTCATCTAAGTCGGATGGATTATATGAGATCCAAGACTATTTACATTGTAAGATAAGTACCAAAAGAGGTGGGTTGATGCTGTCAGGTACAAATATTATGATTATTTTAATCAAATTGGATATTGCATTCACTTTCTACGAGAGATATGCTTGTTTCAAAATTGAACATTGTTGGGAGTGAGTTTCCTATTAGGTGCTGTGAAATTTCATCTATTTAAATTTCGATTTGTTATTATTATTGATTTGAATTTTTGCATTAATATATTTTCTTTTGAATAGCTTTTACAAGGAATTAACAAAGTTTGTATTCTATGGTTTACAGGGATGAACTTGATTCGTTTTCTAATAATATTCAAATCATCATTCGTTTGAAAAATATTTCTTTTGTTTTCGACACACTGTGTCATATTTGAGTTTTCCTAAATAATTTGTTTATTTCCTAAATAAAATACATACATATGTCATTTGTCATGTCCACATGCCAGGCATTCAAACAGCTTGCCAGTCAGCCAGCCAGCCAGCATATTTTCGAGTGTTAAACGAAAATAAGGTCATTAACAATATTGACGAATATAATATGTGAAGGAAAAACAAAAGCGATAACCGCCAGTAGGCAGGTACCGGAAACTATCCACTTTCGTTGATAGGAGTGTGTGCCGCCTGTGTGCGTTTTCGCGAACTATTTCACCCACATTGTTGACGATGAGAGATAAACACAAATGGAAGAGGGTAGGTATAAATGACTCGTTCATTTGTCGGACAATATTATCAAAACAAGTCATATCTTAAAAAAACAAGGGCTTGCCATAGGTCAGGTAATCGATTAACGTTTACTGGCGACTAACGGAAGCTATTAAACTTAGTGGGTATCAATAATTCGTATCGCCGCTTAATTAGATTTGTGAATAAATTGAAACCGAAACATATCAAAACGATTGAAAATCACATATACGTTGCGGATAATAATGCCTTCTTATCACTTACCTCTAGACGTTCAGTGGCCTTGCGTAAGCGCTCGTAATCGACTTGTCCATGGACCTTCAACAACTCCATCATAAAATCGGTCTCCTGCACAGAATTGTGCACCAGTTCCAGTTGCCGTTCGTAACGCATCCACAGAGCCAAGCGATTACGCAATATTGTCATAATATTGGTACATTTGCTCTCAAGGAATGCGTGATCGTCCTGTAGTTGTGATATATCACGTTCCAGTTTAACCGGCGACACCGACATTTTCAAACGCATTGGCAGCGTGTGCAACATTTGCCGTATGCGCATGATTTCCTGCCAGGCTCCAATTAGGTCGTCGCCTACCGATTGGCAGTCGACCACGGCCTTTTCGATGGCATCGCTTCCCAACTTCTCGGCAGTTTCGCATTCGTCCAGAATTACGGAAAGCTTGGCATGGTGTTTGCGTAGATTCGAGATACCCTCTTGGATGGCCTGCAGCTGTTGTTTGAGTACAGCGGCGCCCTCAAGTTCCTCGGCAATTTGAGTGGTGATCTTGTGTGAGAGGGCGAAGAGTTCGCCCACCTTCTCCGGCTCTATGGCAGGCTCCTGCAGACCAATGCGGCCCAACTCGTTGCCAATGAAGCCAACGCGTGTGCGCAACACCTGCAAGCGCTCAATGTACAGGCTAAGTTCTTCGTCATTCTTAATGACTCCTTTCATGCTCGTCATTGTCAAGTAGATTTCTTGCAATTCTCTCTCAACCAATTTCAGTTTATCTTCGGGAGCTACATCCTCCGAGGACAAAGATCGGACAATTTTATTCTGTATACGTTCAATGTCCTGGGCGAGAGCATTACATCTGTCCTCCAACTGAGCATGGAACTGTCTCTGTAGCATTTCGTCAGCGAGCGGTATGACTTGCAGGGACTTTTCGAAGCTGTTGCCAGCCTCGGTACGAATGTTGTTGTGCATTTCGAATTGAGCCTTGATTTCCCAGAACTGACGCATGTGTTCGATCGGTTGCTCCAAGGGGTATTCGGGTATTTGTATCTTCTTTAGTTCCTTCTCACTATCGCGCACAAACGTTTCCATTTTATCCGTTTGATTGACATATTGGGTCCAGATATCCTTGAACACCAACAAACGATGCAAGTAGACGGATACCTCTTCCCGCAACTTGAGAAGGACTATCAGCGCCTCGTTGGTTTCTTCCACCAAATTGGGAGCTTGAATTAGGTCTTGCAACTTGTTGGCAATGTTTGAGATGTGAGTCATCTTGACGTAGTGGTGGGAGATGTCCTGACTCAATGATTGGTATAGGGTGGTGTATTGGTCATAGTCGGCGGATGTGACGGCAGAAAGGTCGGGTACTCTCTGTTGGGCCACTTGTAACCATTGCAGCTCGTCTTTCATGCCCTTCTCCAGAACGGTCCATTTCGAGGCAGCTTGCACCAATTTCGATGACCTTTCGGAAGCTTTCTCCAAGAGAACTGTAGCTCTATTGTACAGTTCCTTGTGCAGTTCAGAATGCTTTTCCCTGGTCTCACTGTCGATATTCTCCTCAAGGGATTCTAGCATGGCGCGGCAGTGGCTTAGGTTGACAAAGAATTTGCGATGTTTCTGAACCTCGTTGTTCAGCTGTTCCAAACTGCTCGTAACAATCGGACCCTCGACCAATTTGTCAGCCAAGACGGTTATATTTGTGAACTCTTTCAATGTTTGCTCATACTCATCGGCCAGGGCCTGCAATTGCAGGAGACGATCTCGTTCGGCAATAATGTTGTTGTTGATATTGCGACAAGCCTCATGGGCAGTGTAGATGTCCTGAGGAACCTTTTTGCCAGGGAAATCTCTTTGGAAAGCCCGAGCATTCAACATGAGTTGGGAGATTTGGCTAAGAGTGGAATTGTTTTGCGATTCCAATTCATCCAAGGCCGACAACTTCTGTTTCAGGGTTCCGTCTTGGTTAACAACTGTCTCGTAGCGTTCCTGCAAATCTTCCAGCAGTCCCGAGATGCGATGCACCAATACAACAAAATTGTTCCATTTTTCAAGGTCCTTAATATCTTGATCTTGGTTATCGTGAGTCTTCTCCTGGACGGCACTCACGTGCATCTTCAGGGCATCCACGCACTGCTGAACTTCCGGCTGCTTGACTATATCCGACTTGCCCAGTTGAGTTTCCAATTGATTTACACTCTGACCGATGATGTTCAACTCGTCATTGAGCTCGTTGTAGTTCTTGACCTTCTCTTCGGATGGACCGTCATTGGTCTGTTGACGTATCAAATAGACACGGTATTCGATTGTCTCCAACCAGGTGGAAATCTTTTCAATGACAGTAATAACAGTGGTTTGGATCACTTTTTCATTGCCATCCTCCAAGGCCTTCTCAAGGTCAGTCAAACTATCGTTAACTTCTTGGACTCTCTGGTCCAGGGGAACTTCCTTGATTTGCTGTGACAGTGTGGCCAAGTGCAGAACATTGCTGAGAGGAGTCTGGTGGGACTCTGCCTCTTTCAAGTGTTTCATGCGACCTCCAATTGATTGTTTGGCCTCCTTCCAAGGGTCTTGCCGCTCTATAATGATTGTCTGCTGCCCAGGGTAATGCAAGAGACTCTCCGACAGAATGAGTGCCTGAGATGCATCTTTAACGGCTGGCTGCTCTTTGGGAATGTTTGCCGCAGCAGTCATCCATATGCTCTCCTCGTGGCGAATGTTTTCCTCATCGTTATCGGGTCCGGGCGTTATGGGCACTGCAATTTCTTCCATTGGCGAGGTGACTTCTTCAATGGTCACCGTGGACGTAGGTCGGGAACGTGGCTTGGATGTTTGTTGGGCAGCAATGCTCACCTTGTTCTGCTCGCTCACGTGGACTGGCAGGTCGGGGAATTGTTCGATGACTGTGGTTTTTGTGATTTGCAATTGCACTGTCTGTGGTTTCTTCGCATCGCCGGGTTGGACGGTAATCATGGGCTCCATACCGTGGGCATCATCAATTTCCACATGGACATTAACCTGGGGAGTATCGTCGACTAAAGACGACTCATCGCCTTCCTGCCTCTGTGATTTCTTATCTTTCTTAGGCAACTCAATGGTTTCTGTGTGTTCATAGATCACAGGTTGAGCCTCAGAGGTATCCGAATCAGCTGGTATCGTAACTGTGGTTTGTATTTCCAAATTATAAGGTTCTCCAGAGGAGAGTGAAGATTCTTCCGATGGTGGAGCCATTTCAACTGTCTGAGATGGTTCTTCACGAGGTGATGTCTGACTGTCGGTAGTGGATGTCAAAATGAGTTCCAAGGTTGATGTCTGTTGTTCCTTCTGTTCAACAGGAAGCTTTCCAACCTCTTGTGGTTCTGGCGTTATTGTCTGAACATATGACTCATGCATTGGTTTTTCCTCGGTAACAGTAAATTGCTCTGAAGTTTCAATTTTCGGTTCAGGCAATTCGATGGCGACATCGTCAATTAACTCCCTGACCAAGGGATTAATGACATCAGCCGTGGAGACTTCAGGTTCACGCGGAGAATCTCTGGGTGCTGTTTGCAATTCCTTTTCAAGTGTGGAAATGACAACAGTCTGGCTAAATATGTGGCTAGTTTCGGGTTTAATTTCCTCCTCAGTTTGAACTTGTTCTGTAGCAGTTTCAACGGGCAAAGAAGTCTCCGTTGGCTGGGTGTCTTCCAAAGGTTGGTCCAATTTTTCCGTTTGTACCTCAGTTTCGCTGACATCAATGTGAATGGTTTGAGATTCCACTTCTTTGTTGTCTGGTACAACTTCCAGACTGGTTTGCTGACCTGTCTCTTCGACTGTGACACGAGGAGATGTCTGAATTTCTTTAACATCTTTCTCAATTTCAATCGCTTCCTCTACTGTCTTAGGCTCTTCACGAGGAGTGGTCTGCTGTTGCACATCCTGGACGAAAGTTAATTCAACAACGTCCACCGGAACTACAATTTCCTTAATGGGCTCACGTGGAGAATCAGATTCAGGCGATATAATGGCCTCTTCTACCACTCGTACCGTGGTGTCCGCAGTAATGCTAGAAGCCTCGCTTTCTGGACTAAGCTCTAGCACAGTCTCCTGTTGAATTTTACCTTCAGATTGTAAACTTTCAGAAGGCAAGCTTGTATCATATTCCAGGGATGAAAGCGGCATGTGGCTGTCATCATCAGCGGGGGCCTTCAGTGACTGCTTTTTCTTACTAAGCTTTTTCTTTTTACCGCTATCATCGTCACTTTCCTCGTCGACTGTTGCCGTTTCGGCTTCGTAACCAATTTCAGAAACTGTTGATAGCTCTTCAGGTTCTGGTACAACTGGTTCTTCAGTTGCGATTTCGGCAACTGGAGATTCTACAGCTTCTACTTTTGGCTCTTCTACTTCTGTCGTCGGTTTCGGCTTCTTCTTTTTCTTTTTACTTCGTTTGGTATCATCCTCGTCGTCACCGGAAGCAACTGGAACCTTGCCGGTTTCAATGATGGTCATTGTTACTTTCGGCTGGTCAGAGGCTGTTGGATGTGAGTCTTCCGACTCGGCCATTATGACTTTAAGGACACTGGAACCGTTGCGTTCAATAGATGGCGCTGTCATCGTTATAGGCGAAGCAGTGGCTTCTCCAGTGATGAACAATTGAGTGGTAGATTTTATGTCGAGTGTAGGTTTTTCTTCAGCAGGTCGCACCATGAATTGATCTTCGGTGGATACTTCGGACTCTAAGCTGCTCTCAGGTTTTTCTTCCGCTCTGGGAAGATCCTCATGAATTTCGCTGTCTTCACGTTTAATAATGTGGGAGATTTCTTCCGCTTCGGCAATAGGTTTCGGTACGCCAGGCAATGTGGTTTCCACGGTAGTTTTCACAATTGTAATAGTTGCCTTGGCCGGTGAAGATTCTACTGGCAGGGGTTTTTCGTCCTGTTGTGGATGAATTGCAGTTTCCTTGATTTCGCTCACTGCCATAGGTTGCTGCCGTTCACTTTCAAGCAGTTGTGTTAAGACTTCCTGTGACATCTCAGAAGGTGGTTTAACTGATACAACTTCCTCAGACTTAGTATCGACCCTTGGAGTAGTTTCCTGTCTTTCACTCATGAGGAATTGATCCAAAATGTCTTTAGGTGCATCCGGAGGCATTTGCTCAATAGCAACGACTGATGTGATTGTTTCTTTAGTTGTTTCGACAACAGGTTCCATAGCCTTTGTTTCTCTTTCCTCTACTGATGCAGATGCTGGAGTGGCATGTTCCTCTGGCTCAACAACCTCAATTGGATGACTGTCCATGTTTTCTTCAGTTGTGGTAACAGTTGTTGTGACCGCTATTGGTTTAGGAGGACTTTCATCGGACTGTATGGTTCTATCAAATTCATATTTTTCCAACGAGACTGGATAGCCTGTTTCTTCGCTTAGAGGCCAAATAGGTTCAACGCTTGAGCTTGGCTCGCTTGGTACGGCTGGTGTTTCAGTGTGTTGAGAGAATTCAATATTCGTGGGCTGTAGATGATGTTTAACAGGCCATATGTCGTGGATATCTTGCACGGCGTGCTCCACCTCATCCGCCTCCTTCTTTGGCTGCAGCTGCTCAACTAATTGGACTGAAACATTGGAACTGATTGATGGTTCGACTTCTTTGCGGTCTGGCTGTTCTACTAGGGTGTGTTCGACAATTTTTTCAACTTCTACTTGGGGTGCAGGCAAGTCAACAATTTCTACTGGTGCTTCATGAATTCGACTTTCAGAAGTCTCTGTTGTTGTAGTAGTTGTTGTTGTTTCTGTTGTTTCAGCAATAGGCTGTGGTTGTTGTTGTTCTTGTGTTTCGTGTTTTGTGGTTGGAGTCATTTGGGTGGTAGTAGTGGTAATAGTTGTAGAATCAATATCAAATACCTGTTGTGGGGCAAACTGAGCTCCCGCATCTGTCATGTCGGTGGAGATTTCCTGAATAACTACCCCAGGCTCTTGGGTTAAACGGTTGAATTCCTCTTCGGTCACCACTTTGCCATTGACAGTGCGTATTATGTTGACATTGACCTCGGGTGGTATTTCCTCTTCCGTAACCTCAATTTCTTCGGGTTCTTCAATCACTTCTTCGGTGACATGTTCTACACCATCGATGATAACGATACGCTTAATGATCTTTCGTGTCTTACGAACAATCTTTCGCGTAACCTGCTGGACAATGGATTGAATGGTGCTTTGGTTCAGGCCTTCTGCTGTTGCCAATTGGATTTGCTGTGGATCTATAGGCATAGCCGAGGCACCGCCTTCACGGAATTCTTCATATTTAACAACTTCCGGTGGCGTTTCGAACTCTTTAACAACCACAGCCTCCGGATTGGATCCATCAACCAGAGTGCCACGAGTTTGATGGGTAACAACAGTGCTGTAGCCTGTCTTATCGTCTCCGGTGGTATCGACTGTTTGTATATTTTCCAAATTGATTTGATCGGTCGACTTGACTTGAATGTTACCATCAGCGTCGGTGACAGTGGCAATGGTGCTGACTTGTTGTTGCTGCACTATTTCCTGGCGACTACGGGTGACTTTCTTGACAACAATGTGCTTGGTGCCGTCGGGTGCAACCACTACTTCCGTGGTGGTCTCATCTGGTTCTACAAATGTCGTCTCGAAAGTCGAGGGTACGTTCTTCAATACCAATTCGGTCGACCTTTCGATATCACCCTGTGGTGTCTGGTGATAACGGGCTTCGATTTCAACATTTTCTTGCTGCTCGGGAACATCGATATTCGGCACGGTATCGATTTTAATGGTCTCCTGGCCGAACTGCTTAATCTGTGTTATTGTTATGTTCTCCGTGGGTTTCACCTCCTTTTGCGTTTGCATGGCCATTTCAACAGTTTCCACATCCTTAGGTGCCTCCACCAAAGGCAAACTAGTCTGGGCCTCAACTGTGGCACTTTCCTTTACTGCCTCTTTTGGTTTCTCCAAACTGGCTGATGTCTGTGTTTCGACATTGTAAACTGCGGGTATTACCTCCTCTTCTGGCATGGGACTGGAGCCCACTGTGCTATCATTGGAGGCAAGAGATTCGTCGACCTTGCTCACAGGAGGCTGTATGGCCTGATCCTCTTCAATTCGCTGGCGTCGTTCTTCCTCTTCTTTGGCTCTACGCAACTCCACAATTCTATTTTCAATTGTAAAGATGCGTTTGGTGGCAACCGAAATTTGTTCCCTCAGTATGGTGATGACGTACTGTAACTGTTCAATCAGGCTATTGGCCATGGGTGCTACATCTTCGTGAGCCAACAAATGTTTGGTCTTATCGGCCAAGTCTTCCAGGGATTGTTGCCTTTCCTTCAGAGTGCGCAAGAGATGTTGACTCTTTTCGACGTGTAACTTCAACGTGGGTTCGTCAGTTGGACTGTCAGCGGTCAGTTCGAGATCCTTAAGTTCTTGGGTGACTTCGAGTATCCAACTTTCGATTGAGGTCAAATGCTGTTGATATTCCTCAAGTTCTTGGGTGCGTTTCTTTTGACCATGTACGGCGCTCTGTGGACGAGAAATGAGGAGTGAGTTTTTTTCAGAGCAAAAAGGATTCCACAAAAGTACGTTGTAAAATTTGAAATGTATTGAACCTATATAACCCTTAACCCATTTGTTTCGTTTATCTTACCGCTATCATGGTAATGCCCTGTTGTGTGCGTCTCAGTAGAAGATCGATGCGATCGATTATGTCGTTCAGTAGACGTTCAGTGCCAGGATCTGTTGGAAGCGTTTGGCTGACTGCCTTTAATCTTTGGGCTTCCTGTTCCTGATATTCCAGATTCTCCTGAATTATCTGCAGAAGTGTAAATTGACATTTAGTATTTAACCGTACACATTTGCATAAATTGTCAATATCAATTATCTAAATCAACTACTTCGGGGATAGAGATAGACAGAGGTAGAAAGAGACTTCAGATAGAAAACCTAAGGGAAAATTCAATACTCCCAAACGGCTTTGTATGAAATGCGGATAGTTTATGATAGTTTCATGATGCTTTTAAAACAGAGTTAAAACACTCATTGCTTATGGGCAAGTAACAAACGAGATTTGTGGGCGAGGACATGTGTTTGCCTCAATAAACACTTTTGTATTTTGTTAGTTTAAAAAAAACTCGATTATTGAAATAAAGTTGTGTGCAATTAAAACTGTTAGTCGAAAATACGTATCGAAACTTGAAATAGAATTTTATTTTTCTTCGACTTACCTTCAGGCCTTGTAGCATACCATCCAAACTGTCCTGCGGTAAATATGCAATGGCGCCCTCTACAGTGGTTAGCGATTGAAGCAATTCATCAACTTCTTGATTTATAACATCCTGTGGTGGTGATGATGATTTCATATTTCAGTTTGTATATGTGTGTGTGTGGGTGGTTGGGTGTATGTTTGGTATTAACAAAACAAAAACAAATCGGAATGTTAAAAAGGTTTTTTTTTTTTTGCAAGAAAGAACAAGAATTAATAATTTTTGCATTTTTATGGGCATTTCAAATAAAATTATAAAATAAACAATTAGAAGAACACTTGAAGAATGTATAAAAAAATTGTAGAACAAAAGCGGTTTTCAAATTGGATATGCAAGACAGAAAAATAACAGTAGTTAGAGGTAAGAAGAGAAAAGCTATAGACAATATCTTAACGGATGTAAATATATTCATAGGATAGGTAGTTATAAAAATATATAGAAATAATTTGGCTCATATAGATACATATGTATAGAGTATAGACCTTAAGGTTCGTGGTATATACATGGGCTTAGTTAGTTTCCCACATGCTTCGATGGAACGGGGGGAAGGGAAAATATAATGATTTTAAATAAAAATTTCTTAAGTAACGATATGCTTATATTCTTAAATATTTATATACAAGTTATATTTATGTAACAGTAATTGCTTTCAATACTGATTGTATTGATATGTCGGAAAGAAGTAATGCGTTGTGGTTTGAGACCTATTTTACACCAAAGTTCAACTATTTTTTTTTTTTTGACAATGATTGAAAATGCCCTGCTCTTATTATTTTCAACATTAAAAACACTTGCCTTTAAACGGCTAGTTAGACTATTTTGGGAATATTTGGGCAATCATTTTTGCACATTTTCTCTTCCACATGATATTCAAGAATGGCCAGAGAATAAGACCGAATTTTATACTAAATGAATAATTATGTTGTTTGAAACATCTGTCGAAGTTCAAAGACTCTTAGCAAGAGAAGAACACAAAAATGCAACAAAGAAAGTAATATTAATACTACAAATTGTACAGTTCTCGCTGCTTCGGACACATTTCGCAAAATACAAAAGTTCTTTGTATGTGAGGATATGTCAAAACTATGGTTTCCGAATTAACACTTTCAAAGAAATTTAGGTCGAACATTGGTTTTCTTTCTGTGTAACGGTAGGATAGAGATTTCAAAATGAATGATTATTCAAAAAAATTAACAAAATCCCGAAACATGGAGGATTGTCATTTGAAATTCTCAATCATATGGAAAAATATTGATTTTCCATTTATAGAATTAGAATAGGCAACATTTGGTCTGTTCCAGAACTGCAAGAATGTAAACGTTTTTACTACGATAACCTATTTTCCCATTATAGAATCGGAAAAAATTGCAACAGAGCAATTACTTCCAAATATAAATAGAAGTCGAGTTAATCGAGTAATTTACATTTTTTTTTACAAATAGCTTTATTTTCAACACGGCACTGGCCAATTATTTAAAAATAATGTAAAATATTTTCAATTTCCATAAAAATTAAAATTTTGAAAATAAAAATTAATTTCTTTTTTAAATTTATAGATTTTCTAAATGTAGAATATCAGAGCATTTTCAATCACTTCACTATTGTCACGTCTAAACTTTTTACAGAGGCACACATAAGAAATTATCCTTACAATTTCACCATATTTATATTTAACAGTAATCGCAAATGAAATCAATTTAGCAGATATTTGTTTCAAACACTTACACCCAGCCAAACATGTCGTGTGCCTTTAATTTGAAGTAAATATTCGTTGGCACTCAACTTTTTGTGGCATAATAAAAACAAACCAAAAAAAATATATCACGCAATTATGCAAAAAAACGAAAAAGAACACAAAGGAAATCAAAAGCGACTTCGGTGGAGAGTTGTAAAATTCTGTTGCAAGACTGAAAATTAAAAATAACACCACACATGGTTTTATAGTTTTTGGATGCAACAGTTGCCGGCATCAAAACGCAGCGAAATTTCTTCTCCGTTTTTGTTTGTTTTCTTTTTAGCGGCTATTTTTAAAATTGGCCTATGTCGAAGTACCACATCAAATGCATTTGAATACAAAATGACAATCTCATGTTTATCTCCTGCTTGCTTGCTGATTCTACACAAAGAAATATGAAGTCTGAAATTCAACGATTTCGTTCGTTTCTCCTGAAGTGGATGTTAGGTTGAATGGCTTTTTGACTAAATTTCTCGAGATTTATGTATATGAGTTCAATAAACCTGATCACATTTTTCTATCGTCAAATACACACGGTAGCAAACTAAATGGCAATTCTCGCTTATTTATTGCAGACAACACGAAAAGTAAGGTTATGAAAAGAATATGCAAATCATGACGACAAAACAATTGCAAAACGCTATGCTTCTGCTGATTTATGGGGCGAAACTTTGGTTTTATTGAGTTTCTTTTAAAAATATAAATGTAAATATTTTTGATATTTTAAAATCAAGCCACTTATTTTAGAGGCACGCAAATTAAGTCGATATTTGAAATTTAATTGATCTGAAGGGTTTCTTCCAAGGGATTTCAAAGAGTTAAGTTGATAAAAAAAGCAACCCATTTTTCATAATAAACTATAAACTCTCAAATTTCTTTAAAGCTGGTATGACATTGTAACATATCTGTAACATAACCTTACTTTCCCTACTCCAATCTGAATGCGACCTATTTTTGGTTCTAAAACACTTTGTAAATAAATAACTATCTGCAGTAGCCTGCGGGTGTTCATGTATTTGGATATGGTGCAAAATTTGTGGGTGGTAAAGTGCTGAAGGATATCGTTATTGAGGTTTGTTGCAAAACAAAACCTGGGTGTTGTGTAGTATTGAAATGTGTGTTTGGATTCAAAATTTGGTTATTAACGGTGTAAATGGTTCCTGGACTTGTTGGTTTCTAGTTTACCAAAAAAATACTGTTACGGGACAACAACTACTCTAATGGATTAATTAAACATGCTTTTCTTTTATTTTGGGTTAAATCGTTTTTTTTTTTTTTGTATATTTTGTTAGTTATTTTTATTAATAAAATATTGTTGTTTATATACTACGAATACTAAAACTAATTAAGGAATTGGTTTGTTTTGTTTAATTAATAGTTAGGTATTACTCATTTTCAATCCAAGGTTAATTTTGAGTTAATTAAAAAAAAAAGAAAAATAAATCAAAAAATAATAATAAAAAATAAATTTTAAACGCAAAACTTAACGAAAAGGCAAAAATAAAAAAAAATTAAAGAAAAACACAACTAAAAATATATTATAATAAGTGCAAAAAAACATTATGATAAGGACAACAAATAGGTGACGACAATTACATTTGAAATGTTGTCTAATGGCTTTTTAAAAGAGAATAAATAAAAAAGGTTAAGGAAAACAATTAAAGCTTTTTTTTTCCTTTTGCGGTACACGAGAAATAAAAAAAGTTGTTAAAAAGCGCAATATGTCCATGGAGAGATGTGGTACATTTGCTTCAAATCAAATTGAAAATTTCCAATTTTTTTTATTTCTCGAATTAACCAAGTACCCACAATTTTGGCAAAGTCTTTAAGATATTTTTCATTCAAAATTGTGTTTACTTTGATCATCTGAATTGATTAATTATATAGAAATTAAAAAAAATGTTACGAACTCATTAAAGACATACATACATATACATATATAAATGCAATGATTCAAGTGATATATAAAATATATATAGATAAAAAATATATGTTCATCTTTTTCGTTCAGTTCAGTTCAGCTCAATTGAGTTTAGTTTCGTTTAGATTTGATTTGATTTCGCTTAGCAATTATTGTTGGAACTAATGTTAGGATTCAAATGAAACTAGATTCCAAACATTCATTCTTTACACCAATCAAAACCGTTCAAAAGCCATAAACATAGACCAAAACCACAAATAAAAGCTGTTATTAATAAAATTAGCAGAGTACGTATTCTCAACGTTATTATCACCTTCGCCTGTTGTTGATGTTGCTGCTGCTGCTGTTGGATGCCGTCTAGACCCAAACCTGTAACGGTGGTTGTGGTCGTCGTGGTTGTGCGCCGAAGTACGTTGCTGGGGTCACTCACAACGATGGGATTGTAAACCTCCTCCGTAACCGTTGTGGTTGTAGTGGTGGTTTGTGTTGTTGTGATGGGTGTTTGAATTGTGGTTAGTGGTAACTGGGTGGTTGGTGTTGTTGCTGCTGCTGCTGTGACAATATCTTGTCCTTCTTCCTCTTTGGTCACCTGGGTGGTGGTCACCGTTGTAACTGTGCCCGGCGTGACAACTTGGACAACATTCTGGCCGGATGTTGCAGATTCCTCTTCGGTGGTTGTTGTTGTTGATGTTGTGATCTTCGAAGCTTCTTCGGTTGTTGAAGAAACTACGGGAACTACATGGTGTTCAGTGACAGTTGTAGTTTCTGTAGCTTCCACCTTAATATCGTCCTTGGGTTCCGAAGTTGTTTGAAGCTGTAATTGAGGTACAACTTCTTCATATGTTGTTGTCACAATTATTTCTTCTTCTCTGGGTGCTGCAACTTCTTCAGTGGTGGCCACAGTTACAACTTCCTCAACAGTTGTTGATGGCTGTTGTTGTTGTTGATGTTGCTGAGGATGTGTTGGCTCTGTCGATTGGGTTGTTACTGCCGCCACTACGGCTGGTGCCAAGGCGGCACCAACCACTTGGGGCAACAGTGATGCTGCTGTTTCTACTGCTTGTGTCTTTGCCGTCTGGACCGCCATCGTTGCTTGAGCCGCGGCATTTAGTATTGTGGTAGTAGTAGCTTTAGCTAAGGGTGTTAGTTTACTAACAAGACTTACATTTTGTGTGGAGTCGGTATCGGTAACGATATCGGGGGATATGAGGGATTCAGATTGGGAGGGAACGGGAGTTGTTGTATTGTTAGTTTCAGTGGGAGCAGCAGGAATGCTTGTTGGCTGAGGAGCAGTAGCAGTAGCGTTGGTATCTTTTTCTTTGTCTTCTACCACTTTACTAGCAGAACTAGCATCTACCTTGCCCTCTTCTTCCTGTCCCTCTAAGGCTAAATATGTACTTTGGTCACGCCAATGGCCAATACCACCTGGCAGATCAGTCGACATATATTGCGAGGAGCAGGAGCCGTAGCTGCCACCCTTGCTCATGTCGTGTTCGGGTGTGGGTGTTACATGACCACTACTATCACTACCTGGTCCACCTCTGTGATCGTCGTCATCGTCTTTGGGTTTACGTATTTCTGGTATGGCGTTGGCATCACCACCCTCTTCGTCATCGTCATCATCGTCGTCGTCATCGGAGTCACCAGCGTCTGGTTTAGTGTCGGTCTTCTTTTGTAAATCACCGAAATCGTCTTTTTCGTCGGGTTTCGTTAAATCGTTCGATCTCGCCAATTTCTCAGAAGTCTCTGCAGTCACAGCGGGCAGAACACTTTCAACTGAATCTGCCTTCAGTTCGTTGGATACCCAAGAATCCTTGGACAAGTTCACCAGAAGAGTGTCTGTTGCCGGCTGAGAGCCCATGCTAATTTCATTGGGGGGAATGCTAACGTCAGAGATTGTCGTGGTCGTAGACTCAACAACAATCTCAGTATCAGTCTTTTCAGTTGTGTCGGAGGTCAGTGTGGGTTCTTCATCAGTCTTTTGGACAGAATCTGTAAGGGATTCTTGTGGTTCAACTAAGTGGACCAAGGAGCCTTCGTGCCTGAGTATTTGATAGTAATCTGTAACGATCTTGGGGAAGTTGTCATTAAGTAAATTCTTCAACAAGGAGTCGGTACTCTTCGCCGGTTCTTCCTCTACAAGAGGGGTGGCTGTACCCTCAGTCATATTTGGATCTGGTGGACAGACACAAATAATGGGTTTGTAGTCGTCGGAAGTTGTAGTGGTTGTGTCGCTTGTAATAACCTGAGTTTCTGTTACCTGAGTTTGCTCTAGAGGTTCTTGAATCTGGGGGACAGTGGATTGGCTTAATGCCCACTTGGATTCAAAAACATTGGATGAGGGCAACGCCTTCGATCTTAAATCAATACTTAAGTTCATTAGCAATTGATCTGTTTGCGAAACTACTTCACTTGACTGAACGCTATCGTCGCTAGGAGCAGAATCACAAATGATGTCCTTAGTTGGTTGTTCTTGTTGTTCTGGCGAAGCTTCGACGGTGTTGCTTTCGTCGTCGATTGTAGCAGAATCAGTTTGAGGTTCTTGTGGAGCATGTTTGGTTTTGAGAGCATTTTCGAAGATTTCATACTTCGTTGTCCAGTACTTGTTAATTTCTTGGTACAAATTGTAGCGCAGTTCGTCTTCGTGAATGCGTTTCAATTCATCAGCGTCGACAACTGTACACAGTTCGGTGGTTTCGGGAATAACATCGGGTTCGGTGTGACTGGTAACCACCGTAGAAACATATGTAGAAACCTCCTTCTTCTCACCCTCAGCGGGTGGTGGTGTGTGAGTGGTCACTGTTGTGGCTACATAGGAAGAGGGTGACTCTTCTCTGGTCTCTACCGATAGATCCTTGTGAGTGGTAACAGTGGTGGTCAAATAAATTTGAGATTCATCGGTTTCACTGGTTGGTTGAGGTTTGGGATCTTGGTAATCGGTAGTTTTACTAACCACGACTGAAGACCATGACACCGGTGATTCTTCTGTTTCTGTATGTTTGCTGACTTCAGAGACAGGTTCTTGCTGCGGTTGTTGTCCTTGTGTGAATACCTTTTCTTCAGTCTGAATAATAGCTGCCCACGATGTGGGTGTTTCTGTTGGCGATTGGACTGGGATTTCAGGAACTTCGATTTCTTCGGATATTGGAATTACAATTTCACTTGGTTTCAGTGTTGCTGACCAATAGCTGGTCTGAGATACAAAACCTTCAAGGGGCTGATCCGTTTTCTCGGCTTCGATAAATTGTTGTGTCAACGATTCACTTGTCGGTGCCTCGATTTCTTCGGGCTTGAATTCCTCGTCTCTCGAATCACTTATCTCTTCAGACACAGTACTTTCTTGCTCAGTTTGTTCACTTGTTGTTGTTGTTACAGTCACAATTTCTTCAACTGTTTCAATTGTTGAGGGTTTCTCCTGAACTGTAGCTGGTTCAACGAACACCTTTTCCTCAGTCTTAATAATGGCCGCCCATGATGTGGGTGTTTCTGTTGGCGACTGGACTGGGATTTCAGGAATTTCGACTTCGTCGGATGTTGGAATTACAATTTCACTTGGTTTGAGGGTTGCTGACCAATAGCTGGTCTGAGATACAAAACCTTCAATGGACTGATCCTTTTTCTCGGCTTCGATAAATTGTTGAGTCAACGATGCACTTGTTGGTGTTTCAATTTCTTTGGGTTGGAATTCCTCGACTCTCGAATCAGGTGTAGTCTCATCAACAGTAGGTTTCTCCTTAACTTCACCATCGGATTGAAGTTGCTCGATTGACACTGAAACTTCGCTCGTCTCCTTCTCCTCAGGTTCAATGGATGTTGGGTTCTCCTGTAATTTTTCAGGGGCAACATGTTGAGAGTCGAATTCCTCCACGCTATGTGGCTCACTCGTTGTTGTCACACTTACAATTTCTTCAATTGTTGTTGTTTTCTCCTTGACATCATGTGCTGCCACCTGGACAGTAGCGGGTTCGACAAACACCTTTTCATCAGTCTTAATTATGGCCGCCCATGATGTGGGAGTTTCAGTGGGAGATTGTACGGGCACTTCCACTGTATCTTCGGGAACAGTAAGCTTCTCTGGTTTCAGGGTAGCTGACCAGTAGTGAGTCTGTGCAACGAAAGTGTCAGGCTCTGGAATCTCACTCGATTCAGATACCTCACTGATGACGTCTTTCTCTACTTTAGGTTGATCAAACGACTCAGTTGTAGTAACGGTCATAGTCTCCTCACTGGTGGTTTCAGATTCAGTGACTGGTTTTTCAAACACTTTCTGTTCGGTCTTTACAATGGCAGCCCATGATTTTGGAGTTTCAGTGGGCGATTGTACAGGCACTACAATGGGCTCTTCGGTGGCTTCCGGTGTTTTAGCTCTGTGTTCCGGTTTCAAAGTGGCTGACCAGTAGTGAGTTTCCGAAACGAAAGCATCTGCCTCAGGCACTCCTTCGGAAGTTGAGGTGTGCTTTTCCATCTTTTGGTCCTTGGACTTCTTGTCCTTCTTCTTTTTCGTTTTCGGTGTCTCTTCACCTTGTCTTTCGGATTCCAAGAATTTTTCGGTTATTGAAGGCTGTTCAACTGATTGTGGCAGAGTTGTGGATGGTTTACATACATCAGGGGTTTCAGTCACCTCTGGTTCTTCGACCAAGGAAATGGGTTCATCAAACACCTTTTCCTCCGTTTTTATTATGGCAGCCCAAGACTTGGGTGTTTCCGTTGGTGATTCCACTGGTACAACAACTCCTTCTTCCTTGTCAGGTACTATTATTTGGGCAGGCTTCAAAGTTGCTGACCAATAGGAAGTTTGCGAGACAAACGAGTCAGGTTCCTGGGTTGTTTCATAAGTCGTTTCCCTGACTTCTTTCACAACTCTTCCGCTGGGGGAGACACTCTTAGATTCTGGCTTCTTCTTGGTCTTTTGCTTAGGTTTCTTCTCCTTCTTTTCTGCCTCCAGTTTCACACTGATCATGGTCTTAGGCTGATCTGGAACCTGTGGCGCCTCCGTTACCTGTGCAACTGGTAATGCACTTTCGGTGATAACACGAATCTTTTGGACAGGTTGGGGCACATTTTGTGCGGCAATGGCAGCCCAAGACATACCAGAAACCACAGGAGATGGAGCTGGTGTAGGTAGCTCCACAGTAACTTGTTCAGTAGTAACTGATTCCTCTACGGGCTCGGGTTCCTTGACAGGTTCAGGAGATGAAACATCAATCTGAGCAACAGCCTCTGGCTGAGCAACTTGTTGAACTGGCTCTGAACTACGAGATGGGCGTGCTTTCTTCGATTTCTTAGTAGATTTACGTGACTGATTGGATTGTGATCTGGAACGAGATCTGGGTCTAACAGTCAACCATTCAGATGTAGAATCAGTGTCCACCGCATCTAAAGGAACCTCAGTAACTTCGATAGTGGGACGTTCTTGTTTGCGAGACTTTCTTGATGTAGTAACTGTCGTCTGCGTTTCTTCACTTTCAACTGTGGTTGTCCACGGTGTAATGGGTACCGGTTGTTCAACTATTGGATGAGGCTCCGATTCTGTCTCACGCCAGGTCATTGATGTAGGTTCGTCATTCCAATTGGTTTCCTCTAGATCGGTTACAATCCTTTCAATAGCCGCTACCATTTCTGTCGATTCGAATTCGGGCTGTAAAGGTTCTGGGTGTGTAACTTCATCACTTGAAGCCAACATAGATGTTGAAGTTTCAGGCATTTGCACTGATGGAGTGTCATTGCGTCGGGTTGGTAATGGTGAATATCGTACTTTTCCCGGTTCTGTCAATCCTGATTTTCTTACAACCTCAGCATAGGTTTCAGATAAGGACCACACAGACGGTGGTGCTGGAGTACTAGGCAATGGCACAATAATTTCAGTAACTTCTGGTTGAACGACAATTGGAGTTACATTTTCGTCTTCAGTCTTTGTCTTCTTCTCCTCAGGCTCTACTTCTGGTTCACTCTCTTGGATTGATGGAATGACCTCGACGGATTCCTCAACATGGGGAACTTCTGAGATCTCTTGCACAACAGGTTCGGAGGAAGGAAGAGTTTTTACTTCATCCTGGGAAACAATCACCCATGAATCTTCGTGGCTCTCTTCGATGACTTCGTCATACCAAGAGGTTTCCCTTACAGGTTCTTCTACAGTTTGGACATTTTCAATGACATATTCGTTGCCAGTCTGTGCCTGAATATCTTCTGCAGGAATATCGTTCGATGTCTCATAAGACATTACAGTTTCTTCGGTAGTAATAGTTTCCTCAATTTCTACTTCAGGTTTACGTTCTTGCTGAATAAACGTGGATGAAACTTCTCTCACGATTTGCGGTTGGACAGGAATATTCTCCTTTAGCACCGCCGACCACGACTTCAGCAGTGGTGGTGGTTGAGGAGAGATTGGTCGCTCCATTTTCGGAACAGCATCAATATGTGTTTTGGCATCAAGTATTTCTACCTTTTCAGATGTTTCTCTAGGCTTCTTATCCTTATCCTTCTTCTCCTTTTTCTTTTTCATTGGAGTTTCCACGGTTACGCCTTCAGGAATGCGTTCAGGCTTATCATCCTTTCCATGTTCTCTGGATTCAAATTCATAGCGGTCTTGTCCTTCTTGTTGCAAGAAGTCTGTTACTGTTTGTTTAATATTCTTGGTAACTGTAACCACTTGTTGGACAGATGTTTCAGGCACTGTTTTCATTTCTTCTGTTGCAGTTGGAGACCCACCTGTAACTTCTTCAGTTAAAGAAACTACTGGAGGCACAGTTTCTTTCTCCTTTTTGTCCTTCTTCTTCGATTTCTTATCCTTTGGTGCTTGTTCTGATACGTCAACAGATTTATCCTCCTTCAACAAAGCAGACCATGATATAGGAGCAGGAGCAACAGGCTCAGGAGACTGTTTAACTTCTTCGACAGCATCATGAGGAACTTCTGTTATGACTGTCTCAACTGTTTCCGTGATTACTGTATCAACTGCAGCTGGAGCTTCGGTGGAAGAAACAACAACAATTTCTTTCTCTTTTTTGTCCTTCTTTTTCTTCGATTTCTTGTCCTTTGGAGCCATTTCCTCGACAGTCGATTCAGGTTTTGGTTCCTCAATAAGTTTATCCTCCTTCAACAAATCGGACCATGATTTTGGAGTAACATTCTCAGAGGAAGGTTTGGTCTCTTCCACAACATAATGTGATATTTCAGTGGTGACTGTCTCGACGGATTCTGTAATGACTGTGTCGGTTGCAGTTGGAGCTTCAGCAGGAACTTCTTGAGTGCAAGAAGGAACATCAGACACAATTTCTTTCATCTGTTCGTCCTTCTTCTTCGATTTCTTATCCTTTGGAGCTTGTTCTGATACGTCAACAGTTTTATCTTCCTTTAACAAATCAGACCATGATTTGGGAGCAGGAGCAACAACCTCAGGAGAAGGTTTGATTTCTTCGACAACATCATGTGCCACAACTGTTACAACTGTTTCGGTGATGACTTCATCAACTGTAGTTGGGGCTTCAGCTGCAATAACTGTTTCCACAGTTTCTGCATTGACTGCATCAACTTCAGCGATAACTGCTTCAGTGGGAGGAACAACAACAAGTTCTTTTTTGTCCGTTTTCTTCTTTGATTTCTTATCCTTCGGAGTTATTTCCTCCGCTGCCACTTCGGATGTGGGTTCCTCAACAGGTTTATCCTCCTTCAACAAATCAGACCATGATTTAGGAGCAGGAGCAACAACCTCAGGAGAAGGTTTGATTTCTTCGACAACATCAGTTGCAACTTCTGTTATGACTGTCTCAACTGTTTCAGTGACGACTGTATCAACTCCAGTTGGAGCTTCATCGATAGGTGCTTCAGTTGAAGGAGCAACAACAGAGTCTTTCTCTTTTTTGTCCTTCTTTTTCTTTGATTTCTTATCCTTCGGAGTTATTTCCTCGACAGTGAATTCAAGTTTTGGTTCATCCTCCTTCAACAAATCAGACCATGACTTTGGAGCAGGAGCAACAACCTCAGGAGAAGGTTCGATTTCTTCGACAACATCAGTTGCAACTTCTGTTATGACCGTCTCAACTGTTTCCGTGATGACTGTATCAACTGCAGTCGGAGGTTCATCGATGGGTGCTTCAGTCGAAGGAACAACAACAATTTCTTTCTCTTTTTTGTCCTTCTTTTTCTTTGATTTCTTATCCTTCGGAGGCATTTCTTCGACAGTTGATTTAGGTTTTAGTTCCTCAGCTGGTTTTTCTTCCTTCAACAAATCAGACCATGATTTAGGAGCAGGAGCAAGAACCTCAGGAGAAGATTTGATTTCTTCGACAACATCAGTTGAAACTTCTGTTATGACCGTCTCAACTGTTTCCGTGATGACTGTATCAACTGCAGTCGGAGCTTCATCGATGGGTGCTTCAGTCGAAGGAACAACAACAATTTCTTTCTCTTTTTTGTCCTTCTTTTTCTTTGATTTCTTATCCTTCGGAGGCATTTCTTCGACAGTTGATTCAGGTTTTAGTTCCTCAGCTGGTTTTTCTTCCTTCAACAAATCAGACCATGATTTAGGAGCAGGAGCAAGAACCTCAGGAGAAGATTTGATTTCTTCGACAACATCAGTTGAAACTTCTGTTATGACCGTCTCAACTGTTTCCGTGATGACTGTATCAACTGCAGTCGGAGCTTCATCGATGGGTGCTTCAGTCGAAGGAACAACAACAATTTCTTTCTCTTTTTTGTCCTTCTTTTTCTTTGATTTCTTATCCTTCGGAGGCATTTCTTCGACAGTTGATTCAGGTTTTAGTTCCTCAACTGGTTTTTCTTCCTTCAACAAATCAGACCATGATTTAGGAGCAGGAGCAACAACCTCAGGAGAAGATTTGATTTCTTCGACAACATCAGTTGCAACTTCTGTTATGACCGTCTCAACTGTTTCCGTGATGACTGTATCAACTGCAGTCGGAGCTTCATCGATGGGTGCTTCAGTCGAAGGAACAACAACAATTTCTTTCTCTTTTTTGTCCTTCTTTTTCTTTGATTTCTTATCCTTCGGAGGCATTTCTTCGACAGTTGATTCAGGTTTTAGTTCCTCAACTGGTTTTTCTTCCTTCAACAAATCAGACCATGATTTAGGAGCAGGAGCAACAACCTCAGGAGAAGGTTTGATTTCTTCGACAACGTCATGTGAAACTTCTGTTATGACTGTCTCAACTGTTTCCGTGACGACTGTATCAACTGCAGTTGGAGCTTCATCGATGGGTGCTTCAGTCGAAGGAACAACAACAGTTTCTTTCTCTTTTTTGTCTTTCTTTTTCTTTGATTTCTTATCCTTCGGAGTTATTTCCTCGACAGTCGATTCAAGCTTTGGTTCCTCAACAGGCTTGTCCTCCTTCAACAAATCAGACCATGATTTAGGAGGAGCAGGAGCAAGAACCTCAGGAGAAGATTTGATTTCTTCGACAACATCAGTTGCAACTTCTGTTATGACTGTCTTAACTGTTTCCGTGATGACCGTATCAACTGTAGTTGGAGCTTCAGCGATAGTTTCTGCAGTGGGAGGAACGACATGGGACACAATTTCTTTTTCCTTTTTGTCCTTCTTTTTCTTAGATTTTTTATCCTTTGGCATTGTTTCCTCTAGAGGTACATCAGGTGCTGATACATCAACAGGTTTCTCCTCCTGCAACAAATCAGTCGTTTTGACTGTATCGACAATGGTTAGGGATTTCTCTTCTTCTGTAGATGGTTTTGGTTCTGTTTCTTCCAAAACGACAGCCTTTGGAACAGTAACTTCAGCAGGATTAATGTCCTCTTTCAATAAATCGGCCCAAGATTTTGGGGCTGGAGTTATGGGTTCAACCTTCTCCGAAATTCCGCGTTCCAAGTTGTCCACTTGTGTTTCTGTTACGTCTGTTTCCGAAATTACGGTAATGATTGTTTCCACTACAGTTGGAGGTTTACCAGTCACTTCTGCAATAACTTCAGATTCAGCCGGTATGGCACGATCTTCCTCTATTGTTTCGGGGACAGATTCGACAACTTGAGTTAGATTTTCGACATTTGATTCCGTAACCACAGTGGTTGTGGTTTCAACTACTGAAACATGCTTCTCTTGCTTCTCAACTTTTGGAACAACGTGCTGCACATCGTCTTCAGTCTCGAATTCAGAAATGATTGAATCTAATGTGGTTGGGGCAGGCACTCTTTCTGTTTCGGAAATATCCGTGGAAGTATTAACATTTTCAACCACTTGGAGTTCTTCCACAACACCTTCAGTTGGTTTTTCGGGTTGAGTCGAAACCACAAATTCTTCAACAATTGGGGATTCTTCAACTTCTGTCTCTTCGTCCACATTTTCTGAAACTGGCGTAACTTCTTCCACGACTTGTTCCTCGGGTTGTGGTGCCTTCGTCGTGGTTTCTTCAGTAGTTTGTAGGCCAACGATGCTGGTCTCCGTTACAATTGTAGTAACGGTTTCAGTCAGAACAGAGGATTTTTCAGTGTTATCTTCAACTGGTGCGAGACCTTCGTCATCCCTATCAATTGGCTCAACAACAACCTGTTGTTCATCGACTGGGAACTGAACTTGTTTTTCCTCTTCGATGATGTTTGTCACTGTCTGTTCAAGCGTTTGCGAGAAATCTTCTTCCACATCATCGGACCACAATGTTTGTGCAGGCTTGCTATCTTTGACTAAAGCTTCTTCAACTGGATATTCGTTAGCCTCAGCTATAACTTCTAGTTCATTTTCTCTTTCGCAAACCGAAACTGTAGTTTCATCCTCTAGCGGAACTTCGGGCTGAGGCTTTTCAATTTGTGGTGTCGGGAACCATGATTGTTCTATTTCCTCAACTGGCGTCCAAGGTTTGCTTGTAATCTCTTTGACTTCTTCGAAAGTTGTTGTGGTAGAAGTGATGGTGGTGATTTCCGATACCATTTGCTCGGTCTCTGGAAGAACATCTGTTGGTTCATCGGATTGGATCTCAACAGGTTCTATAGGCAGACGTTCTTTCTTGGATTTTTTATCAATCTTTGGTTTCTTTGTTACGGAGGTTTCAATACTAGCTGTCGTTATTGGTTGCGGCTCATCGATAACCGTCGGTTGTTTTGCTGGTTTCTTTTCTTTGGGTTTCCTTTCAGGCAGTCTGGAATGCAATTCTTGGTGAATGAATTCCTGAGTCTTCTTCTTTGTGTCGAACGAAGTCTTCTTCAATGTATCGACAAATGGTTGAGTAATGTTCTCCTTCAAAATATCTGACCAAGACTTCATATGACCGCTGGGAACCTCTGGAATTGGTTTCTGTTGTTGACTTAGTGTTTCAGCCTCATCTTCACTTGCGGGTAGAGACCAAGAGGTGGTTTCAGGTTGCTGCACCACTTCAGCTTCCTTTGTTTCGCACTCGGTCTGGTCTAAAATTTCAACAATGTCTAAGGTCTCCTCCCTAACGGGAATCTCAGTAACAGCTTCGGTTATTATTTGCTTGTGTTTTGGTCTTCTTGGTTTTGGAGAATCCGAGGGACTTTCCTTCTTTGCTGGTGCCGTGATCGTTACCATTGGTTCAGAAGATTCCTCAGCAACAGTTTTACTGACAATAGCAGACCAGGACATTCCTGTTGGTTTTTGAATATCCTGATCAAGCGGCGACACATATTCCACTTCGGGTTCTTCAACGACAACAGCCGGTTGGGATATTTCAGAGGGGAGGAGCATTGGTTTCTTTGTTTCCTCCTTAAGTTGTTTCTCTTTCTTCTTCTTCGTCTTGTCCCTCTTAGAAAGTTTGACTTCCGATTTTTCATCGATTGTATCGGAGTCAGAAGAAGATTTTATAGGCGCCTTCGTGTGTGGAACTTCTGTGTGAGATGGAGCCATTATTTCTTCTTTAGGTGGCTCCGGAGCCTTCCTTAGTATGTCAGACCAAGACATCACAGCGCTGGGCTGAGTAGAATGTATTTCAACGGTCTCTTGCGAGACTTCTTCACGACGTTCTTCAAGAAGTGTGTCCTCAGAGGAAATTTCTATATTTTCACTTACAATTTCCTGTGGGATGGGTTTCTTGATAACTTGCTTCTTGTCCTTCTTCTCACGTTTTCTCACGGGTTCGGCCTTAACCTTTTCGGTCTCGAGGAAGGAAGCGGTCTTTTGTGCAACAGATGGCTGCTTCTTTACGTCTTCCTTAGGTTCGGGTTTCTTCATTTCCTCTGCAACTGCTTGTGGTTCTGGTGCTTGCTGAAGCACGTTGGACCATGACATAGCTGACGATGAGGTGACAGTTGTGGTTGTTGTCAAAGACTCGGAAGTTATAGTTACTGCTTCAGTTACTGTGGACACTACTTCTTCAGAATCCACTATCGGCTCAACAGGTTCTGGACTCTTCTCCCGTTTAGGTACAACAACAGCTGCGGCACGCTCAGGGCTCTGCTTACGGCCAGCGTGTTTCTTTTCCTTCTTTTCTCGTTTCTTTTGAGGTTCAGCCTTTACTTTTTCTGTTTCTAGGAAGGTAGCAGTTGTTTGTGCTATGGAAGGCTTCTTGGCCTCTTCCTTTGACTCATCGTTCTTTACCTTGTCTTCTGCAGCAACTGGTTCAGGAGCTTGTTGCAGTATGGATGACCATGACATTTTTGGAGAAGGAGATGTAGTCTCCAGTGTCTCAGTGGTTGTAGCAACTGTCTCAGTAGCAATAACTTCTTGAGTAGTAGTCACTGTTTCTTTTGTTGGCACCTCTGTTTCCGCTATCTTCTCTGGTTTTGTTTCTCCAACGTCTTCGCTCTTTTGGGGACTAGTCTTCCGAGCGGCGTGTTTCTTTTCCTTCTTTTCACGTTTCTTTACTCTTTCTGTTTCGGGGGTGGAAACTGTTTCTGTGGGAGCCAGTGATGGTTTCTTGACGTCTTCCTTTGGTTCGGTTTTCTTGACTACCTCGGGCAGTGGTTCCGGAGCTTGTTGAAGTATAGACGACCAGGACAGTTTTGGTAATGTGGTGGTTGTCTCCAAACTATCAGCCGAAGTTGTAATTGTTTCTGTGACGGTAATGACTTGTTGTCCAGTGGTCACAGTTTCGGTAGAGGTCTCCTCCGTCGAGACCTCAACCTCTTGAACCTTCGGTTGTTGAGGCTCATCGACAATGTCCACCTTTTCAGGACTAGACTTTCGAGTAGAGTGTTTCTTGTCCTTCTTTTCTCGTTTCTTCTGCGGTTCGACTTTTACCTTTTCGGTTTCCAGGAAGGTTGTCGTGCTTTGAGCCACATCAGTTCTCATAGATTCCTGATTCGGTTCGGGTTTCATCACCTGCTCTGGAATAGGCTCGGGAGCCTTTTGAAGAATGGTGGACCATGACATTGTAGGGGCAGAAGAAGTAATTTCTTGCTTCTCAGAAGAAATTGTAACCCGGTTAGTATCGGTGATGATGACATGCTGTTCAGTTAACAGAGTTTCAGTAGTTGTAACCTCAGGTAAAGCAATTGACTCTGGCGATATCTCTTGTTTTGGTTCGTCAACAACATCGCTCTTTTCGGCGCTAGTCTTTCTAGCATCCTTTTTCTTGTCCTTCTTTTCTCGCTTCTTTTGAGGTTCGGTCTTTGCCTTCTCGGTTTCGAGGAAAATGGCAGTTTTTTGTGCCACAGAAGGTTTCTTGCTTTCCTCCTTGGGTTCAGGTTTTTTAACTTCCTCCAGAACTGGCTCTGGAGCTTGCTGAAGAATGGAAGACCATGACATTGTTGGTGACGTCGTTTCTAAAGTCTCGGAAGTGGAGGAAATGGTCTTCGAAACAACAATATCTTCTTGTTGAGTGATCACAGTTTCAGGTGTTTTATCGATGACCGCGGGCTTCTCTGCTGCAGGAATTTCTTCCTGTTTTGGTTCTACAACAGTTTCGTCCTTTTCTGGACTGGACTTGCGAGAAGCATGTTTCTTGGTCTTCTTTTCACGCTTTCTTGCTGGCTCAGTCGCAATCATTTCTGATTCCTTAGATTCGGGCTTCTTCGACTCTTCTTTCTTTGCTTCCTCGACAGTAGGCTCAGGAGCTTGTTGAAGAATAGAGGACCATGACATTATTTGTGAAGTAGTTGTGACTGAAGTTGTTTCCAATGCTTCGGAGACGGCGGTAGTGACGTCTGTAACTTCAACTATCTCTTGTTCACTAGCCACCGGCTCGTTCGCACGTTCCTCTGGTTTGTGTTCCACAACAATTTCACTTTTCTCGGGACTAGGCTTGCGGAGAGTTTGTTTTTTGTCTTTCTTCTCTCGTTTCTTTTTAGGTTCAGCCTTGACTTTCTCAGTTTCGAGGAACATAGCCGTTTGTTGAGCCAATGATGTTTTCGGTTCAGCGCCTCCGCTAGGTTCTGCGGGGATATTCACCTGTTGCGGAGCTTCTGGTTCGGGGGCCAGTTGAACAATTGAAGACCATGACATTTTAGTTGTTTGAGTGGGCAATTCCATTGTCGTGGAGGAAGTTTTTTCCTCAATAGTGGTGATAGGTTTCTTCTCTGTGGTTGGCTCAGCCACAACAACTGCTTGTGGCTGCACTTCAGGTTCAGGTTGACTGTCCTCAACTTCAACCCTAGTTTTTGGTTTCTTGTTCTTCTTTTCGCGTTTGTCCTTAGTATCTTTTGGTTTGTCGCCTTTAGGCTCCTCTATCGGCTTAACGTCTTGTGCCTTTGTTTCTTCTATTGCTGGTTCTGGAACCTGTTGAACTATCGAAGACCATGACATTTTGTTAGTGATAGTTGTGGTGGTGGTTTCCACACTGGTTGTCGTTGCATCAGTGAGTTCTTCGGTTTTAATGACGGTAGTATCCTGTGTTTCTTCCTGAACGCTTTCAACGTCATGTGGTTTCAAATCGTCAGCGATAGTCTTCTCCTTCTTTTCCTTCTTATGTTTTTCGGTCTTCATCGGTTTTTCCTCCTTCACAGGAATATCAGATACCTTCTGTTTATTATCCTCGGTTTTTGGAGGCTCTACAGGGGTAACAGTGACAGGACGTTGGTGAATGTGTTTCTTCTCTAAATCAATAAATTCAGTCGTTTGTTTCAGCATATCGGCATATGTGGTAGAAGGTTTAGTCTGCTTCAACTCCACAGTCTCCATAGCTTCTTCCGCTTCTTCAATAAGTTCGACCATGGCGTCGTCCTTCCATGAAACATCCAGTTGGGGCAGATCGAAGGCAGTACTGATTTGGGTTGATTCTGTTGTTGGTTTGTCATCGTGTGATTTCACAATTCCAGTTACATATTCCTGGGAAACAGTCGACGTCCAAGATGATTCAGTTTCCGATGATGCCAATTCAGCTGTTGCCACTTGAGTTGCATCTACTGTGGTATTTTCTTCTACAACTTCGGTATGTGGTTGCAATGGGGCAGTGAACGGTTTTTCGGGCACTTGAACTTCATCGACAGAAGGTTTCTCTAATACTTTAACTGATGGTTCTTCTACAGGAACTTGGTGTAATACTTCGGCATAAGCAGGATTCTTATCCTGCTCGGTTGCTTCAGCAACAAGCTCAACTTGTTCAAGAATTTGCTCAACCGCATTTGGCTTTTTGGAAACATCCTCAGTAACTGGTTGTGGTTCTTGAATTTCTGTGTCCTTGTCAGTGGTCTCTGCTACCACAGTAACAATTGTCGTTTCCTTTACCACAGAAGTCTCTTCAACAGATTCAGTTGTTTGGATTTGTTCCAAAGGAGCTGCATATGGAGCTGGCTCTGTTTTGGTTTCTTCGTCAGAGAATGCCATCGGTTCATCCATAACATCCATCCAAGCATTTGTGGATTCATCGACTGGCAAACCGGCATAGGCGGGTTTCGTAACTTCCTTGGGTTCTTCAGGAGCTGATTTGATTGGTTCTGGTTCTTTGGGAACTTCTTCAGTAGCAGGTTGTGGTTCTACTTTTTCTGTGTCCCTTTCCGTGATCTCTGGTTTAAATTGTTCCGGAACTTGCTCAACTGCGGTTGGCTCTTTGGAAACTTGTTGAGTTTCCTCAGTAACTTGTTGTGGCTCTTGAATTTCTGTGACCTTGTCAGTGGTCTCTGTTACCACGGTAACAATCGTTGTTTCCTTTACGACAGACGTCTCTTCGACAGATTCAGTTGTTTGTAATTTTTCCAAAGGAGCTGGCTCTGTTTCGGTTTCTTCGTCAGAGAATGCCATAGGTTCATCCATAACATCCATCCAAGCGTTTGTGGAGTCATCGACTGGCAAACCGGCATAGGCGGGTTTCGTAGCTTGCTTGGGTTCTTCAGGATCTGATTTGACCTGTTCTGGCTCTTTGGGAATATCCTCAGTAGCAGGTTGTGGTTCTTGTTTTTCTGTGACTTTCTCAGCTGTCTCTGCTGAAGGAACTGTATCAACTTGTGCCGGAACTTGGTCAACTGCCATTGGCTCTTTGGAAACTTGTTGAGTTTCCTCAGTAACTTGTTCTTGAAGTTCTGTGACCTTGTCAGTGGTCTCTGTCACCACAGTAACAATCGTTGTTTCCTTTACAACATTAGTAGAAGTCTCTTCGACAGATTCAGTTGTTTGTAATTTTTCCAAAGAAGCTGCATATGGAGCTGGCTCTGTTTCGGTTTCTTCGTCAGAGAATGCCATAGGTTCATCCATAACATCCATCCAAGCGTTTGTGGAGTCATCGACTGGCAAACCGGCATAGGCGGGTTTCGTAACTTCCTTGGGTTCTTCAGGAACTGATTTGACCTGTTCTGGCTCTTTGGGAACATCCTCAGTAGCAGGTTGTGGTTCTTGTTTTTCTGTGACTTTCTCAGCTGTCTCTGCTGAAGGAACTGTATCAACTTGTGCCGGAACTTGGTCAACTTGTTGAGTTTCCTCAGTAACTGGCTCTTGAATTTCTGTGACCTTGTCAGTGGTCTCTGTCACCACAGTAACAATCGTTGTTTCCTTTACAACATTAGTAGATGTCTCTTCGACAGATTCAGTTGTTTGTAATTTTTCCAAAGGAGCTGCATATGGAGCTGGCTCTGTTTCGGTTTCTTCGTCAGAGAATGCCATAGGTTCATCCATAACATCCATCCAAGCATTTGTAGAGTCATCGACTGGCAAACCGGCATAGGCAGGTTTCGTAACTTCCTTGGGTTCTTCAGAAACCGGTTTGACTTGTTCTGGCTCTTTGGGAACTTCTCCAATAACAGGTTGTGGTTCTTGTTTTTCTGTGACCTCTTCCGTGATCTCTGGTTTAAATTGTTCCGGAACTTGCTCAACTGCCGTTGGCTCTTTGGAAACTTGTTGAGTTTCCTCAGTAACTAGTTGTGGCTCTTGAATTTCTGTGACCTTGTCAGTGGTCTCTGTCACCACAGTAACAATCGTTGTTTCCTTAACAACACTAACAGAAGTCTCTTCGACAGATTCAGTTGTTTGTAATTTTTCCAAAGGAGCTGCATATGGAGCTGGCTCTGTTTCGGTTTCTTCGTCAGAGAATGCCATAGGCTCATCCATAACATCCATCCAAGCATTTGTGGAGTCATCGACTGGCAAACCGGCATAGGCGGGTTTCGTAACTTCCTTGAGTTCTTCAGGAACTGATTTGACCTGTTCTGGTTCTTTGGGAACTTCCTCAGTAACAGGTTGTGGTTCTTGTTTTTCTGTGACTTTCTCAGCTGTCTCTGCAGAAGGAACTTGGTCAACTTGTGCCGGGACTTGCTCAACTGTCGTTGGCTCTTTGGAAACTTGTTGAGTTTCCTCAGTAACTTGTTGTGGCTCTTGAATTTCTGTGACCTTGTCAGTGGTCTCTGTCACCACAGTAACAATCGTTGTTTCCTTAACAACATTAGCAGAAGTCTCTTCGACAGATTCAGTTGTTTGTAATTCTTCCAAAGGAGCTACATATGGAGCTGGCTCAGTTTCTGCTTCATCATCAGAGAATGTCATAGGTTCGTCCATAACATCCATCCAAGCATTTGTGGATTCATCGACTGGCAAACCTGCATAGGCAGGTTTCGTTACTTCTTTGGGTTCTTCAGAAACTGGTTTGACTTGTTCTGGCTCTTTGGGAACTTCTTCAATGACAGGTTGTGGTTCTTCTTTTTCTGTGACCTTTTCCGTGATCTGTGGTGTAACTTGTTCCGGAACTTGCTGAACTACCGTTGGCTCTTTGGAAACTTGTTGAGTTTCCTCAGTAACTTGTTCTTGAAGTTCTGTGACCTTGTCAGTGGTCTCTGTAACCACAGTAACAATCGTTGTTTCCTTAACAACATTAGCAGAAGTCTCTTCGACAGATTCAGTTGTTTGTAATTGTTCCAAAGGAGCTGCATATGGAGCTGGCTCAGTTTCTGCTTCATCATCAGAGAATGTCATAGGTTCATCCATCCAAGCATTTGTGGATTCATCGACTGGCAAACCGGCATAGGCAGGTTTCGTAACTTCCTTGGGTTCTTCGGCTACAGATTTGACTTGTTCTGGCTCTTTGGGAACTTCCTCGTTAGCAGGTTGAGGTTCTTGTTTTTCTGTGACCTTCTCAGCTGTCTCTGCAGAAGGAACTGGGTCAACATGTTCAGAAACAACTGTTGGCTCATTGGAAACTTGTTGAGTTTCCTCAGTAACTGGTTGTGCTTCTTCCAATAATGTGACCTTGTCCGTGGTCTCTGTAAACACAGTAACAATCGTTGTTTCTTTGACGACATCAGTAGAAATTTCTTCAATAGCTTCAGTTGTTTGTAATTGTTCCAAAGGAGCTGCATATGGAGCTGGCTCAGTTTCTGCTTCATCATCAGAGAATGTCATAGGTTCGTCCATAACATCCATCCAAGCATTTGTGGATTCATCGACTGGCAAACCTGCATAGGCAGGTTTCGTTACTTCTTTGGGTTCTTCAGAAACTGGATTGCCTTGTTCTGGCTCTTTGGGAACTTCTTCAATGACAGGTTGTGGTTCTTCTTTTTCTGTGACCTTTTCCGTGATCTGTGGTGTAACTTGTTCCGGAACTTGCTGAACTGCCGTTGGCTCTTTGGAAACTTGTTGAGTTTCCTCGGTAACTAGTTGTGGCTCTTGAATTTCTGTGACCTTATCAGTGGTCTCTGTCACCACAGTAACAATCGTTGTTTCCTTAACAACATTAGCAGAAGTCTCTTCGACAGATTCAGTTGTTTGTAATTCTTCCAAAGGAGCTACATATGGGGCTGGCTCAGTTTCTGCTTCATCATCGAAGAATGTCATAGGTTCATCCATAACATCCATCCAAGCATTTGTGGATTCATCGACTGGCAAACCGGCATAGGCAGGTTTCGTAACTTCCTTGGGTTCTTCAGCTACAGATTTGACGTGTTCTGGCTCTTTGGGAACTTTCTCGTTAGCAGGTTGAGGTTCTTGTTTTTCTGTGACCTTCTCAGCTGTCTCTGCAGAAGGAACTGGGTCAACATGTTCAGAAACAACTGTTGGCTCTTTGGAAACTTGTTGAGTTTCCTCAGTAACTGGTTGTGCTTCTTCCAATAATGTGACCTTGTCCGTGGTCTCTGTAAACACAGTAACAATCGTTGTTTCTTTGACGACATCAGTAGAAATTTCTTCAATAGCTTCAGTTGTTCGAATTTGTTCCAAAGGAGCCGTATATGGAACTGGCTCTGCTTCGGTTTCATCGTCGGAGAACACCATCGGTTCATCGATTACATTCATCCAAGCGTTTGTTGAATCGTCAACTGGCAAACCGGCATAAGCAGGTTTCTTAGGCTCTTCGGTCACTTTAACGGGTTCTTCAGGAACTTGTTTTAGTTCCTCTGTGACTGGCTTAGGCTCAGCAGCATTTGGTTGTGTTTCTTTCTCAATGTTCTTGGATTCCGTTTCGATGTGCAAAGTTTCCTCGGTTATCATCTCCGTAATTTCGGTAACAACAGTTTCAGTCGATGTTTCTTTCAATTCCATTGACTGCAGCTCCCTTGGTTCCTCAACATCTTTCTCAAGCTCTTCAAGCGGGTTTTCTGTTTCTTCGAAGACTTGCATAGATTCTTCAACAGCTTCGCTGGAAACGTTGGATTCTTCTTTTGTTTCAATAGCTTCCGTCTTGTTGGGCTCATCTTCAGTTTTGTCAATAGGTTGCAGTGGCGCGGTAAATAGCGTGTCTTCCACCTTGTCTGGTTGTGTTTCTTCCACAAACTGTTGTCTTGCAGGCTCTACTTTTTCAACCAGCTGTTCTTCGATATCTTCGTCTTCGAACATAGCCGTCCAAGAGGTGGTATCAATCTTTTTCTTTCCTGACATTGCACGCTTTTCGGCTTCCAAGAAACTGCTAGTGCTTTCGCTCACAATGTTAGCCCACGAGGGAGCGGAGGCTTCATATGGATCAACTTGAGGGGTAGATTTCTCGATCTCTTCGACACGTATTGGCACCTGTTCCTTCTTCGGTGTATCCTTCTTGTTCTTCTTCTTGGGCATCTCGACTGGTTCTTGTTTTGCCGGTTTCACTTCTTTAGCAGGTTTAGGTTTGGGAGTGTCTTCCATGCGATCTATTTGACTGGCAATCTTGGCCCAAGTGATGGTGTTGGTATCTTCAGCCGGTTGTTGAACTTCGACCTCTATAACAGGTTCTTCCACAACCTTTGTAGCTGGTTCGGTTTTGTGTGGAATTTCAACGTAATCGTCATCGTAAAAGCGAGCAGACTTTTCTTGCTTGCGCTTCGGCTCGGGTTTTACTTTTTGTGATTTCTCTGATTTCTTCGGCGCTTGGATCTTAGTTGCCTCAGGTTGACGAACTGGCGACTTCTTTCGTTGACTGATATCATCAATCCACTCGCCAGGTTTTTTAACCAATGAAGCCCACGAGAAGCCATTGTTTTGTGGTTCAGGCTGTTGGGGCTCGACAGGTTTTTCGAACTCAATCACAGGCGAATCCTCAACGACCACAACGGGTTCTTTCTCAACAGGCTTAGCCAGGGGTTCTTCTTTCTTGGACTTTCTTTCCTTACGTTTCCTTGGCGATTTGTCGCTATCATCAGAATCGGTTTGTTTCGATTTGGATTGATCACGATTTTGTTTAGATTTTTTGTCCTTAACTTTTGTGGGCTCCTCTTTCTTTTCCTGTACAGGTTTCTCAGGCTTCTTACCTTTGGATGTTATGGTATCAATCCATTCGCCTGGACGTTTCACCAAAGCAGCCCATGTTGAGGTATTCACCTGGACGTCCTTCTGCTCCGTGATGGCATGTTCTTCTTGTACTTTAATGATGGTTTCAGGTTCTTCTGCCGCCAAAGATTCTTGCTCGGTTAACTTAACTGGTTTTAGTTCTTCCGCAACATTATCTTCTTCTGAAGTGGTTTGTAAAGGCGTGGACAAAGGTTTGCGGGTTTCATCCTTTTTAGATTTAACCTTCTTGGGCTTTTCTTTCTTGGGTTTGGACGGCTCTTTAGATTCCTCAACCGCCACAGGTTCTGCTGCTGGTTTTTGCTTCTTCCTCAATGTGTCGTCAACCCATTCGCCTGGCTTTTGAACCAAGGCGGCCCATGAGAATTCCGACTTAGTTGTGGTAGTTGTCGTTGTTGCCGTTTCCACGTCCTCCGTTGCTTGTGGTACGTCAGTTTGTGGCTTATCGCTGTCTGATTCTGAAGACGTATGTGGTTCAGGCTTGACAATGAACTCTTCAATTGGCTCCCGTTGGGGCGATTTCTTTGCCTTCTTGTCCTTCCTTTCCTTCGTTGGTTTTTCTTTCTTCTGTTTTTCTGGTTTTTCTTTTGCTTCGGTTTTGGTAACAACCTCAGCTGGTCGTACAGATTGTTTAGTGGCTTCCAGTGGCGTAGGTTCGACAACTACGTCTGATTTCGACTCCAAGAGAATATCAGCATAAGTTTTGCCATTGGCAGCAGCTTGTTGCCAGACATTGGGGGTTTCCTCCGCAACATCCTCGGAGACCAAGGGCTCAAAGGTGTCCACCGTTTTCTGTTGTTGCTGTGTTTGAATGGATTGGAACACATCCGAGAACTTCTCTACCTTTTCAGGCTTAGGCAACTTGTCTTGTCGTTTTGGTGATTTCGGATGTTTCTTAGATGTTTTTCCGGGAGCTTGGACCTTCTCCTGGGGCTTACGCGACTGCCTACTTCTCGGCACAAATTCATTATAAATTCTCTCATTGGCCAAGAATGTGTGGGTTTGGTCAGAGTAGGCATGACGCAAATATGAGGGTGTGAACTCTGGAGCATCGGCGGAAAGCTTCGATGTCATAGCTATGGAGGCAACGTTTGGTGTCGTGTCCTCCAGAACGCTAGACCAGGTATCAATAATTGTTTTCTCATCTTGCTGAACGATGGGCTCGTCAGGAGTATCGGTCCACTGTTGTTGTGGGAGATCGGTTGAAAGTTCCACAAACACTGGATGCATTTGTTCGGAGGGTCGTCTGGGAACAAATTCTTTAATTTTGCTTATGTCCTGGGTGATAACAACCTTTTCAATATTTGTTGGTTCCGGAGAAGCTACAAGAACTGGGGAAGATTCATCTGATGTCAAGGATTCGGTGACGGTTTCACTGACTTCGTCGGTAGTTGTTGTAACTGAGATTTCTTTAGGTTCTTCGTTTTCGGTATTTGCCAGTGGTTCTAATGGAGATTCGAATGCTTTGTCAGTCGAAGATTTCGCAGAGGTGGATTCTTTTACGACGGTTGTTTCCTTATCCTCTCCTTCCTCATCGGAAGGTACAATAGGTTTCTTGGGTTCAGCAGATTTTAGTTCTATTTCCGTGGTTTCAACTATGACTGTTGTGGTTTCTGTTGAGGTTGAAACAGTATCATTGATCGCTTCCTTAACAAGGGGTTCTACAGGCGTTTCGGCCACAGTTTCCTTTTCTTTAGGTGTTTCTTCAACTGTTGCAGTTTCTTGTGTCTTTGGTGCTATAGATTCAGGTTGATGTTCCTCTACTGTGACATTCTCTGGCTGTTCGTCATCAGAAAGCACCATAGGCTCGTCAATGACATCCATCCAAGTGTTGGTGGTTTCATCGATTGGCAGACCAGCATAAGCAGGTTTCTTGGGTTCCTCCGCCATCTTTTGCATTTCAGTTGTTTCAACTGTGACAGTGGTGGTGGTAGTTTCTGTGACTGTGGAAACAATATCTTCAGTCTTTGGTTCGACAATGGGTTCAACAGTTGGATCAACTAGCTTTTCGACCACAACTGTCTTTTCTTCAGATGTTGTTGATTCAGATTGTTGTTCAGGAGCAGTCACTGTTTCTTCTTCATCAGAAAGTACCATAGGCTCGTCGATGACATCCATCCAAGTGTTGGTGGATTCGTCTATTGGCAAACCAGCATAAGCAGGTTTCTTGGGTTCCTCTGTCTTCTTTAAAGCCACTTCAGTCGTTTCAACAGTGACAGTGGTAACTGTTTCTGTTGTAGTGGAAGCAGTGTCCTCAGTATCTGGTTCGACAAGGGGTTCCATAGGTGCTTCGAATGGTTTTTCATCTCCTTTGTCCTGGTGTTTAAGTGTTTCTTCAACGATGACTGTTTCTGGTTCCCTTGGCAACACAGATTCAGGCTGTTTCTCCTGTACTGGAGATGTTTCTGGTTCTTCATCATCAGAAAGCACCATAGGCTCGTCAATAACATCCATCCAAGTGTTGGTAGTTTCGTCGATTGGCAGACCAGCATAAGCAGGTTTCTTGGGTTCCTCCGCCATCTTTTGCATTTCAGTTGTTTCAACTGTGACAGTGGTGGTGGTAGTTTCTGTGACTGTGGAAACAATATCTTCAGTCTTTGGTTCGACAATGGGTTCCACAGTTGGATCAACTAGCTTTTCGACCATAACTGTCTTTTCTTCAGATGTTGTTGATTCAGATTGTTGTTCAGGAGCAGTCACTGTTTCTTCTTCATCAGAAAGTACAATAGGCTCGTCGATGACATCCATCCAAGTGTTGGTGGATTCGTCTATTGGCAAACCAGCATAAGCAGGTTTCTTGGGCTCCTCTGTCTTCTTCATCTCCACCTCAGTGGTTTCAACTGTGACAGTGGAAATTGTTTCTGTTGTAGGGGAAACGTTGTCGTCAGTCATTGGTTCGACAAGGGGTTCCATAGGTGCTTCGAATGGTTTTTCGTCTCCTTTGTCCTGGTGTTTAGGTGTTTCTTCAACCATGATTGTTTCTGGTTCAATTGGCAATGCAGATTCAGGCTGTTTCTCCTGTGCTGGAGATGTTGCTGGTTCTTCATCATCAGAAAGTACCATAGGCTCGTCAATGACATCCATCCAAGTGTTGGTGGTTTCGTCGATTGGCAGACCAGCATAAGCAGGTTTCTTGGGTTCCTCCGCCATCTTTTGCATTTCAGTTGTTTCAACTGTGACAGTGGTGGTGGTAGTTTCTGTGACTGTGGAAACAATATCTTCAGTCTTTGGTTCGACAATGGGTTCCACAGTTGGTTCAACTTGTTTTTCGACAACAACTGCCTTTTCTTCAGATGTTTCCTGAACTTGCACTGTCTCTGGTTCCCTTGGTAATACAGATTCAGGCAGTTTCTCCGGTACTGGAGCAGTCACTGTTTCTTCTTCGTCAGAAAGTACCACAGGTTCGTCGATGACATCCATCCAAGTATTGGTGGATTCGTCTATTGGCAAACCAGCATAAGCAGGTTTCTTGGGTTCCTCTGTCTTCTTTGTCTCCATTTCAGTGGTTTCAACTGTGACCGTGGAGATTGTTTCAGTGACTGTGGTGGTAGTGTCGGTCACCTGCTCGGCAAGAGGCTCCATAGGCGATTCAAACGGTTTTTCATTCTCGATAGGTTTGTCTTTAAGTGTTTCTTCAACTTCAACAGTTTCTGGTTCCTTTGCTAACACAGGTTCAGGTTGTTGTTCTGGAGCAGTCTCTGGTTCCTCGTCATCAGAAAGTACCATAGGCTCGTCGATGACATCCATCCAAGTATTGGTGGAGTCATCGATTGGCAAACCAGCATAAGCAGGTTTCTTTGGTTCCTCTGATTCTTTTTCGGATACAGTGGTTTCGACAGTAACTTTGGTTGTTGTTTCTGTTGTTGTTGTTACAATTTCTTCAGCCTTTTGTTCGACAAGTGGTTCTAAAGGTGTTTCTTGGACTACATTCTCAACCTTTTCGGCTTGGGGTTCTTCTACTGTCGTCTCTGGCACTTGAGAAACCGATTCGTTGGTCTCTTGTTTCGGGATATCAGCTAGTTCTTCTACTTGATCCTCTACAACTTGCTCAGTTTCCTTGCGGCTTAAGGAAAGCACAAGTTTTGATTCAGCTTCATTGAAAGCTCCTACATTGTATTTGGGAATTTCAAAGTTGACATAGTTGTCGGGTGTTGGTTGCGCTTCTAGTTCTGCAACTTCTTCGGAGAATGGTTGTAATGGGGCTGAGAATGGTTTCTCAATAACGACTTCCTCGAAAGTTTCCTGTTGTGGTTCTTGTTCAAGAACTACATCGTCTTCCTTCGGGACTGGTGTTTCAACCATTTGTTCTGGTTGTTCAACTTGTTGTACAATCTCCTCGGTTTCTTCCCTTGACAATGTGGTCAGAATAAATTGTTTTTCTGCAACGTTAAAGGCATTGACATTAAATTTGGGAACTTCGAAGTTGTAGTAATTATCCAACTGCTCTTTAGATTCAGGTTCAGATGCTCCAGCTGGTACTTCTGGTTCAGTGAGGGTTTTCTCTTCGACGGGTTTTTCTTCAGCATTAGTTTCAGGTTGTTCGACTGGATGAACAATCTCCTTAACAGATTCCTCTTTCTCAATCTCAACAGGTTTAACGGTTGTTAGTACCATTTGCTGTTCCGCAACGTTAAAAGCACCCAAATTATATTTGGGAATTTCAAAGTTGTAGAATGTCTCTGTTTCGGAAATGGTAGAAACTTCTGGTTCAGTTGTCTTCTTGGTCTCAGCTGGGAAGGATTTCTCCTCCTCAACTAATGTTTCGGTAATCTTTTCATTGATTACTTCTGAGGTTGTTGTAACATGCTCCTCCACAATTTGTTGAACCGAAGTAACTGTTGTTTCAGTCTCCTTAATTTCAGTGCTCTCTTCGGTTGATTCAACTGATTCTGGTTCCTTGGTTTGGTCAGTTAATACAATTTCGGGTTCAGTTTCAGGTTTAACAGATTCTACAATTTCGGTAGTTTCTGGTATTTCCTGAACTTCTGTAATTTGTTGTTCGACGCAAGTCGTAGTTTCGGTAAGCGATTCGACGACTTCTTTCTGCTCCGATTCTTTAGTAAGCAACATTTGTGATTCTGCTCGATTGAAAGCTCCAACATTATATTTGGGAATTTCAAAGTTGTAGTAACTGACTACAGGTTGAGGTTCAGCTGCCTCGGGGACAACTTCAACCTCGGACTTCTCAACAATAGTTGAGACCGTCACCTGCTCGGGGAATGGCTGCAAAGGTGCCTCAAATGGTTTATCTGTCGGAGATTCCTTTTCAAATTTGGTTACATGCTCGTCTGTGATTGCTGTTGTTGTTGTTGTTGTTGCAATTTGCTCATCATCCTTGTTGACCTGTTGCTGTTGTTCACTAGATCTTAATATATAATAGCTGCTTTCAGCCAAGAGCATTTGCGGCAAATAGTATTTGGGGATTTCAAAGAGTAAAGCGGACGGACTTACGACGCTATGTATGTTAGTTGCAAGCTCAGTAGCTTTCAGTGTAGTGGTGGTGCTTACCAGACTAGTAGTATTTTTAGCAATTGTATCGTCTGCTTTAGGAACATCAACAACAACAATATTAGTATTAGAAACAAGTGTGGTTTGCTCTTCTTCTTTGGGACTGATAGCGGTGGTCGAGACTTCTTCGACCTCCTTTGCATTTTCTAATGGTTCAGCCAATTTTGTGGACTCAGGTGTTTCCCTAACGCTTTCAGCCTTAATGAATTCTTCGGGCAGGGCTGGACGCTTCTTCTTATCTTTCTTAGCTAACTGTCTCTGGATTTCCTTGAAGAGAGATTCCTCTTCAGGGGTCATTTCACCTAGTTCGGGTATGACATCCTTCTCGCTAACCTGAATATCTTCGACGGGCCTAACTTCTACCTCTTCTTGTTGTACTAACTGAGCGTCAACTGGATGTGGTTGGGATTTGTCAACAACATCCTCTACCTTAACATCTTCCTGGACTACTTGGGTCAAAATCTCTTTCCTACCTACAATAACCTCAGCGGGTACTTCACACTCTTCGTCAATCTCATGAATGAACTCCTTGTTGTCCACAAGTGGTTCAGGCAATTTCTCTATTACCTTCTCCACTTCGTCACTAACATTGATTCCTGCCTCTACATTTTCGGTCACAGTTTCGGTAACGCGAAGGCTCACTTCGGGGAAATCTAAATGCATCTTAACTATGGGTGTCTTGTGCTTCTCCTCATGGGTAATGAGGGAGATTTTCTGTACGCTACCGGGTGGATACTTGCCATCGATGCCATCGCCTACATAGACTACGTTCTTACCATCGTCGGATTCAAAGCTACATCTTTGAGCCATTGAAAGAGCGGTATGTTTCGAGGTAAATTTGGTGGTAGTTGTGGTGGTGGTAGTGAAAGTGGAACTGTCTTGACTGTCTGTGTTTTGTGATTGGTGTAATTGAGTTGTGGTGGTGGTAGTGGTTGAGGTGGAGGTCGGTTTGGGTGTCATGGGCAAAGCTACTGTCTCTATACCTACAATCCTTACACCAGTGGCAGAGCTGTCAGATGTCTTGGCAACCTCCTCCAAACCACTCAGAACTATTTCCTGGGGTTCAGGTGTTGCACCTAACAACCTAGCGTTGCTACTATAACTGCTACTGCGTGAAACAGATGTGGAGGAGGAGGATATTGTCTTGTCCGTCTCGGAACTGTCGGGTATTTCAATGGTCGATTTGACCACAACGTCATCTTCTGGAGTCTCGTCAGATTCTTCCATGACAACACGACCGTCCTGCGAAATCTTCTTAACAATGCGCATCGTGCGTATGGTGGTGGTTTTGATAATGGCACCATCCAATTGGTTGGTGGTAACGCTAACCGTTTCACTTGGTTCCTCAATAATGGTGGGAGGAGCCGTTTCAGATTCAGATTGGGAAGAAATCGACATATCTTCGGAAGTTTCAGTGTCTTGCGATTTGCGTTTGACAATCTTAGTTGTTCGAATGGTTGTTGTTTTGACCACGCCACCAGCTTCCTCCGCTTCCAAGGCCTGGACAGGCTCCAGGGCCATTTCAGTTGGTTCCTGTTTGCTTTCTGTAACTTCAGTCGGGGATTGCTCATCCGCCGTTGAGATAAGTTCACTTTCAGAATTTTGAGAAATCTTCTTAACGATCTTCGTAGTGCGTACAATAGTTTTCTTAATGACTTCACCACTCACATCCGATGATTCCCACGAGGATTCTTCAATGGGTGCAGTTTCTACAGGTTCCTTAACCACTGGCTCCGGTTCTTTTTCTTTGCGATCTTCAGGCTTGGGTGCATCAATGCCCTCCGCTGGACTATCTGCAGCAGGGGCTTTTGTTGTGGTGACCTCTTCTGTTTCACAATTTTCTTCGTTCTTAATTTTCTTGATCTTCTTGGTGGTGCGTATTATTGTAGTCTTTACCACACCGCCTTCGCGTTGGGGTTCGTCGGTGGTTGGGGAAGTTGCACTTGTTTCGGTCAGGGGCTCTGTTGTGTGTTTGTGTTCGGCATCCGTCTTCTCAGACAGAGGTTGCAAGGGCGCTTCGAAGAGCTGTTCGGACAGTGGTTCTTCGGCTTTGTCAGTGATACGCTTAGTAATACGCTTCGTAGTTGTTGTCGTAGTCTTCGTCACGGTTTGATCTTCGGCCACTGGCTTTTCGGCATTCACTTCTTTTGGAGAATCAGCTGTAGGTGTTGTTACCACAGATATTTCAGTCTTCATTGGCAGTTCGGTGACCTCTTGTGTAACCTTGGGCTCCTCGTCGAAAACTTCTTCGGTTATTTCCTCGCCATTTTCGTTGATTCGCTTGATAATACGTTTGGTAATGGTGGTCAGTGTTTTGGTTATAGTACCACCTTGAATTACCTGCGAAGTGGTTGTGGTAACCGGTTCACTGGTTGTGGTGGTAATTTCCTCGTTTTGTTCCTTTGTCGGTTCCTCAAAAACAATTGTGGTTTGAGTGGTCGTTGGCAATTCAGAAACTTCCTTGGTAACAACTGGCTCTTCGTCAAATACTTCTTCAATGACTTCCTCGCCGTTTTCATTGATTCGCTTTATGATACGTTTGGTAATGGTAGTCAGTGTTCGGGTGATGGTGCCACCTTGGACAATTTGTGCCGTGGCTCCAGTAGAAGGTAGCTGAGTTTCGGGAACATTGACTTCCGCTTTGTTGTCTTCTTTGGGTTCGCCCGACACTACATAAGTTTCGGTTTTTGTAGGTAATTCCAATACTTCTTGTTTGACAACTGGCTCCTCATCGAAAACTTCCTCAACAACTTCCTGGCCATTTTCATCGATGCGCTTGACAATACGCTTGGTTATTGTGGTTAAGGTTCGGGTAACGGAACCACCACGAATAATCTGCGATGTAGTGGTCGAAGTCACATCGGAATCGGCAACATGTTCAAATGGCACCGGGGACACCGATGTTTGGACAGTAACGGGCAGCTCAGTCACATCTTGAATAACTTGTGGTTCTTCGTCGGAGACTTCTTCGATGATTTCTTCTCCATCTTCCGTGATACGCTTGACAATGCGTTTAGTGATGGTGGTCAATGTCCTGGTAACGGTGCCTCCTTGAACGACCTGTGTGACTGTAGTGGTGGTCGGTACATCGACGGACTCGGAAAGAACGTGTTCAGTAGTTCTAATTGCCTCCCTTGCGGGCTCAGTGACAACTGGAGATTCCGCGGAAGTTTGAGGTTGTTCCGGAACCTGTGTTTGTTCCAATGCCGCGGCTTCGAGGGTTCTCTTAAGGGTATCAACAATAACTTCTGTCGAAACAATTTCAGGCTCGGAAATAATTTCTACAACCTGAATATTTTGCACGGAATCTTCAATGGGTTGCAAAGGAACGGTGTAGGGCGATTTTGCCTTCGCATCATCCGCGGATTGTGGCACTTTTTCACCTGAATTTGGCTCAGCCGAAACTGGCACTGGGATTTCTTGGGACTCAGTCGTTGTGATGTTTGTGGTAATGGTCGATACAGTTTCGGTCACATTTTCTTCCATACGAGTTTGTTGATCCCAGGCGCTTGATTCAGTAATGGTGGTCTCAACTGTTGCTATAGCTTCTGGAAGTGACTTTTCTTCCTGCAAAGTTTGTAACGGTTCTGAAGTATCTTTGGACTCAATGGTGACAATTTCCCGGACAGTTTCTGCAACATGAAGATTTTCAGATTTTGAAATGTGCTTCTCTTGTTCCACCATTTGCAAAGGTTTCGCTGAGGTCACGTTAACTAAATTCTCGACAGGTTGAGATGTCTTAACTTCTGTTGGTTTTGGATCTTTCTTTGTATCTTTAGGTGCCTTTGCAGGTTCTTCAGGTAATACCTCGAATTTGTGCTGTTCTTCATTTGCAACTAATTCAATTGGTTGAGATGTCTTAACTTCTGCTGGTTCTGAATCTTTCTTTGCGTCTTTAAGTGCCTTTGCAGGTTCTTCGGGTAATATCTCGATTCCTGGCTGTTCTTCATTTGCAACTGTTTCGATTGGTTCCAGAGGAGCAGAATAAATATCTTCTGGTTTCTCCTCCTGAGACTCAACCACTGTTGTTGTAGTGGATATTGTTGTTGTGGTTTTGACTTCAGATGTGCTCTGCTGATGATCAACAACTGTTTGGACATTTTCTTGCATCTGAACATCTTCAACGATTGGTTTTTGTTCAGGTTCCTTGGATTTCTTCTTATCTTTTCTGGACTTCTTCGTTTTTTCCTTGGGTGTATCTTTGGGCGTTTCCACCAATGGTTTCTCTTCGGTTGTTAACACTTCCGAAACTGTTGTTGTGGGTTTAGTAGTTAAAGATGTAGCAACAATGCTGGGCAATTCTTCTTTTATAACAGAAGAGTCCAAAGGTTCCAACGAAGCTGAGTAAAGAGTTTCACTTGTTGTTGTGGTTGTTTTTGTCTCTTTCATTGACTTTACGTCCGCAACAATTTCCCCAATGGGCGCAGTATTCTGTTCTGCTGCAGGTTCAGGGCTTGATGTTTCGAGTTCAGGAACACTCTCAGTAACTTCGCTCGATTCTTTAACGTCTACAGTTGTGGAGGTTACCGTTGTTGTTACAGTGGTGATCGTTTCGCTTTCGGCAGCAGAGCTAACAGTTTCCGAAACCTTCGATTCTACAGATGGTTTCTTATCTTTCTTAGATTTTTTGTTTTTAAGCTCGTCCGTGACGGGAATATCACTGGGCTTTTCTTGTGCCAGTACTTGCACGGCCTCGGCTGGCATAGGAGACTCCTCTAGTTTGGCGTTGCTGTCCTCTTTGGAGTCTACAATTGTAGAGCTTACCATAGTAGTTACAGTAGTGGTGACCTCGCCCACTGGAACCTCTTCAGTTGTTGTGTGGGAAACTTTAGGTTCTACGGAGGGTTTTTTATCTTTCTTCGATTTCTTGCCCTTGGATTTTTCCTCTGGTTGTGGTTGTTCAACAGCATGCACTACAGGAAGGTTGTCTTTCTGAACTGGCTCACGTACGGTCTCGACTGTGACTTCTTCAACAGTTTGACCATTTTCTCTTTGCTCGAATGGCTGAAGTGGTGCCTCGAAAGGTTTTTCGCACACACTTTCGTCTTTCACGACAATGGTGGTTTGTTCGGTGCTTGGCAACTGCACAACTTCCTGCTGGATTTCAGGTTCATCCTCATCGATCTCTTGAATCAGTTCTTCGCCAGTTTCAGTGATGGTCTTTATGATCCTCTTGGTTTTCTTGATGACTGTCTTGGTAATTGTACCATCGGTTTTCAAGATGGTCTTGGACACAGTGAAATCGTCCAGGTTTTCACTCTGGGTAGGCAATTCGATTTTTTCCACAACAACATTTTCTTGTGGAGCCTCGTCCACAACCTCTTCTTCCACTATTTCTTCTTTGCCATCGACAATTATTTTGACAATTCTCTTAGTGATGCACTTGGTCACGGTTTTGGTCGTGAGGATGCCACCGGATTCCAGGGTGGTAGTCCTTGAGGTAACATTCTCTATTATCTGAGGTTCGCTTTCGAATGTTGTTACTTGTGGTGAGCCGATTTCAGTGGTTTCGATGGTGGTTATCTTTTCGGTTTTCTTGGGCTCTGTGGAAGTTTTCGATTGTTCGGAGGATTTCTTTCCCTTCTTCGATTTTTTAGAAGGCTGTTCCTTAACCTGAACCTCTTCCACTTCCGGTTTGGTCTTGGGTTCTACAATAGGAGCTTCAACTTTCGTTTCCTTCACTGGTTCCTTTGGCTCTTGTGGACTTGTTTTCTTTTTAGGTTCAGCAACGGGTGTTTCCACTTTAGTTTCCCTCAATGGTTCAGCACCGAACTGCTCCTCTTGGCTTGACTTCTTCTTGGGTTTCTTGTCTTTTTTGTTGGTCGCGTTGTGTTTTTGTTCGGATTCAATAAACTGGACATTTGTGTTCGAAGTTTCTTTCACTTCGACATTTGTGGGTTTCTTAGGTTCCTCCTTCTTGTCCTTTTTGTCTTTCTGTACGGGAAGTTCCTTCTGCGGTTTTACCTCAGCATCAGCTTTGGCGACTTCCTTCTTGGTTTTCGTATCTTTTGTTGGCTTTTGTTCTCGCACAATGTCGGCCATTTGTGGCTTCTTCTCAACGAGAGGAGATTTCTCTTCTTTGGATTTCTTCTTGGTGGGGGGTACTTCCCTTTTGTCTTTTTTGGGTTCTGAGTTAGGTTTCGTCGTTGTGGTCGTCGTACTCGTCGAGTGTTGTTTCTCGAAATTGATAAAGTCTTGCAAAGAGACGGCCTTTTCTTCTCGAGATCTTTTGGTTTTCCTCACAGGCTGTTGTTTGGGCGCCTCAAATGTTTCCACACTTGCTGAAGCCGCAGCATTACGCTGCTGGGCCTTTTGTGGCTTGTGGCTAGCTTCAGCAACTGTGGTCTCTCCGTAAACATTTGCCGCGCCAGTCTGTGGTTCTTCCATCATCTTTTGTCTCTTGTTGCGACTCTCATCGCGAGGTGATTTAAATCTCTGATCTTTGGATTTGCTGGGTTGTGGTTTCGTTATTGTCGTCGTCTTAGTCGTTGTTGTCGTCGTGGTTTCCGTTTTGGTTGTCTGATTATTTACAGGGGTTTGGGCGCTTACACTGGCGGGTGTAGCGGCAACTTTGACATGGGCGGGTTGATGACTGGATGGCTGGAAATTTTGACCATGTCTTAGACCGAATAAAACTTCGGCGTATGTGGTACCGGCCATTTGTGGTTTGGTTGCTTCCACAACTTGAGCTTGTTGCTGTTGTGGCAGTGTCGTCTCGTGGACATACGTTATGTACTCTTCGCGGCGAGTACTGGCCGTCTGTGTTGGTGGTGGAGCTGCTACTGCTGGAGCAGCGCTTTCTTGGCTGATTTCTTCTGCAGGCTGGGCAATACCAGCTGCTGGTGCGGTCGGCTGGGCAGGTATACTCTCTTGGGGTATACTTTCTATTTCATTTATATCGAACTGACCGAACGTCAGGTCGGGTATGGGTTCTTCAACCTGAATTTCTTGGGGTTCGTAGAGTGTTGGGGCCGGTTGTTCCGGCTGTTGGTTTGCTTGAATGGTTGTCGTTTGAACTGTCGTGGAGGTGGTAACAGTTGTTTGTTGTTGCTGCTGCTGTTGCTGTATCATGGAGGCTAATGTCGTAGCAACATTGGACAATGTGTCCATGGTGGTGTATTGGACAGTTTGTTGCTGAAGTTGAGGCTGACTTTGTTGTGGCGGTTCCGCTAATTGCTGGGCTACTGGGGTGTCATAAACATATTGCTGATACTCCTGAGTACCGGGTTGTTGGTAATAGATCTGTTCATTGGTATTGTAAATGTTCTGATAGGTCTGATCGGCTGGTTGCTGGCTTGGCTGATAATAGCCGGTGGTAACCAGTTGGTATTGTGTGGCCTGTGCGGGGTATTGATAGCCCGTATACGTTGTTTGTATGGTTGTGGGCTGTGTGTATTGCACTTGCATCATTTGTTCGTAGAAGGCATCTGTGGTCGAAGGCTGCTGCACTGGCGTTGGCTGGGCCACGTATCCCCATTGATCGCTGTCTTGCAAATTTTCATACATGGATTGATACAATTGGGGGTCCGGTTGTAAATAGGTAGCCTGAATCTCCTCAGCCGACATGGGAATGTTGGAGTTATAAGTACTTACGTAGCTGCTGGAACTTGCGGTTTGTTGTGGCTCGGGTTGCGCAACGACAGGCTCTTGGGTGGCGGCATAGCCAGAGGTTTCGTGGATAGTCTCTGTGTAATAAGTGTTGTCGGGAACAACAACCTCGCTAACCTGTTGAATTTGGGGTTGCGCTTCTTGAGGTGGCGCCTGCACCACTTCCGGAACCGCTTGAATAGGAACCATAACGGTTTCCGAGGTTGTTGTGGTCGTGGTAGTTGTAATTTGATTTTGCTCGTTGGCATGTGAAACCATCTGGCTTTGCTCGACTTCTCGGTGTGCCTTTCTTTGCTGCTGAGCTGCCTTGAGAGTTGCCTGTCTTTGTCGTTCCAGTTCAATGCCCCTCAGAACCTCAGCATATGACGTCGACCCTGGTGCCCACATGGGACTCTTCGAGCGGGTTCGATCTTCGGCAGAGGGCAAGTTCAATTGAGCTGTGGTCGTGGTGGTAGTCGTGTGGAAGGTTTGGTGTTCCTCGGGGGCTAAATGGTGTCGCGATTGAGGTTCAGCACCACTTGTGGCTGAGGTTTGCTGTTGTCTTCGTCTGGGAGAACGTCCTCTTCTCTGTTCTCTGGGCGGACGCAGTGGTTGCTTACCGGCCTGCGGTTGAGCACTACTACGTTCCTGGTGCAAAAATTCCTCAGACTTGACATTAGTGGTGGTGCGAGTGGTGCTAGGAACATTTTCGAATATCATCTCCTCAATCGGCGAATGCTGTGGATGAGGTTCTATAATCGTTACACTTTGAGGTTGTGGCACATTGTCGGTTGTATCGGTGGTGGTGGTGATGTTGGGGGTAGCGGTATGTTTACCTCTATGTTCACGAGCCTTTTTGCGGTCTGGTCTTGACGACGAGGAAGAGCTGGTGGTCGTTCTTGTGGTCTTTGTCGTGGTGGTGATTACTTTGTGCATTATGCCCTGTTCGTCGACGTACTCTTCCGTTGTGGTATTCACCTTGGTTTCGGGCGTTTCTCTTGCGATTTGTACGGGCGTCATAGACGACAAGGTCACGGGGCTAGTATGGCTTTTATCTGATTCGGGCGAGGATTGACCTGTAAGTACCTCGGCGTAAGTCAGACCTATCTTAGAGGGTTTCAACATCATGGAAACGGACGATGATGTTGCGACCACCGAATGTGGGTCCAGTTTGTATGACAAAGCGGCAACCCCATCATATCTTTGTTGCATATCTTCGATGGATGCACGTAGAGCCTGGTCAGTTGCAATAAAAAATAATGTGGGAGAAATTTGCCAAAAACGTTAGGTTTTGTGGAAAACAGTAATTGTGGGGGTATACAAAGAAACCTAACCTAAAAATCAACAACAACAAAAGCCTACAAAGACACCTTTCCGATTCCTTGCGAATCAAGGAGTAAAAAAAATCTAGTAAATGTAAATTAAAATTCTGTGGCATTTATTATTTATTTTTTCCTCTTCTCTTTTTTTTTGATTTTCAGATCTGAGGGGTCATGTTCCTTGCAATAATAAAATATAAACTATAAATAATATCAGATACTATGTTAGATATATGGGGGAGGGGGGAAATGACAATTGGTGGAATGTTTTTTTTTTATTTAAAAGACATTTTTGGAAAGGAAAATCTCTTTGTTTTTAGCTTGGGAGAAAACACAAAAAACACTCAACACTCATTGCCATTCCCTCCATTTCCCCCCAATGTGGCGGTGGCTGCTTAAATATAAGGATGACTTAAACCTATAGTTCGGGTAAGGGGTGGTGGGCAATGGTGGACAGTTACAAAGTTTATAATTCTAGAAGGGTTTCATCTGGAGTACCACGATGTATCATAAGTTTTATGCGCTCATTTCGGGAGGTTATTTTCGAGTGGAGATTTTTGACACGTTCTCGACACGCCTATTGTTTTGGAACATCGAAGAATCGAGACATGTGGATTGGGGGGACCAAAATGGGTTTTGTGTGGATATGTATGGATTTGTGTGTGTGTGTTTGTGATGGATGCGTGTGTGTGTTGATATTTATATAAGAGAATACAAGCAAATATTCAATAGGTAAACCCGACAAAGAAGAAGGCAATCATTTCGATTTAATTGTTTTTATAATTATTGTTATTGTCATTTGGAATACAAAAGTTGAATGGTAGTGGAGAGCATTAGATTGTTAAAATAAAGCACAATTATGTTGAGAGAGAGAGAGCGATATATAAAGAGGTTAGATCAGAGATCAACAGATTAATTAGCACATTTAAGTGTGATAAAATATCATGTAAGAGAGAGAGAGAGCGAGCGAGCGGGAACAAAGGCAACAAATAATTATGATTTTGTTTGTTTGTTTTTTTTTATACCAATACCGTTTAAGAGCAGAGTAGAGCAACAACACCGGATTTTGTTTAAATGTGGATGGAATTTGATTTGGAATGTAGTTTTTGTTTTTGTTTAATGGAAATGTCGATAAAAGAAAAAAGAGAAAATTTTTTATGTCAAATAAAAACCAAATACCAAACAAAAATAATATAAGACATATAAAACAAGGTAGAGAGAGAGAGAGATAAAACCATATAACCCATACAAATGAGAAACTAAATAATATACAGGGAGATAAAAAGAGAGCGAGAGAGTGAATGAAATCATAAACTAATACCATTTTACCAAAATAAAAATGAAATAATGCTAATGATATATATACTTTTTTTGTTTTTGTAATGGAACCACTTATTGGTGGGTGATTAAACTAGCTACCAAAAAATTGTTTTTGAATTATAACCAAAAGCCATGAGTGATGATGATATCAAATCAAAATGAGGTGAGGTAATTACACAGAAGGAGGGGCCCAATTGCCAATGCATTGTGGCCATGTCAAGTCCCTGCTTCTGTTAACAATGTCAATTTTTGCAATGTGGTTTGTGATGCTCTTTTGCAGTGATGATTCTTGTGTACGTTTCGTTGGTGAGTGAGATTGGGGGTAACTTGGGTGGGTGATATGTTTGTGGGTGATTGGTGATGAGGGATTTTTCTCCAAACTTATTTTTCTTTCTTTCAGATCTAATACAAAACTGATTCTCGTTTAACTTACAACTATAAATGATGTTGTTATCAATCAAAGACAAAGAAAAACTGGAAATGACTTACCCTTCAATTGCAAAATTCTTGCAATAATATATTTAATTAAATACAAATAATGTATATAAGGAAAAAAGAAAACTTAAGCTAATAATTCAAAAGGGAACATGGCTATAAGGTACTGGTCTGAACAGATATGGAATTGTAATTAAAAAAGTTAATATTTTTATTTTTAAATCAAATTTGTAAACGTTATAGCCACATTACACTTTATAATTAATCTAATAAAAATTCGAGTCATTTCATTGATTTTCGTGGCAAATCTCAACACTTTTCCTCATTTCAAATTTCTAACTCAACCTAAATAAAGTAAAACGTGTGTGTATTCATTATTAGTTCTGCCTGAGTGTGTTCGTATAAAAATACACACAATTTGTAGTTCTGACACTATGGCTATAAAAAAGAATATTTTTTGAACGTCTATATGTATAGAAGTGTGTATGTAGTTTTTTTTTTTTTTGGAGGTTAAATTGTATTTTTAAACTAAACAAAAAAAGGCACACTCATCAATGAGAAATCCTAAATATTACTTCATGGCCTTACAAAAAAAAAAAAAAAAAAAAAAAAAAAATGATGAAAAAAACTTGTCACGGGATGTTTCTGGACACCTAAGAAAAAACTTTGCCACGTGACAACAACATTTCTTGAGGTATTTCAATTCCAGTCAATTCTATTTTTTCGTTTTAGATTTTGTTACTGTCTGAAGGATGATGTTATTTTGGGTGTGCGTTTCGAATGAAAATGATTCTGGATGATTTGTTAAAATATTCACATGAAAAATGTCGAAATACATATTATGACAGCGATCACGTTGGTATGTGTGTATGTTGGTCGGAAAGCATTGCTTTTTTCCTTCAAGGCACAATATGAATGGTATAAGTGATGTTGGGGTTCATGACCATGATCAGGGCGGGCGCACAAAATGTTTTTGTTCGTTCAAGTGACAAGATATTAGTCAAAATTTTGAATATGAAGGCTGCCTGAAGTGATGTTAGGGAAAAAAGAACGGCGCAACTCAAAAAATAAACAAAAATTCAGCAAAATCAAAAGGAAATAAAAAAAAAAAAACTAAAAATAAAGTTAAGATAAGGAAAATAAAAAAATCTAACAACTTTTCTTATTTGGCTTTTGCTTCTGCTTCTTCTCGAAACAGCCACCGTGCAACGAAAATATCTTTTTTCTCGTTATTAATTTGTTATTGTAGCTGTAATATTGTTTGCTGGGTTATTCTGGACGTTCCATCATTACAATCATCATCAGTGGATGTTGGTTTAGTAACAAAGAGCCATAACTCATCATCATCATTAGGATTGAGAGCTCAAAACTAAACTAAAACATTTGATGCAAACGTAATACAATGTTTGTGGATAAAGTAGTAATGAGGATGAGGATAACTCCTAAACACCTTGCAAAATATAACTCTTTCTAATTTCAAATGGTTTCCTTTTTTCCCCTCCTGGGATAATTGCCTGCACAATGCCTAACTTTCTAATAAACAAGAAATTCGATTCGGAATAAAAGGGGTACGTACCTGTTGCTCGGCCAGTGCACGCTCACGATCATGTGGCAGATATGTGGGTGCCATGACCAGCCTCAACTGTTGTTCCTCTTGGATTATCTTTTGCCTCAACGTTTGCATTTGCTGTTGATATACATCGATTTGTTGCAGGGTTTCTTCCAAGCCAGAACTGGTGGTTTTCACCAAACCAGCCAAGCTATCCAGAACCTTTAACAAATCATCAACATTTTCGCTCAGACGTGGATCTCCACCCATGCCGTTCTTAAAGTGGACCTGTAAGTAAAGACATGTCCAGAAAGCAAAGGAAGAGAAAAAAGGGGAAGATTTGTTGGTGAGTCGGGTGTGTCTTTTCGAATGGTAGAAAAAAACCAAGCAGAGTATCAAAACTACATCTTCTCTGGCCATACCTCCAACTTTTCAATAGACAGTCTTAGTTTGGTCTTCTGTACATTTATATCGGCCATTGTCTTCTCGCAATAGCCCAACTGATCCCTCAGCGGTTTCTTTTTGTGTTGGGGCGATTCCAAAGACTGTTTGGTTTTCTCTATCCAGCTGCGTATATCCTTAATTTTACGTTCACATTGATCCCATTCTTCGCAGGCTTCTTGTAGCAATGAGTTCTGGAAGAAAAATGTTTTTTTTTATATTACTGATGCCTCCTAGTGAGGAGGGGAGGCGACGACATACCCTCTCTAGCAATACAGCTTCCACAGCAACCTTCGCATCCTCGGCTTCTTGCAGTTTGTCCTTGAGATCGCCAACCGTTGTCACCTGGCCTATGTGTTCCAATTCCTTGTCCATTTCGCTCAAGTGTTTTACAATGGGTTTAATACTCTTCACAGCCGTCACGTAATCATTGAGTTTACTGCGGGCCTCGGGCAGGGTCTTCAGTTCAATACTTTGTTCCAGGAATACACGTTTCTCGGCCACCCAGGCCATGACTATCTGGTACAGGTTCATAAAGCGGGTCCAGGCATCTAAACTATCACCAACTTGCTGTTTCTTCTCATCCAGCCAGGAACGCACTTGTCCCAGCTGTTGGGCCAGCTGGTCGATTGTGGTCTGCACCAGCAGTTTTTCGTCGCTGCTGCGGCAATTGTCAATGATCAGCTGGCCGTTGGTCTTAACCATTGTGAAACGTTCGTAGATGCCGGTGATTTCCTGATTGATGCGGTGCAACAGTTCCTTCATCTGTGCCGGTGCCAGGCTGCGGTCCTGCACCTCTACTTCGGCTTGCATCAGCCACTTCTGTATTTCATCGACGCCGGCAAGATAGTCTGTGCGTACGGTTTTGGCACGTTTGAATTCCTTCTGTTTCGACTCCATGTTGCCCTGGACACGTTCCGATAACAACTCGAGTGCGGTAAACTCTTGATCAATATCACTGGGTACGAGGTTTTGCTTCTTCAAGTACAGCTCCTTGGTTGTACTGACTAGGCTTTGGCTTTCCTTGACGGTCTTCTTGACTTCACTATCCAGATTCTCCAGTTGTTTTTCGATTTTGGCAATATTCTCATCAAATGCATGAACACCCTGGATTTCCTCCAACAAGGCGTTGAATTTGTCTTGTAGCGTAGAGATCTTACGGAAGATGGTCTCGATTTCTTCTAGATCACGACCAACCTGACGATCCTTATCGTGCAAAGAGTCGTTCAATCTGAAAATTACAAGAAAAATATTGAAAAGAATGCAAAAATTATTGAGAACAATTTCCGAATTATTTGAATGGCTATTTTGTTGCTTGGTTGCTGTTTCCAAGCACGCGGTTCTGTCAAACACCAAAAATTGTATTTCCAATGGTTTCCAAAACTATATGCTCTTTGTGGTCAATGACGTAGTCATGCCGTGGTCTGCTGTGCGGCGGTGTCTTTTTTTTTTTTGTTGTTCTTTCAACTTGAAAGACGTCGAAGAGGGGGTGGTGGTGATGGTGCTCTAGCAAGCGGTTATAATATTTTAGCCGCAGCGCACTATAGGCCCAAGCAATGTGCTGTTTCTTTATTATTCCTATTATTCGGTTTATTTCTTGGATTGTTGAAATTCTGCCGTGTTTCTTCGTTGCTTTGTATTATTAAGTATTCTTTGTCATATATACGTATGTAAGTATGTATGTTCGAGGGTATACTGCATATATGTAAAACAATTGCTGTTTGTTTTTATTTTTCAAAAAATTTCTGTTTTATTGTTGTTGTATCCACACAAAAAGTCTCAAAAAGGCTGGGAAGATTGCCGTGGAAAAAGTAAATGCGGCTGTTTAGCTACAAGTTTCTACTCAAAGTGAACAACGCAATATTTCGCACACAAGGGCCAGCCAGCCAGCCAACCATCAGATCATCATCTACCAAAAGAATATTCGAAATCGAAAATTCGAACATTGAATTGATTCATACATTCGCTCATTCATCACGGTCAAAAGAGGCGAGCGAGCGAATGGAACTCAGACAGGCGGCCAATGGCCAAACTAGTTGGCCATGGTAGGAAGGAGCGGCAAATGTGTGTATGGCGGCATAATTTGTGTACTCTCATAATGTTCTCAACTTGAGAAATGTTTGAAGACGCGTGCCTTTGAGGCCTCTTTTTCCAATAGAGAAGATCCCCTAGCATAAAGAGAAAATAATTTCTCCCTCTTTACACTCAAACTTTTAAACTAATCAACCCTTAAAGATCGGGCAAAGAGACTCTGTCTTCTTGGGGTGCTAAATTAATTCTCTAAGAGAGAAAGAGAGTAGATTTTTTATTATAAAAACAATAACTCAAAAATAATCTATGAAAATGATTTACTCAGCTATTGAGGAGAAGAAGAGAGCTGTCAGCATGTCCACTCTTTTCTTAATGTTTATAAATATTTTCATGGTTTTCAATAAACAATGACTACATACAACCATTATCTAGCAATTCAAAAGAAAAGTGAAAATTACTTTGAGGAAAATATGTTTCTCTCAGATTTTTTGATTAACATACAGAGAATCATAACTTCTCAATTAAAAATAGCTCCTTTCTAAGTCAAAGGGCGAAGCCGAACTGGAAAATTGTCTAGGCCGGTAATTTGCAGCTAGTATTATCGAGCAATGCAAGAAGTGTACATTTGCTATCTCGAATGGTATTCCCCAATATACGTTTTTATTCAGGCTGCGTATACATGTATCCATGTTTTTAAATCTCTTTCAATATTTAAATATAATTTTTATTTGAAGATATTGAAATAATAAATTAAAGTATGATTATTTCTCCTTATACTAAGTTAAAGAAAATGATTTTTATATTCATTTGCATTTTCTAGCTTTTTTAGCGGCCTTGGTCAAATAACAGCCTTTGTTTGTGAAATTCGAAACAAGCTAATTCGAATTTTGTTTTGAATTTTTCAAATAATTTTATGTAAACAACAGAAAGGATGTAAATTCCCTCGAATTCGCTTGTTTCGAATTTCATAAACAAAGGCCGCTAAACCAGCTACAAATTGCAAATAAAATTAAAAAAATTGTTTTCTTTAAATGTTGTCCGAAAAGAAATAATCATACTTCATTCATTATTTCAATATTTTCATATAAACATTTGATTAAAATATTGAAACAATTTTTCAATCAATTTTGAAAAAAAAAATCAAATTCTATTATTTTCTCTTTCTCTCGATTTCATTGAAAATTGTTTTAGAATCTCCGAATTTCTTTGGGAAAATATCACATACAAAAAAAAAAAAAAAAAACACTATTGCCGGCCTCATTTTCAAAACGCCATGTCTCGACATTAACTGGCACTAATTTTGTGCGAGTGTGTGTTTGAGTGTGTGCGATCTGCTTTTCTGATTATTTTTAGATCATTTTCGGTTTTTATTTTAATTTTTCTTCTCTGTTGTGTTTTTATTTTGATATGCGTCGCATAAGAATTGTTAAATTAGAAAATATAATAAAAGCACACAACAGCAGCGTACAGTTTTCGGTACAAAAACAAATGTTTTTTCTCAATTTTAGAAGTGACGTCATTTCTACAAATATATCCGAAAGGCGTTACTAGACAAAAACGACGTTACGCTTCAATAGAATTCATCAATTGAAATAAACAAAACAAAAAAAAACAAATGCAAATTCTTCCATGGTATTTGTTGTTGTTTTTGCTGTTCGCCATGAATCAACTGGGCAGAACAATTAAATGTTTTAAATATTAAAAATTTTGAAAGGCAAGAGTCATCATCGAACATCATTTGATTCTCTTATATTCTCCTTCATTATTGCTGCGTTTACTTTATCACTAATTGACTGACTAACTGACTGACCGGCACACCTTGTTTGGAGATGCCATTCGAAATGTAAATAAATACAAATGAATTTTTATAAAAAAAAAATCCAGAAGAAGTGAAATTAATTTATGGCATTCCCGTGCAGCAATATATGTTAGAAAAAAGAAAATAATGTCACGTTGCCGATGATGTCTTGTGACGTGTGTTCGTCTTGAGGCCACCACAATGCGATTAGCCAAATATGAAACAAAATTTTGCTATGAAGAAATGATTCCAATTGGAATATGGCCAAAAGTCCATTGTTATTTGTATTCTTTTCTAAAATTCTAATAATACAAACAACACACACACACATATACACAAGTCAAAATAATAACAATAGAACAACGTAAAATCTCTTCACACATTTCCATCTATCTAAGAAAGCATGCATGGGTACGCTATGCGGGAAAGAAAAGTTTGAAATTAAAAAAGATTAACATTATTGAATATTTATGTTAATACTTTGTGAAGATTTATGACAATTTTTGTTTTCCAAAAAAAAAAAAAAAAAAATGTAGACAAACTATTTGCATGGGTGTTTAATGTTTCCTCTTTGAGTATTTAGAAAAAATTTTAAAATTCAAAATAAATGTTTGAAATTCGAAACCTTCAAAGTGAAAACGGATAAACATGTTCAAAGTGAGTGAAGTGCGATCATTTTGCTGTCATTATTTGTCACAAAAAAAAAAAAAAAAAAATTAAAATATGTCCTTGCATGACAATTTGCTAAAATATCGAATGTCTATGCGGAAAAAGTAATATATATTTACAAATGCATAAATGCAGAAATTTTTTAAAGTTTTTGTTTCTCATTGTCTTTTGCGTATTTTCATTTTTTACTTTTGACATTTTTATGATCGAAAAATAAATTAGATTTTAATTTCACTTTCACAAGAGGCCATAAACAGCAGTTTTCATGTTATTAAAAAATTAAAAAAAAAAAATCTAAAGGATTTATTAGCATGTTTCTTGCTAACGTTTAAGCTACAGCTGGTGCTCAAGCCGTTCGACTATTAACCATTAGTCGAATCCAAAATACGAAACGAAAGGAAAGGTTCATTAAAAATGTTTGATAAATTGCATTGCATTGTAAACAGATTATTGGCAAAGAAAGTTTGTTTGGAGTGGTTGGGAATTCTGAAGGAGAGTTTTTGGGATTAATGCAACTCCTCCATTCACGATAGTGGTGAAGTGGTTTAATTTGTCCATAAACATTTTTGGTTGGTTTCATGACTTTTCTTCTTGCGCAGCACAATTTGCATAGAGCCAACTAACCAATCAGACAGACAGACCGACAGACAGACATCCACGGCGACCGACAGCTACACAGCTAAAAGCACTGCCAGGCAACCAAATCTCGGCCCGTTGTTATTTTGTAAGTGAATGGCACCTAAACGGCAAAAAGAAATGCCGAAAAAAATATATCTGCGGCACGAAATTTAGGTCAATTGTGGTGTTATTTGACTTACGACTAGGCAGGCGACAGTCGAGCAGCTTCGAAAGAAACCAAAATTCACAAAACTCTTTTGAGCAACCATACGATAAAGAGAGAGGGGGGGCTATGGATTTAAGAATTTTCTTTCAGAAAAATGCAAAGAAAAAAGGGCAAACAACAAAAGCGAATTGCTTTCGTTTCATTTAGCATTAATGCTAAACATATTTTCTCTGGCATTGCCCGAAAGTAAATGACCGACCTCTCAAATAAATGGCCATGTAGAGTTTGGCTTTTGCATTTAGTTTTCAACTCGTTTTGCTAATCGCTTGCTGCTGTTAACATAGCTGCCGTTGGTTTGTGTGTGGTTTTCGGAGCCTGACTGACTGCCTGCCTGCCGACTGCTGCCGTTAGTGTTTCTGGTGAACGAATTTTAAATATTAAATGAAGTCAGACTCGATATTCACGAAACGAGCAAGAGAACAGAATAGAAGATGACTTAATGTGATGAGTTTCTAGAAAGCCAGGTTCATGGCTTGTTTTTGTGCTTTTTTGTATTGTGACATTTTTTACACGCCGCTTAGCGAAGACCCACCTTTTTCTGTAGACGTCTTTTGGCTTGATAAATTCCTTACGATAAGGATTTTACAACAAAAGCGTAGGTTGTGTGTGTGCGTGTGATTGAAATGGAGACGCCTGAGTTGTTGGGAATAGCTCAGCTTCAGTTTCAGCACAACTACTCAACCTTCTTTTAAACAAATAAAAGGCTGGAGTGTGCCCGGGTTTTATAGCCAATGGAAAAGCTACAAGTTTGCCTCTAACGTAAGACAGTTGTTGTTGGTTTTGTAAAAACTAAAATCAATCATACGCCTTGGTAATCCACAAAGCAGGCAAGTATGATTGATATCACAGCCGTTGTTAAGGATTAAAATCCTTGCTCCTCCTCCTCCTG